TGTAGTCTTATGTTTTGAAACCATTTCTCCTGACACCTTTTCTGATTTTGCCTTGTAAGGCGTCCTAGTTGATAAATTAGAGTTTATTTGGAAGAGGTATCTTTAGGTTTTATGTTTGGTACTTTGGGTGTTAGGACCCGAGTTTCTGAATTCATTTATAGATCTCCTTTGGTTATTATTGAATAACAATACTTGAAGCAGTCATCTTAAAGCCATTAAAAGACAGTATTTTCCTTACCATTTTTATTCTTCAAGGCATACACATAAATATATTTGAGGATAGTATGGTAGACACTTGCTGATTATGTACTTTTCAATCCTAAAGTAATCCACATGTTAATAATCTTAAGTGATGATATACCACTTTTTATGGCACTTCTTTAGGTTACTATTGTTTATAACTATTATTGCTGAGATATAGATATATTTCTTTTAGTTTTTTTTTAAGTTTTTTTTTTTTTTTTTGAGAAAGAGAAAGCGAATGAGCACAATCAGGGGAGGGGCGGAGAGAGAGAGACACACACACACACACACAGAATCTGAAGAAGGGTCCAGGCTCTGTGCAGTCAGCACAGAACCTGATGAGGGGCTCAAGCTCATGAACCATAAGATCATGACCTGAGCCAAAGTGAGACACTTTAACTGACTAAGCCACCAAGGTGCCCCTTGCTGAGATATATTTAATTTGGGGAATGATGCTGTTAATATTTCCCAGTGAAGCTTCTGCAGCCTTTTGTTTAGTGTTTTCTAAAAATATATCCATAAGGCTTTGGAAGAAATAGTAAGTAGACTTCTAAAATACAGTGTAGCCAGTGATTAAATTTATGAGCTACCTGTTTTCTCTTTAGAACTGTATCAAAGATATTCACAATCTCTGCACACTTAGCCACATGCAAGTTCTCTTCTAGGACCTATAATCAGAATATTGTGCTCTATTTAGACACTTCTCCTGCTGTTATAATTAAGAGTAACAAATACTTTATTTTCATTGAAAGCAATTTGACCTTTATTCTGTGCTTTATGTGTGTGTATATGTATATGTGTGTTTCCCTTCCTATACTTAAGGGCTATAATAACATTGCAGTAATGTTGGTTCTCACTTGTAGCCATTTACAGTTACAGGGTGAATAGTATGCTCAAATTGTTACAAAACAGAAATTATGAGGTAGGACTCTAATTAGACTTTTGAAATAAAATATTTACTAATAATTCCCCTTCTAATTTCTAAAGATTAAAAATAAAAATTATGGCTGCTATATTACAAATGAATGTGAATCATTTGTGAATACATGTAAAATCACAATATTTAAAATTGACATTTCACAGGGTGCCTGGGTGGCTCATTCGGTTAAGCATCTGACTTTCACTCAGGTCATGATCTCACGGTTTGGGAGTTCGAGCCCCACGTTGGGCTCTGTGCTGACACTTGGGAGCCTGGAGCCTGCTTTTCATTCTGTGTCTCTGTCTCTTTGCCCCAACCCTGCTTGTGCTCTGTCTCTCAAAAATAAATAAACGTTAAAATATTAAAAAATTGACGTTTCAGATCCAAACCAAATTCCTTGTTTTTTCATTGTCAGCATTTGCATGTAGAGAAAGTCTTAGGAAATAATACTATTTCTGTTCTCAGTTGTAGATTTCCCCAGATTTCTGTCCATAATATGTAGATACTGACAAACTCTCACCCAAAAAAGTGATTAAAAAGCTGTTTTTAGATATCGATAGTAAGAATTGAAACTAGAAAATTATGAGAAAATGTTACTATCCAGATGCTCAAAGGTGCTTAAAAGATTAACTCAGATTATCTTTTGTAATTTCACTGGCTGTTTGACTAAGTTGTAATCGTATTCATTTAAATTGCAATAAGAATCCACTTTCCACTTCAATGTCAAGTCCTTGTATTTTTGGATATTTTAAAAGATAAATTTCATTGGGTGTAGAATAATATCAGGTTACATTAAAAATGCACAATTAGATTAAATGCTAGAACTCATCCATGGAAATGAGAATATTAAGATTAGTACAGTAATTTTTTTATATCAAGTATCGGAGCATTGTATCTGTGTTATACAGCACTTCTCTCGGTTGCTAGTAAACATGACTTGTTTGTAAGCATGTGCCAAATACAGAAAATGGGGTGAGATCTTAAAATTTTAGCACATTGAGAAGTGCTAGGAATGTGACAAATACTTGCATTCTTGTATTTCATATATCCTTTTATTTTCAGGTTATTCGATGGAAGACTACTGGATTGATAGAAAGTAGTGTGATAGATGCATGTTGTGATGAAAATAGTTTATAGTCACTATTAATATAATTAACATATTGTATATACAAATGTACCAGAATGGATGCAACTTTATACATGTTGCATGTTGCCAGTAGAATCCCAAAAGATTCTGTAATAAATCATGTGCTTTCCTTATAGCTTGCTTTTTTTTTGGTTTGTTCAAAATGATCAAAATTATTGGTGATCATTGACCAGTTACTTGATTAAAAATTTTTTTTCTAATTATAGAAATTATACCCCTTTTATTTCCCTAAATTAAAAGCTAAGAAACTAAAGGGGATTTTTAAGATGGAAAAAACAAAGGGTACTTATTTTCAAAGAAAAATAAGTAGGAGAGGTAGAAAGAATGTCTTCCAATTTTTCCCTTTAAAGTTTTTTTGCAACTCACCGTAGAATTTATCCTAAGAAAAATAAAAAATTTCTTCCTTTTCATAATAAAATCACCATAATATTGCCATATTTCTAAAAACGAAATTCAAGATTAAGCATTTAGTTTTGTCTGGCTTGAGAATTTATTTCCCCACAATTAAGAGTAGTATTTCTTACCTTTTTAAAACCCATATCCCTTTTAATTAATAAAAAAAAAAAGCCTGTTCTCCTTTAATGTTCATATTTTTTAAGTCAGTTAGTTCTTATGTTAAAAATTAAAGCACGTTATTGAGTATCCTTTTCTTAAAATAATTTTTCTTAACCTTCTGTCTTCTCCAGAAGTAGATTTTATAACTCTTCCCCCATGAGAAGGAATATCCGTTCCCTCTCTCGTGCTGAGAATCTACTAATTAGACATTGCAGTTATTATAGTATGGCCTTAAATTAAGTAAAACATGGAGTATTATCACTTTTTGTTTGTGTGAGAGCTGGTCACACAAAAATTCAACAAATGAGGTATTAAGGGCATTACGTTTCCCTCATGATTTGGCCCCATTTTGCTCTTATTTTGGGATGAAATTGTGCATGTACATTAGATGTTATTAAAATCCTATAAAATAAAGACATTTCAGTTTAAAACTAAGATGGGTAGAAGCTGGTAAAACATAAAAATGTTTCATCTTTCACAGTTGTGCATCAGCTTCACGTCATATTGATTATACTCTTCCAAGTAGAGCAAAACAGGTTCAGGCAAGATAGCCCTTGTGGGCTTTAGTTATTGTGCTCCGTAATTCTGCAGCACTGGTTATCTACGTCATGTAGTTTGAGAACTTTGCTTTGGAGGCTCTGTGTCTGAGCTCCACGTGAGTATTGATCATCACATGCTTCTGACCTTTAAACTTTTTTTTCTTATGACATTCTAGATGTGGCAGAGTGGGACACTTTTGCATCTGAAAAATCACAGGTGTTTTCTCTCTTTTTCCCATTCTGGAGTGTGGCTCTAAAATAAAGCGTGCTATACTGCATTGAGATGGAGCAGTAGAAGTGGAGGGGTGGTATTACTGACACTACTGAAGTTTTTAATTTCCTTTTTCATGTTTTTTATCTGTTTCCATTACTTTACCAATAAGATTCTACAGTTGGTTTAGCTTTATAAGTTGTTAGTTACAATGGTTGGTAGAAGAAGTGAAAACAGGCACGACCTTAATTAAAAGCATAAGGAGTCATATCTGTTTTGGAGAAATGTCTGTTTCATTCCGGTTAAATGGAAATGGAATTTTTGTTTTTCTGCTGTGTTTAGTTTTCTAATATCTATTTCTTGCCAGCAGACGACAGTGAGATGTTCTTACCAGTAAATGTGGGGCTTCAAGTCCTTTATTTTTCTTTCTTAGTATGAAAATCAGAACAGAAAGAGCAGGGCCTAAGAAGGTAAAGAGTTTGCTTTGGGGCACCTGGGCAGCTCAGTTGGTTAAGTGTCTGACTTCGGCTCAGGGCATGATCTCACAGTTTGTGAGTTTGAGCCCCATATTTGGCTCTGTGCTGACAGCTTGGAGCCTGGAGCCTCCTTTGAATTCTGTCTTCCCCTTTCTCTGCCCCTCCCCCACGCATACTCTTGTCTCTCTCTCTGTCTCAAAAATAAATAAACATTGAAAAAAAATTTTAAATTGACTGGGTAGTAATATTTGGTGGAGCTTGTTATTTCAGAATAAAATTGGGTCTTAGCATTAAATGATTATTTTTCCTCAATTCTATAATTCAAGGTTTTGCACTACTTATTTATTTGCATTGTTAAAATAAATCCAGAAGAGCTTTCCTTTAAATTAATGACATCTATACAGATAGTTGGTTGGGTTGTGAAAGTATTTAATTGATACACCAATTTGTCCTATTTAAAATGATTTGGTGTGTCTGTGTTAATTATGTAAATGTTCCAGATTCAAGCAGGTTAGATGTTACCATAACTTACTGGCTTGCTAGGCTAGTTTTTATCATTTTTTAATGTAACAATAATCCTCAAAAATAATATTTCAGTTATCTGCACACAGCTGTCATTATATAATGTTTAATGCATTGGGCACTATAGTAACCACATTTTAAGTACAGCAGAAGTGTTTCCACGTGTTGGCTTTTGTGATGTAGTATAAAGGTCATTGTGTATACCTATCTTGACTTGGTACAGCATGTCAATTTTGAAAAGCCACGTGCAGGTTTGAGATTTTGAGATTGGGACTCACGTAGAAAGCTTGAGATAAAAAAAAAATTAAAAAAAACTATTATCTGATGGCCTCAATGATAATGCTTTAAGAGTACATAAAGCTTTGGATCCCTCCTCTTTTTTAAACAGACTGTGAAGACTGCTTGACAGATACTTGCAATCCAGTCACATAAGCGTAATAAAGAAGTATTGGTCCTCATGGAAGAAGAGCAAGATTTACCAGAACAACCAGTAAGTATTTCCTTTAACAATTTAAAGTTCTTTATAGAAAAGCTAATCTTAAGAGATTTTAAAGATCACTCCTTTACACTGCAGATTCCAAATTAGAAATAAAAATAAAGACGAGACTTCTTAATATTTTTCTTCTAGGAAAACAATTTCATGTTCTTTAATTCACATTTTGTTAATGCTTGGGAGTCTGCTTAGAAAATTCAGTATTACAAAATGAGTACTGTATTTGGAAATGTCATTAAAAACCCAACAGTTGCTATCTTACAGTTTTTAGAAAATAAAAGAGGCTATCTATTTACCAGTAGAACAGTATATATGCCGTTTGTGCCAGGAAATTTAGTTTTATCTTTACCTAAATTTTTCTGATTGACTTAAGTTTTTAAAAAGTAGTAGTAGTTGAAGAAAGTATAATTTGATTACTAATTGTTGAAAACAGGTAAGACCCTAGAGTCTAGGTTAGATTCTTAATTTCTTTTAAATATTTAACATAAATAAGGTAATTTTAAATGTCCCCAAGTGATACAGACTTATTGCCTTGCTGTGGCCTTTTGTTTGTCTGTATGTTTTGGTCTTTCTGTGTTTTTGATCCTTAGCATTTAAAAAAGGAAACCATTATAAATAAATAAACAAACAAACAAATAAATGCAATAGTAATCGTTCTCTTAAGATACTTTTGTATTAAAGGATATTTTTCTTTTGTGTTGAGTTTTTTTCTGAAGTTAGATAAATAGAGTTGGTTTACTATCCTGAATGAGCCTCTTGCATTTTATATTAAGGAAGAATGCAGAATGATACATGTTTACCTTTATGAAAATCCAGCTTAGAAAAATTTGGATTTTGAAAGCAAGTAATAGGGTACGTTTTTCATGTTCCACATGTATTCCTTACATCACAGAAAGATGGACACGTGCTCGCATGAAGTCCTTTAATACATTTTTCATATTTTCTTTACGTTGAGAAGTGCATCCTGATGATTACTTTGCCATTATTCTTTTAGCCCTCTCACTAAAGGTAAGTATAAAACTGAAAGATATAAACAATTGGTAAAATGCCTTGAAACATTTGAAATGTCATCCCTTATCCCTGATGGGACATCGATAATCGAAGAAATGGTAGAATTAAAAATCATCCTCAGCAGTGTTCCTAGGATATGTACCATGAGAACAAATAGCTGAGTTAGAGACCTTAAACGTACCAAAGAAAATTATGTCACTGAGTTTTTAATGTAGTAAGACAGAGGTCTAGTCAAGAGGTCTAGTTTCAAAAGACTTAGGTGTTGACATACCATTGAAATGGGTATTGTTGTTAGTAACTCCTTGTGGTTTTTTTTGTTTTTTTTTTTTTGTTTTTTTTGTTTTATTTCTAGGGGGGAGAGAGAGAGAGAGAGACAGCGTGAGCAGGGGAGGGTCAGAGAGAGAGGGAGATACAGACTCTGAAATNCATAGCTGACAATTATTAGGGCACCATTCTAAATGCCTTCTATGGATTATCTGATTAAACCCTCAAAAACAATCTTGTGGAAAAAATGCTATTTTTTTAAATGTTTTATTTATTTCTAGAGGAGAGAGGAGACAGCGTGAGCAGCGGAGGGCCAGAGAGACAGGGAGTCACAGACTGAAATAGGCTCCAGGCTCTGAGCTGGCAGTCAGCACAGAGCCCGACGCGGGGCTCGAACCTACGAACCATGAGATCATGACCTAAGCGAAAGTCGGACGCTCAACCGACTAAGCCACCCAGGCGCCCCTTTTTCTCTCTCTCTCTCTCTTTTTTTTTTTTTTTACTCCTTATGTATTTAAAGTGATGAGAATTGTGAGACTGACCTGCTGGTGAGTCATCTTTTCTACTCTGCTTTATTTCCTTGCTCTCCTATTCACTTTCTATAACATGATGTCCAAAACCTGATTGTTACTTAAGAAGGTGAGAAATTAAACCATTTTAAAAACAGATTTTCTGCTGACTATAAATAGTGATTGCCACAGGGCATCATATTTTTTATTGATTTGTTCCTGGGCCTTAATTTTTAAAGGAAACTGAGTGATAACACTGGGAGGTTGGTGCCATTGAAGGAAAAGTTTAATGTCCTCAAAAGTGAAAGTCATGGCACGTCACACAGGACCGCGGGGAAGCACCAATGTCAGTGAGGAGGCACAAGGAGCTAGAGGAAGCATAGGCCACAGCCATTATTGGCATTTCCCAGGCAAGGCAAGACAAGGCAGGGTAAATGATTTAGGTTTGGCTAGTTTGAATAATTCCAAAGGCTTTTGGGGGTATCAAGGCTGTTACTAGGTGTATGGTGTCTGGCTCTGGGGTGACTCAGAGCCGGGGAAATACTGACTTGTTGTGTAAGTTGGATAAAGGAGATGGATCAGAGTATGGGGTCTGGATCACAGGGAAGATGTACACAGCTTGGTCCTTAGTTTGGCCCTGTGCTTCCTGGATGCCAAATGGACAAATACAGAATCTAAGAAAACACAGAATATTTAAGAACTGTTAAAAATAATTAGAATGGGAAGAGTAAATGTTATACTTTAAAGGGAAAAACAAGTCTTCACAGGCTGTAGTAGAGATCTAAAATTTGAGTAGAGTGATTCTATTCCAAGTTGATGATAATAAATAAAACCAAGAGTTTTAACCCTACCGTTACCTGTATATGTAGATGTTACTAGTGGACATTATTACTAGAATTATTTTAATCTAACCATCTCTGTGTCTTTCCTGCTGAAGTATCTCTTGTTTCTTTACTACTTACTGGCTCTGTCTTCAGCTTTGTTCAGGTCATCATACACAGTGCAACATAAATCCTAGCTTGGGCTTTTCTCTTTCAGTCTCCATTATTGCCAGTCCTCAGTCTTCTGCAATCGGAAATGGTTCACTCAGTCTTTCCCCCTCTTCACCTCCCCCCCGTCTTCATCTTCAGTTGTATTATTGTCCAAACTGCAGCTCTTTTGAAGAGTAAAAGGGGGCACTAACCAGACTTGGTTTTGGGATAAGAGGTATAAACCAAGATTGTCCTGGTAAGCTGGAAGCATGTACAAATACCTCTTTATGGCTCTCAGGGGTGCTCTCTGAATTCAAGTTTTGAAAGGACATCCATGCATAGGAAAAATTTTAGAATATATAGTAGCAAACTTAATACTGGCTATTTCATGGAGGTGATGAGGCAGAATAAAGTCTTTTATATTTGATACATATCTGAATGGTTTCAATTTTTAAAAATAAGAGCATGTGTGTCTTTTGTATTCTAATTTTAAAAAGAAATTACTAATGCTTACTGTAGACAACGCAGGTGGCAAATGCTTATAACTATAGTATACTCTCCAGGCTAGAACGTAGAAAAAGAGTGAAGCTTAGGAACCATTTTTGTGAACAATAAAAAAGACTTTAAAATTGTGTTTTGGGAGGCGCCTGGGTGGCTTAGTCAGTTAAGCGTCCGACTTTCGCTTAGGTCATGGTCTCACGTTTGTGGGTTCGAGCCCCGCGTCGGGCTCTGTGCTGACTGCCAGCTCAGAGCCTGGAGCCTGTTTCAGTCTGTGACTCCCTCTCTCTCTGACCCTCCCCTGCTCACACTGTCTCTCTCTCTCTCTCTCTCCTAGAAATAATAAATTAAAAAATAAATAAAATAAATAAAATAAAATTGTGTTTTGGGCTTGGAGGGGAAGGAGAAGAAAGAGGTGAGGCAGTGGTGAAGGGACAACATCTTGACTCAACGCCTGGTTTCTTTTTTGTCTTCTTTATCAAGGAGGGTAAACTTAGGGAAAGGATAGCATACTGCAAAGTTTTAAAATATTTTTATTCCCATATTTATAAGCACGTACCTTAGTTCTTTCAAGTGAATTCTAGTCCTCCAGACTCATAGCAGCTTTATCCTGTAAGCCTAAAACTTAAGAGACACCAGTTGAGCCAGCTTTGATCATCTGAAAAATCAGAGTGAGGAAATGCTTAAAACAGAACATGGATATTTCCTTTGCTCTGTTTAAGGCATCTTTTTTTCTTTTTTCTTTTTTTTTTTTTTTAGCAGAGGTACAAATGGACCCCTGATTTCACAAATTTGCCAGTGGCTCTTTTTTTAATGTTATCTTCAGTTATAACATGCCCGTAAGGTTAATCATTTTTCTTTCTTTCTTTTTTTTTTTTTTTTTAAATTTTTAATGCTTTATTTATTTCTAGGAGATAGAGAGAGAGACAGCGTGAGCAGGGGAGGGTCAGAGAGAGAGGGAGCCACAGACTGAAACAGGCTCCAGGCCCCGAGCTGGCAGTCAGCACAGAGCCCGACGCGGGGCTCGAACCCACGAACCGCGAGATCATGACCTAAGCGAAAGTCGGACGCTTAACCGACTAAGCCACCCAGGCGCCCCAGGTTAATCATTTTTCAAAATAAAAGCTTCGAGAGAAAATCTACGTATCCATTTTAAAATACACAATTCAGTGGTTTTAGTATATTCACAGTGTTTTTCAGCCGTCACTGGAATCAGTTTTAAAACATTTTCATCATTCCAAAAAGAAACTCCATACCCATTGGCAGTCACCCCCCAACTCTCCCCTCCCCTGCAGCCCTAGGCAACTACTGATCTAACTTCTGTCTAAAAATTTACCTATTTGTAGACATTTCATGTAAATGGAATCATACATTATGTGGTTCTTTGTGACTGGCTTCCTCCACTTAGCATAATCTTTTCAAGGTTCATTTACATTATAGCATGTATCATGTACCAGTACTTCATTCCCTGTTACTGCTGAATAATGCTGTATGAATTTATTTTATTTACCATTCATTGTTTTATTTATCTATTTTCCTGTTCATTCATGAGCATTGGGGGTTGTTTTCACTTTTGGCTATTTTGAATAATGCTGTTATGAACATAAATGAACATGTTTTCTTTTTTTTTTTTTTGGTTATATAGCTAGGAGTCAAATTGCTGGATTATATGGTGACTCAGTATTTAACCTTTTGAGGAACTAATAAACTTTTCCAAAGTAGCTACACTATTTTACATTCAGTTTCTGGATTGTATTGTTTCAACCTGTACTTTTGTAATCTGGTGAAATCTGTCTGTATCCTTTTGAGTTAGTTTACCTGCTGCCAGGCAGCAGATGCTTCCTATCCCTGATTTACAGGGGGACATAATTGCCCAAATCAAGGCAAACAGTGTCTGAAATGTTAAATTTAATCATATTAAATAGCTATATTCCCACCTATTATTTTTGTTTAAGATTATTTAGCAGATTTTTCAGCTTTTTGTTAGCTTGAAATACTCTCAAGAATCCATAATTTTGTAATTATGTATGGCTATGCATACTAAACATGTTTCTACTGTGAGTGGTTATTCTAATCAGAGAACTCTAAAATCAGATTCTTTGTAATATGAAAGCGAGGAACTCCACTGGTAGTGTTAAACGTTGTTGATCTTCAGTTTGTGAATTTTTAAACTGTTTAAATGGAAATGCTTTCACCTCAGAAAGAATTAGAAAAGATGAAAATCTGGAATAAAACAGAATAGCATAAAGAATATTTATTTTAATTACTCATAACCTGATAAGAATTTATCTTTATTTTTGGCATGTAAGTAATTTAAATATAAAGACATTTCTGTTTAATGAAGTAATAAATGAGTAGATTTGACATTGCCATACTTACTGTTTGATAATATAATTATCAGTCTGTTAAAATTTAAACCAACTAGTTTGTACCCAAGTTTGAATACTTTATTCTGGTAAACATTGTATCTTGAGTAAAAATCCTGGTAAAGGTTTTAACTTGAATCTGAAAAACATTTTTTTCATTAAAAAAGAAAAGAAAGAGCTCCATATGAAAAACAAAGAAGTCTATCTCTAATTCTAAAATATAACAAGGGTTACTAATTAAATAAATCTAAACAAAACAAAATGAAATAGTTACCCTGTAACTTATTAGTTAATATCAGCCTGCCTTTTGAATAGGTAGATGATTTCAGAAACAGAGTACTATATTGACGCCTTTGTATATTATTTTTGCAGGTGAAAAAAGCCAAGATGCAGGAATCAGGAGAGCAAACTATAAGGTATGTAAAGTTGAATTTCTTTTTAATGGTCTACTTACAGTTTTTTTCACCTGCTGATTATTAGTATAGGCGCATTTTGAGTTGACTACTCTCTTTTTGAATTTTAGCAACAGTCTTTAGGTTTTGAAATTATTTGGTTTAAGGTGAAAATTTCCTTCCAGAAGTTTGTCCTTAAAACAAATAAGCACTGATTTTTGTCTTACTCATTATTTATTTAAGAATATGTACTGAACTCATGTTGTCTGTCAGGTCCTGTGATACATGGAAGAGACATGAGGGTGAATATTCTTCAGTCAGATGTACAGTATACAAAATGGGAAAAAGAAGCAGAAATAAGGGAAATCCAAGGGATTTGAGGTTAATAACCAAATGGATATGGGATGCCTTAATCATTGTCTCCACTCCATTAGACAAGAGGCAGCTTCCTTGTCCCTCATACTCCAGCTTCCATAACACCCTAGTTTTCAGTTTTCCACAGTTCTGACTTCTGTTTGTCTATGAACCAGTAACTGTACCACCTCTAACATCTGAATTTCCAGAATCCTACTCTTTTAGTACCACACACTCCATTCCAGCTCATTTATTCTGCTGTCACACTGGCCATATGATGTCTTCCTGTACACTTGTTGTCAAATGAGCTATCATATTTTCATTCTCAACCATTGACCCTTCCCACAGAAAAAGATTTCAGTACCTTTCTTAAGCTTTGTATGTAAATGATAAGATCTTTTAATTTAATCAGTCCCTTGCAAACATTTTGAGCTTGTTCTCCTTTTTCCCTGTCGTGCTTCTTTAGCAAAACCACAACCTGGTTAGACCAACTATCCACCTAATCCATTCTTACTTCTAATCACCTGAACATTGTGAGACAAGAACACAAAACTGCTGATTGATCTGTTTTCATTTATGATTATATCGCAAACAGGCACTTAAACACTCTTGGTGGTCCAGCCACCCTTCCTGGTGTGTTTTAGCCTAGACTCTCAAATCCTTTCTTTACTCCCTCCCCTCCTCCTTGCTTTCTGCCTCCTCTCCTTCCTTTCCTCTCCCCTGCCCCTCACTCTGCTCCCATTTACCCAGCTGGGGATCTTGCTCCCTAATTCAAAGAGAGCTTAGAAACATTTAGATAGGATGGGATGCCTGGGTGGCTCAGTTGGTTAAGTGTCCAACTTCGGCTCAGGTCACAATCTCACAGTTCGTGGGTTTGAGCCTCAACCCAGCAGAGCCTGGAGCCTGCTTCAGATTCTGTGTCTCCCTCTCTCTCTGACCCTCCCCTGCTCATGCTCGCTCTCTCTCTTTCTCTCTCTTTCTCTCTCTCTCAGAAATAAAAAAAAAAACATTTAAAAAAATTTTTAAAGAAAGAAACATTTAGATAGGAACTATCTCATTTGTCTATTGCCACAATCTACCCATTTATCTCCTCCTCTACAATATTCTCTGTTGCCCTGTTCTCTGAAGTTAATTCCTCTGCTTATATCTAATGCTGACCCTTCCAGTTATATTATGGAACTTACCACCTTTGTCTTTTCCTAAAATAGTCCTTCTCTCTCCTTCAGTTTCTTTATTATGATAAAATAGATACAAAGTAAGCTTCACCTTTACATTCATTTTTAAGTGTGTAATTCAGTGGCATTATTACAGTCATGTTGCTGTGCGGCCATCACCACCACCATCTCCAGAATTGTTTTCATCTTCCTAAACTGAAACTGTATTCATTAAATAATAGCTCCCCATTTCCCCAGTCTTCCAGCTTCTGGCAACTACTATTCTACTTTCTGTCTCTGTGATTTTGACTTCTCTGAATACCTCATTTTAGTGGAATCAGACGGTATTTGTTTTTCTGTGACTGGCTTGTTTATTTAGCGCAGTGTCTTCAGGGTTCACTTATGTGATAGTATGTGTCAGGGTTCCTTCCTCTTTAAGGCTGAAAAAAATTCCATTATACATCCATACCTAATTTCGTTTATTCATTATTGGTTGATTGTGTTGGTTATTTATTAGCGAGAGAGAAGGGGATGAGCAGAGAGAGGGAGAGACAGCATGGAGCCCGACATGGGGCTCAAACCCATGAACCGTGAGATCATGGCCTGAGCCAAAACCAGTCGGCTGAGCCATCCAAGTGCCCCTGTGTTGATTATTGACAAGAGTTCTACTGAATGAGAATCAAGCATTTGTGATGCTCCTCACTTTTTGAAGAGTTTGGGTGTTTTTGCTTTTTGGTGGGAGAAGTCATTTTATTTTGGGATACTTTTTTTTTGCCCCCCACCATGCACATACTGTTAAGCAAAATTTATGTGTATATAACTGAAAATAAATTTTGAAACTGTACATAATTTTTCTAGATCTAATAATTTTATTTATTTTCTAATTTTTTAATGTTTACTTTTGAGAGAGACAGAGACAGAGTGCAAGTAGGGGAAGGACAGAGGAGGAGGGAGACACAGAATTGGAAGTGGGCTCTAGGCTCCAAGCTCTCAGTACAGAGCCCCATGCAGGGCTCGAACTCACAGACCACGAGATCATGACCTGAGTGGAAGTCAGACGCCCCTAGGTCTAATAATTTTAAATGTTTAACAAAGTACTAGGGGCATCTGGGTGGCTCAGTCTAATTGGGCATCCGACTCTTAGTTTTAGCCCTGCTGACAGCTCAGCTTGGAGCCTGCTTCGGATTCTGTCTCCCCCTCTCTCTGACCCTCCCCTGCTCACTCTGTCTCTTTTCTCGCGTTCTCTTTCAAATATAAATAAACATTAAAAATTTTTTTTAAATAAATAAAAATTAAAAAGTTAATTACATTTGAGGAAGAGTTGTTTGAACATTCAGAATATACCAGGAAAAAACCCCTATATTGATATTATACTTGAATATTAGGGGTCCATTCAGAAAAGATAAGAGAGCCTTAAGAATTTTGATGCTGTGGAGGCTCCCGTGTGGTTCAATTGGTTCAGCATCCGACTTCAGCTCAAATCATGATCTCATGGTTTGTGAGTTGAGGCCCTGCATTAGACTCTCCACTGACAATGCAGAACCTGCTTTGGATTCTGTGTCTCCCTCTCTCTCTGCCCCTCCCCCACTCATTATTTCTCCCTCTCCCTCTCTCTCAAAAATAAATAAACATTAAAAAATACGATGCTATGTATTTTTAATGTAAATAACATTTGTTTTTAAAGTTTTACTGTGTAGAAACTATTCTTCATTAGTCAGTCTTATCTTTTCAGATATATGGAGCCTCTTGTACAGTGTCCTCCACTTCTCCCTAGAGTGTAGAATAGTAAAGTGGATTTCTTTCTAGGAAACATGAATATGGAAAGGATGCCTGGGCTGGGGAGAAGTTGTAATATAATAATAGTGGCTACAGTTAAATTGTCTGTGTTCTAGTCTCTCAGTACTTTTCATATATTAACCAATCCCTACAACTACCCTATGAGTTAGGTTCTATTATTATCCCTCTTTGACAGTTGAAGCTGTAGGGCAAAGAAGTTTAACTTAGCCAGAGTCGTTAAGCTAGTTTTGGCAGAGTGTACTATGAACACGAGGGGTCTGGCTCTAGAATCTGTAGCCTTAATCATTATGCTAACATAATAGTTGAGGGAATAACTGGAGAGTGGAAAGTAAAGTAGAGGGAAGAGGGAGGATGTAAGTTGGTAAAATCTCCATTCCAGAATTTCAGTGAGAATCCTGCCAACATTAAAGTGTCTGACATAATGATTTGTTCTCCCAGTTTATGTAATTTACCTTTGGCAATTTCTCTGAATTTTCCTTTTAACTTAAAAAAAAAAAAGGTATTGCTCAGTCTGGGATATGATAACAAATTTAAAACATTTTTTAATTAGAGGAGAAGAAAAATACAGCAGAATGAACCATTTTAAGGTTCAAAACACCCTTCTTGGAGGCAAGCATGTGTAATTTGAAAAAACTTTTCAAGTGATTATGAGAATCATTCTCCGAAATCAGGCATCTCCCTACTTCCCTGTGGAACTTTGGAAACAAAACAACAGTGCAGTTTTAAGTGTTGTGGATTTTTTTTTTCCCTACCATGTGGTCTTTAGAAAAACTCTGACTTGCCTATAACTTAGTTGGCATTTCTGAGTAATATGAAAGCGGAAGGGGTCTAGTGATAAAAGAAAGAACAGTCAAATGCTGAGGGTACGAGCCCCAACCCTAGCTCTTCAGGTAGCTGCTGAAACCAATAATAATAAAAATAATAATAATAATACTACCATGAAGAAGACTTACTTCGCCTCTTACTTGTATAGCCTAGTTTGATGTAGGCTTTAAGCAGCGCAGCGAGTCCCTGAGGGGCTAACATACTCATTTTGGTTCTCTCAGTCAAGTGAGCAGCCCTGAAGTCAGTGATCAGAAACCTGAAACTTCAAGCCTTGCTTCAAACCTTACCGTATCAGAGGAAAGTAAGTACTGTATTCTCTGCATGATGGAAGAGGTATTCCTATAACTGGGTAATGTTATTCTTTTATAATTGGTTTTCATCGACTGCCTTTTTTGTCCCATATACACAGAAGCCTTTCCTTTCCGTGTGTGTGTGTGTGTGTGTGTGTGTGTGTTCGTTCATCCTCAGGCTCTCATATAAACTTTATTGACATACCAGCTGAAGAACAAAATCGCATGGAATCCACTTACCTGAGGAGTCACACTTGCTTTTATTTTTGTTTTGAAGTTGAATGTTCTAAAGGTAATACGTCTTACGATCAGAAAAGTTTGTGGGCCAGTCTCTGACTCCTTCTCTGGGGACTTTGAGGTTTTTCCACCTTTCTAATAACCAAATGATTCTACCTATTAATCTATGCCAAAAAAGAAAAGTAATCCCCTCAGAACCCAAGATTGATAGTGGGCCCTGGGAGAGGTCCACTTTGATAAGATACATCCTCCACTTACCAGCCTACTTTCTCTGATAGAACAGATACATTCCAGATACATTCATGCAATGGACAAATATTTGTAGAGTGTTCTGATTTATTCTTGCAGAGATGTAAGCTTTCCTAACATACCACATACTCCCCCAGATTGCCTCCCTAGGGCAAATAGTGCTCCCTGAAATTAAATATCATTGCCCCTCCATATTTTACCACACACTTTAAAAGAAAAAATTTGTATTCTTTATTGTACTCTTTAAAAAGATATTTGTTTAGGGGATGTTTCTTCTCTTAATAGGTTATGCTTAACCTTATATACTTCCATATATTAGAAAATGGCATGTCTTGAATTGTATATATTATTCTAGTGGTTCTCAAACTTTTAGCCTACTTAAGAATTATCTGGAGTGTTTATTTGTAATGTAGAATTCCAGCCTCATTTTCAGAGATTATCGTTCAATAGATCTGATGTGGATGAGAATCTATTTTCAAGAAGATAGCTAGGTGATTCTGCATATGAGCAACTAACTGTTCATTCTGTGGGAAACTGCTCTAATCAATGAAAAGTCCCCCTAATTTTTTTAATGTCCCATTCATCCCCAAGAAAAAGGCCTGTCCCTTTTATATTCCAGGGCCAGGAAATAAGTTGAGTCTCTTGTTCCTTCTAAATAAATGATTTCTCTTCTCTTTTTTCCTTCAAAAACTCTAGTTCCTTTGAAGTCTATATTTGTGCCGCCCCCTACCTTTCTTTTTATCCTACAGTGAACTCCTAGTCATTTTGTTCTTTAAAAACTAGATCTTTGTTTTCTTCTCCATCCAAACTTACTGTTGTTGGTGATTTCAAAATCCGTGTAGATGACTTATCCAGTCAATATGTATCATCATATCTGTCTGCCTTCATGTCCCTTTTTACTCAGCAAAGATTCTGTGGCTCTTTATTATAATAACTCCCTTACATATACCTTCAATAACTTTGCCTCTTGTACTTTTCTTGCTAAACCTTGGTCCCAATTTAATATAACTCCCCATCTTCTCCGTAAGTATATTCAAATAGCTAAATATTGAATAAATTATATACCTAGTTGACTTTTTACAACACCTCAACTAGGCACCCATCAAGCTTGGAAATCCTACTGCATTTTCCCATTTCCCTAATGAATTTTACCTTTTAATAATTCATACCTCTTCTTTTCTTCTCAAAGTACCTATACCCTCACTCACATTCCCTCATTCTTAACTGATGGCTCCTTTGCAAACAGAAGTTGTCAGATAGGAAACTCCCTTATCATCCCTCTACCACCAAATCTTCAAACCTATCTGTGTTTGTACCCATGGTTTCTTGCTTCATTCTCATCAGAATGGAAATAGTATTCTTGCTCCAAAGGTAAGAACTTTTGTTTGTGCTCCGTGTCCGATTCCTTCTTACCCTCCCCTAAGACTTTAAGTTTATTTGTTTATTTTGAGAGACAAAATGTGCACGTAAGCAGAGGAGGGGCAGAGAGAGAAGGAGACAGAGAATCCCAAGCAGGCCCTATGCTGTCAGCACAGAGCCCAATGCAGGGCTCATTCCCATGAACTGTGAGATCATGATCTGAGCTGAAATCAATAGTTGGATGGTTAACTGACTGAGCCACCGAGGCACCCCACATTCTTCTTCTCTTCCTTATTCTTCCTATCAGTAAAGAGATATGACCCAGTATCTGCCATCTTAAAACACAAACAAAATCTTCTTTGGTTCTATGCTCTCCACTAGTTATATACCTTTTCTTTGTCCCGTGACCCGTTGGAACCTCTGAAAAGAGTTGCCCTTTTCTTGTTTTCTTGCCTCCCATTCATTCCTCAGTGCTTTCAAATTTTGTTCCTGTCACCACTCTTCCAGTGAAATTGCTCTTGTCAAGGTCATTAATTATTTTCAGTTACTGTGAGAATACTAGTTCTAGTGCATGTTTCTTTCTTCTCACATTCTGCCTTACCACTCTTCCTCTCGCCGTTCTGTTCTGTTGGTCCTTCTTCCTCTGTTTGGACTTTGAATGTTGAGGGAGCTTCAGGACTTATTATGAGTCCACCATCTTTTTTCTTTCTGCATCCTCTCATCCATTACATTATTACATTACTTTAAATATTGTATACATTGTTGGGTCTTCTGGGTGGTGCTGTCGGTAAGCCTCTGACTTCAGCTCAGGTCATGATCTGATGGTTCATGAGTTTGAACCCCATATCGGGCTCTGCACTGACAGCATAGAGACCGCTTCGGATCTTGTGTTTTCCTCTCTCTGCCCCTCCTCCACTCATTTGCTCTCTCTCTCTCTCAAAAATAAACAAACATTAAAAAAAATAAAATATTGTATACATTGTTATGAATTACAAATTTTTATTTCCAGTGTGACTTCTTCCCTGATTTCATTTTTGTATCCAACTGCCTATTTGACATCTCCACTTAGATATCTGAAAGGAAACTCATACTTAAAATAAATGTGTGAAAGGTTTTTATTCCCTTAGCCCCCATCAAACTTCCCCATCTTAGGAAGTGGTTTCATTGTCCCTCCAGTTGTTCAAGTTGAAAACATAGAAATTATCCTGTATTCCCCTGTTTTCCTCATTCCTTATATACAGACCCATCAGAATGTTGTTAGTTTTACCTTCAGAATATATTTCAAGGTTGTGCCCCATCTTCACTGCCGCTATTCTAATATAGCAGATTATGCCTTAACTGCTTATAATCCTTTCATGGTTCTTAAGTCCTGTAAAGATAAAGCCTCATTCATTCTGTAGAGAAGTAAATATTAACCTAAATCTCCCAGGATGTTTTGTCAGTCTCTTCAAGAATTAAATTAAATCAGAGGAGGAAAAGCGTTTGGGTTTTTCCAAGTACTTGTCAGCAGAGAAGGAACCATTACACAGAATTCAAATGAAGTTGTTTTATGTGATGGATGGTAAGAACTTTAGACCTAATTGAGAGCTCTTTTCATTTTTGTCAAAATGATTATGGATGAATGTGATCTACAAATTTCCAGTAATTATTTAAAAAAATTTCTTTAATGTTTATTCATCTTTAAGAGACAGAGAGAGACAGCATGAATGGGGAAGGGGTAGAGAGAGAGGGAGACACAGAATCCGAAGCAGTTTCCAGTCTCTGAGCTGTCAGCACAGAGCCTGCCCTGGGGCTCAAACCCATGAATCACAAGATCGTGATCTGAACCAAAGTCAGACACCCAGCCGACTGAGCCACCCAGGAACCCCTAATTTCCAGTAGTTATTTTTAAAAACCTTGAAAAATGACAGTAGACAAGATCTTCAATGCCTAACTCACAGAGATCGATTTGTCTTACAGTTGGGCATGAATTGGCTCCTCATCATGACCAGAGTTCCCTTTTTAGTTCAGACACTCAGAAAACCCAGCTAGACATAAAGTTAGTTGGATTACCGTTAATCCCTATTAATAGAGCAACCTCCTTTACAGATGTTGAAGGAAGTTCTTGGACAGTTCAGGGGTCTGGTACAAGTTTTTTATCATATAATTCTGTCTACAACATGGCCTGAAATAGTGCCTAATAAAGAGGATTCTCCTACCTGTTAGACTTGAGCTGAATATTTACAGATGAAACCTTGGGGGTCCAGCCTTTATAGAAGCTACTTTAGATGAAGTAGTCATGGGGGTCGGGAGGACACTAGTATGAAAGTCTCTTTACTTGATGGTTCATCAGAGCAGCACATCAGTTCCTCAGATTTGTCTTTGCTTTGCCAAACTAAAGCCTTAGCTACAAAGCTGAAAAAGTAGTGGTATAGAAGCATACTTTCATCTTTTGCTGCATTATACACAGGATTATACACTAGCAACAGTTTTCTAATAAAACTGGGTACTTCCCCCCACCAAATCTGTCTTTCTGTAAGTCATTCTTAGGGACTTTTACTCAGAATAGTGGAAGCACCCAGAGAATGAATAGCTGAAGAAGTACGTTGTAGTTTCTTAGATCTGGATCTTGCTTTTGAAGTTTGCCTGTGAGCACAGTGAACACTTAGGAGGTTGCTTCATCTATGGTTTTTAGCTCAGTGATGGATGAAGCTAGAGATCAGCTGGAACTAACCTTCAGCTCTTTTCTGTACCCCCCACATTCTGGCTTCTTTCACTGTCTTTAATAAGTCTCTAAACCCGTTACTGTAAGAGAGTATTATCTACTGCATAGTCTTTCTAAATTTCTGATGTCCAGGCTGTATTCTCTTATTTAGTTTGAAAGACTGTATAGTGAAATATGCGGTTTTCTCATTTCATTTTTGAAATGTTCTAACTTTTTACCTGGTGATATCTTTCTTTCAGTTATGACATGCACCGATTACATCCCTCGCTCATCCAATGATTATACCTCACAAATGTATTCTGCAAAGTAAGTTCAATAATTATTTCAAAAATCTGTCTTTTCTCTAGGTTCATTTCAAAATTTAATTTGATACTTAGCTTAAGTTGACATTTAACTTAATTTCACCTCTCTTGTTTCTGTTCCTACTCCGATTTTTTTATTCCCTCTAAATGTTGAGTCTCTGTAACATACTTGTAAAAAGTAAATGGTTGCCTGGAATAGATCACTGTTCCCCAGGAGCTTGCTCTAAGTGAATAGTCACTGAAAATGAAAATACTGTTAGCTATTACAGCATAATACTGATTGACCTCTGAGCATTCTCTCTTTCCTCTACCTTGATAGATCAGTAAACAGAGCTCAAGCCAGCCTCCTAGTGGGACTTCTCAACCTAATCTGTCTGTGTTCAGTTTCTTGTTTTAGGAATGTCCTCAAAGTAGAACTAGGCTTGAAGTTAGGCTTAGTAGGTTGAAGTCACTAAGAGACAATATTTTGTGCCTTCAACAGGTAAGATCAGCATTTAAGACCCATAAATTAATCATCTCCAGGATGAGTAGGTGCAGAATGGCGCATATGCCAGACTGCCAATTGTGTTTTGATAAAGGGTGAGCCTGCACATATGTCGATACACGTGGATGTATGTTGAAGTAGGACAAATTCCCAGGTGCTTACATAGGCAGAACACATAAATGAATTGGTAACAGAGGTGACTGTTACCTATGAGACTGTTAAAAAAAGAAAACTGACAATTTTTTCCTTTTTGTGCCCATTTTTACCTTTTGAATTTTTCATCAGTTAAGAAATAACTGAAAGGTCAACTCAGTGAGTTCTTCAAATTCTAATCTGATCTTGAATACTAACACCACCTTTGGGCCAGTCATTTTCGTGTGATTTTCTTCTGTGAAATGACTGAACCTATTCTTTGAGGTCATTATAAAGGAGATAAGAAAATACTTTGAGCTATAAAGACACTATAGGAAAAAAGGATATTATGATATTTAGCATATCTGGAGATCAATTCATATGAAGTCCCCAAGATTTAAAATTTTTCCCATGTGACTTGATTAACAACTACAACCTGAGCTAGTTCTTGGTCTCCTATCTGACTAAGAAGAACAGATGTGAATATGTTGCATATTCCAAATTCATTTGCCTATTCAAAAAATATTTACATACCTGTTGCATTCAGAACCCCTTATTAGCTATGCCTTCTATCTTAATTCAGGCATCCTTAGCACTTACGTGAACCATTGCATTATAGCTATTTTTTTTTTTAATTTTTAAAATGTTATTTATTTATTTTTTTATTTGTTTCTGAGAGAGAGAGAGACACAGAATCTGAAGCAGGCTCCAGGCTCTGAGCTAGCCTGTTAGCACAGAGCCCGACACAGGGCTCAAACCCACGAATCATGAGACCATGACCTGAGCCAAAGCCAGACGCTTAACCAACTGAGCCACCCAGGCACCCCTATAGCTATTTTTTAACTGAACCTCTATTTTGACTTTCTCTCCCTTCTAATCCATTTTACAAAGCAATGTCAACTTAATCTTTATTAAAGAATAGCTATGATCTTGTCGCTCTTTGCTCAACAATTTCAGTGACTCCCAGTTGTTTCAGATTGACCTGACCTCTTTTAGCCTGGTATTCAAAGTCTTTGCTATCTTTCCTTCTCTTGCTACTCCCCTTTACTTTACTGACCTCCTTTAATATAATCTGTTGTCCTTGCAGGCTTAAACCCTTTTTTTCCTTCCTCTATACCTTTGCCAGAGTTTTGTCTTTTCCTTAAATACCCATTCTCTCCCATTTCTGCACATCTTATCTGCTCAACTCACATAGCCTTTCTTCATTTTGCTTTCCCCTAAAGCTGAAGAAAATCTTTCCCCTTCTGAAACACCTCTTCCTCACTGTATTTTATTGTTATGACTTATGTGGTACATAAAACAGTTGATTACATTATAAGTACAGTATAACTCGCCAAATAAAATAACTGGTATCTAAAAACTCAATGCATCAAATGTAGGGGCCGTTTTATTGCATGGACGAAATGACCAGGTCATTTAGCTAAAGTCCCAGAAGTTTCACTGCTGAATTCAAATTCCTGCTAAGCCTGATGTGGTTGGCTACAACCAGTGACAGATGTACTCTGGCTTAAATGTCCATGGGGAGATTCCAAGTCTTGTCTGGGACTTGTCACATTTTATTAGTTACCTGGCTTCTGTTTTGTAGTCTTGGTCTGGGGATATTGGGGCGCACCCCTACTCCCTCTTCTTTGATGTGTGGTGGTTGCTTGCTTTTTCTTTAGCAGCGTAACCCTCTTCTTCAAATCCTACTTTCCTTAGTTTGGCCCACAGGGCCGGTTGGAGAATAAGAGCCAATTGTGAATCCCACTCTGTGCAGTTTTCTGTTATGTTGAGGGTTTATTCTCTACATAGATAAGTTTAATCCATCTTTGTATCTCACAAAGGGCCTTGCATGTAGCATATCACAAATGATCATAGCATGGTAATTGGACTTGGGGAGATATTAAATTTTCCATAAAATTGTTTCTTAGGTGATTGTAAAACTTGAAAAGGAAAAATTAGTTCTTTCTGGCCATAGTAAGCAACATTTTATGTGGAAGGTTAGTCTCCTCATTGCTGATTCTTTGCTTTTAGTGGTATTAGCTATTTCCTCTATTATTCATTAAAAATAAACCACACATGAAAGTTTTTGTGTTCTTGAACTTTTCTAGACCTTATGCACATATCCTCTCAGTTCCTGTTTCGGAAACTGCTTACCCTGGGCAGACTCAGTACCAGACACTACAGCAGTCTCAACCCTATGCTGTCTACCCTCAGGCAACCCAAACGTATGGACTACCTCCTTTTGGTAAGGCATCTTATTATAAACAACTTCTAAGACTGTTGATTTTATCCTCCAGAAACTTTTATCTTTCCCCAAAAGTCAAGTATGGCTAATCAGGATGCTGAAAGATGGGTTATTCTTGACAGAGTACCTATTCAGTTACAAGTACTGTGAAAGTTGCAACTTTTCCACCAAGTATATTTGATGCATGTTAAATAAAATTAAAGCTTTTAGTACTGATTTGTTTATCTATTAACATTTAGCTATTTCCAAGGTACTAAATCTTGACTATAAAGCTTGGAATCTTTAAGTGTTTGGGAAACTCTTTGAGGAATTACTATTACTTTCTTTATATAAAACATGTTGCTATGGGTAGGTAAGCATAATTCATACATTTTGAGGTGATTGTTTCTTGCTAAAATCAAGTAATCTAAATATCCAGATGGAATATGGCTTTTAGTTTACTCTCTTTTTTTTCTGTCAATTTCTCCCTCTTTCCTCCTTCTCTCCCAACTGATCAGTTGTTACTCTGCTGAACCAAAAAGTTATCTTAGAATGAGGAGAACCCCCAATTTTGCATAAGCCTTATCTTGTGCATAGTTTGTTCTTTGGTTTTAGGCATCTTGGACATGAACTGTAGATTAGAATGATTCACTAGAAGTCAATTTGAAACTCTTTGAGCGCTTAATATCTGCACTGATTTTTTTCTATGTGTGTAAATTGATATATGTGTGCTTTATTGCCCCTTGCCTGGTTTCCTAGAACTAGTGTTAGAAAATTGAGAGAATGCTATATTATTTTCACATATGCAACATGTTAAAATTATATCTTGATAGCCTTTACTGAAACTAGTTGGAAATTTGGAAAAGTCATCTAAACAGATTGCCACAGATTCTGGATGTATTAGTGTTGCCTGCTTTTTGTTTCTACTTTCCTACTTTTCCTGGTCCATTTGGCTAGTCTTTATGATAGTGACAGATTTCTTAGTTTCAGGCTTGTTAGCATTCCTTGGCTTCTGATAACTATTAGAAACAAAAATGTCTAATGATAGTGGGAGTTGATAATTTCATGAGAGAAGAAAAACAGAAATGCTCGTTTCCCTGTTTGTAAGTCCAGGCCTCTACGCATGTCAGTACCAGCCAGTGTACTAAAATCTTAAATTTGTTATATATTTAACCAGCCAAGACTGAGCAGTTCTTTTGGAAACAGAACTCTCTGTATATGTTTGTGCTTATATCTTAGTGGGTGTGTTAAAGCTAATTTTCAACAGCTGACTAGTAAAATCTAGCAAGCATAAAGTAAGTATTTTACATTGGTTATTTAAATTATTAGCAATTCCAGAGCCCTTTATGACATTGTTGAACAGCTGGTCATTCCTGCTGTTCAGTATTAAATAAAACTGCTGTTATATCTCTGAACTCAGATTATGGAATACCTAACATAGTGCTATGTGCATATTGTGGTATCTTTTATGATCGCCGTATTTCCCTTGTATTAAAGAACAAATGAAAATTGTATGATAGGTCCTTGTTAAAAACTTGAAGCAAACTTTACATTGTAAAGAAATATTCATAATGATAGGCTTTTTTGTTAATTTGATTTTGTTTAATATTTGGGAATGAGGGAGACTTGTTTCGTAAATTCTTCCATCAGTATTTCTAAGATAGAAGAGAATCAACTAAGTTTGACTCTTAAGTAATATAATGAAACTTATTCGAGGGAGATTTAGGTTGGGGTAATGTGAATGATCGATATGGCATATTCTCAGAATTCATTAATGAAATTACAGATACTTTTTTTTAAATAAATGTGTTCACTCACATATAAAACACTATTTCTTCTAAGGAAGATTTGGCAATTTTATCTTAGTGCTGCCTGTAAGCACTAAAACTAGATTTGTTAGTCTGTTTATTTCAGATGCAGACAGCTTCAGAAAATCTCATTGTAATGTTATCTAATGTTTATGAAGTGCTTTATATACCATGCAGTATGCCGAGAATAAGTACCTCACACTTTTCACTATTGTCTTATTTAATCTTTAAAACAGTCCTAGGGAGTAAGTAGTAAGTCGCATTATCCCTTTTTATAGATGAGGAAACAGGCTTGTTAAAGGAACAAGTGACTAGCCTGGTGTCATAGAATTAAGTAAATGCTGGGGATTAGAATTGAACCCAGGGCTGTTTAATTCCAGAAGTGCTTATATAAGTTTGGTCTGTGTCTGAGAGTTGAGTTTGCAGTTAAAAAATGTTCCTTTGCTTTAAAAAAAAATTTTTTTTATAGTTTATTCACTTTTGAGAGAGAAAGAGAGTGTGAGCAGGGAGGGGGCAGAGAGAGAGGAAGACACAGAATCTAAAGCAGATTCCAGGCTCTGAGCTGTCAGCGCAGAGCCCAGTGTGGGGCTCAAACTGTGAGAACATGACCTGAGCTGAAGTCGGACACTTAACCAGTTGAGCCACCCAGGCACCTCAAAAATGTTCCTTCTCTTAATGAAAAGAGAAGACTAAAGGAAATCTAGGAAGCTTATATTGTAAATAGTCTGTAAAAGTAAAGGAATAATGGTCATATTCTTTTTAAGAGCTACATAGAAGTGTTGTGGGACAGCACAAAGAGGATTAGATAGTTAACTTCCAGTGATCTCGGTGAAGGAAAGGGGCACCCATTTATTTGTAGGGGCTTATAAAAGATTGTCTGAGCTGCCACTGTTCCAGCTTCATTTAAAAGAACTCTACTGTGAGATGGAGATTTGATGATATGTATTAAGAGCCTTAAGAACGTTCATGCCATTTCCCTCAGTAATTTCACTTCTAGGGATTCGGCCCATGGAACTAATTACAGATACCTACAGAAATTTACTAAGATATTCATTATAGCATTTATAGCAGCAAAAAATTGGAAACAGCCTACATATTGAATTGAAACGTGTGTGTTACATTGCAATTTATCTATAAAATGGAAAACTATAAATCATACTCTAATAAATTCACTTTTTTTGTTGTTTATTTATTTTTGAGAGAGAATGGGAGTGAGGGAGGGAGAGAGCAGAAGAGGGGCAGAGAGAGAATCCCAAGCAGGCTTCGAGCTGTCAGCACAGAGCTGCATGATGGGTTTGAACTCATGAGCCGCAAGATCAAAACCTGAGCTGAAATCAAGAGTCAGATGCCTAACCGACTGAGGCATCAGGTGCCCCTAATAAATTCACATTCTGAAAGAATATTCAGCATCTTGAGAAAAGTTTGTTACTAATTTTAAAAAGCAATATGTAAAACTAAAAGCAATATAATATGCCAAGTTCGTATTTTTAAAAAATATTTATGTAAAGAAATATACATAAAGAATAATTTGATGGGGCGCCTGGGTGGCTTAGTCGGTTAAGCGTCCGACTTTCGCTTGGGTCATGATCTCGCGGTTCGTGGGTTCGAGCCCTGCGTCGGGCTCTGTGCTGACTGCCAGCTCAGAGCCTGGAGCCTATTTCAGAGTCTGTGTCTCCCTCTCTCTCTGACCCTCCCCTGCTCATGCTGTCTCTCTCTTTCTCCCCTAGAAATAAATGAAACATTTAAAAAAAAAAAAAAAAGAATAATTTGGAAGAAAAAACATGAATGTCCACAGTACAGGCACTGTGGATTTGATCTGCAGGACCACAGCGCCTTGCAAAGTGAGGACACCGCCCCAGCGTGGGCAGGTTTCACTTAACACAGTACAGAAGCAGAGAACCACCTGTAGTTTTTTCCAGTGCAGTGAGATGGTGCAGGGTTGTTTTTTTTTTTAATACTTTCTGTGTTTTCTTAATTTTCTATAATATAATCTACTCACTTTATGATGAGGAAAACTACTCAGATTAAATCACTCAGTTTTTATAGTAGGTCATCCCAATGAGTGGTCTTGTCAACAAACCAAGATACTCTTTCATGTGTTTTTTTTTTCCTAAGCATTGTACTTCTGTTCCTAATCAAACTAATTTTCTCTAAAGATCCACTAGTCTGATACATATTACTATAAACTGAGCTGCTCAGATTAGTTGGGTTAGTGACTAAGCAGTAGTGAAGCGTTTGTGCTGAGAAGCTGAGGTAGAGTTCTGATAAGACCCCAGTGTGGGGCAGCAAGAGGACAGCATCACACCGGCTGCATCTGCCATGGTCAGACTGGCTGTTCTTTCACATTCAGTGCCTGGTACTTAAAACAAATTGATAAGCTTTTTAGTTGTAGACATAGAGCAGTGGACTAGGAGTCAGGAAACCTGGATTTGGTTTCATCTTCTCTACAGGCAGTATTGCTGTACAGTCAGACCGTTTGGTCATGTTCCCTATTACTTGGAATTCTGGGAAGGGTGCTTTTAAAGGAAAATACTTATATGCTTAAAGAGCAGGGCTACTGTGATGCTGGAGGCAGTGTTCATACGGTCTTTTATCCTTCTGTTCTTCATAAAATAATTACATATTAAATATCAACTTCATGTTTCTGGTCAAAAACATTGAAAACTACTATAAGTAGCTATTCCACTACTTCTCTTGGACTTTTTGCCCTGGTTTTTGACTTTAAAAGAGCCAGTTTATAGACATTTTACACTTCAAAATTTTAAATGTACATATACTAAATAATGAGACTAGCAAAACTTTTGCAGGTAATACTATTCTCATTAATAAGATAGTATTTTAGTATAGTGTAATATAAACATGTTCACAAATCTAACACCTCAGATTCAGAACCTATTTAGAAAAAAAATCACCTTGACTGCAATAAACCTGAAAGTTATCATGACACTGAAATGGCATTTTTTGCTAAAAAATGTGATACTCAACCACCAAGAATCATGGCACTGCTATTCAAATTTCACATTACAAATGTTTAAAAAATAACGGGTTCAAATATTTTTAGTGTTGAAATTTAGATATAGTTAGGAGTTTAGCTGTTGCTAATCTGAACAAGACTTTTTAAATGATGGTAAACTGAGTGTAGAATGGACACCAATCATCCTAATGCATGCTAGAAATGATGGCATTCTTCATTCTTCTCAAATAAGTTATTTCATGTGTTTGATAGGTGAGAAAAGAAAAACCTTTTTGTTTTTTATGCTTTAAGAGTTTGTGGCAAGGCAATTGTCATGCCCCGTGTCGATTTGAAATTTTCGTATCTCCCTTACATTTACGTATCAACAAATTTTACAGGTCTGAGTTGCACCTAGATATCTCAGTGCCCTGGTGAGCAGAGGGCCTTATTATCAATGCATTATATTTTTATAAATTCAGTATCAGATTAGGAGTAAATGAAATGAGGAGTAAATGAAATGAGTTACTATTGAATTTGAAGCTGTGGCTTACTGGGGTATCAATTTCTTACCTGGAATGTGATTGATGAACCTTCTTGGACCTAATTATTACCTATAACAACACTAATCCAGAAACCGTCACTGTTCAGAACACAGTGCACAATCACACAGTAAGGTTTTTTTCTAAAGACTTTTGCATAGTCAAAAGAATCACCAGAAGTATTCACCATAAAGGACATCCTTAGGCTGTCATATAGAAGCAAAGCTTCATTTATGGCTTTTTAGTTTACTGCAGATGACAAAGGAGATAAAGCGAGGGACAAGAGATTGTCAAGTACAGATCATGGAGAAGAAAACAAAGTGACATAGAACTGTAATTGAGTTCTATTTAGTACCGTCTTCATAAATCCCAGTGGCCTCTGGGGGTGTCTCTGTAATATTCATATATATATATAGCACAGCATACTATTCATCTTTGTGACAATACTTCAGAGAAAATGTAAAGGTATATTTACATTTACCTGCTGAGAAGGCAGGAAAGGATATAAATATATTTTAGAAATATTGTCACTCAGGAGCATTGTAATAAAAATAAAAGTGAACAGCCATGATGTCTATCAGTGCTAGGGATTTATATGTTCTGACATGGAAAAATGTCTTTCATAGGTATTATGTGGAAAAGCAAAGTATGAAGTGTGTAACATCCCATTTTTATTAAAAAGAAAAAAGATTAGTGAATACATAGAAGAAATCTAAGTCACTCTTCTGCACACTATAATAGTGGTTAAGTCTGGGATTATATATGACTTTATTTTTTCCAAGTTACATATTTCTGTAATGGTTTTAATTTATAAAAATAAGCAGGTGTGTCTTTCCTAATCAGAAGAAACAGGTAACAAAATAACCAGCTTAAGAAGGCAGAAAAGTACTACTTAATACATTTTTTTAAATGTGGTGCTTGTTTAAAGGGTAAGTGAATTTTTAACTTATATGAAATGTCTCCCACCTTGACAATGGATAAATGATTTATCACTGTACATGATCATCAGGCACTCTCTGCAGCAAATACTCCAGTTGAGTGTCAGTAGCTTTTTTTTCTGAACCCTGGTCAATCTCCCCGAGCCTTTGAAATGAACTTATACACAAATCATTATTGGGATTTTTGGCAAGAATCTTGTTTCTATAGCTCCTTTCCCCAGTCTTTGAAATTGTATTTGCTTGTGATATATTATGAGTGGGAGAATCAGTAATTTCCTCTTACAAGCAAATTTACTTTTGTTTTAAGATTGAGGTTTTAAACCTACTGGCAGATATTTGAAAGCATAACCATGCTTCTCAGTCCCAGTGTATTGTTTGTAATTGGTCCAATTTATCTGATTCAGGTGCATTGTGGCCAGGTATGAAACCTGAAAGTGGTTTAATTCAGACTCCATCTCCAAGTCAACACAGTGTTCTTACCTGCACTACAGGGTTAACCACAAGCCAGCCAAGCCCAGCACATTATTCTTATCCCATTCAAGGTAAATAGGCATGGTTGTGTGTGTTTTATTATTATTGTGTTTTTTTGTTGTTTTCAGTCTTCCTATATCTCCAAACAAACTGGGTAATACAGGAGTCTGTCTTGTAAAATAGAAGGGGGTGGTATTTGCATTTGTGCATGCTCTTTGTGTTAGGCAGGCCAGAACCCAGGACTATGTATGGTTTGTAAGTAGTTTAGCTTTTAAATGTACTTAGTAGTTTAGCTTTTAAATTCTACTATTTGGTAGAATCGAAGCTTTCCCTTTTGTACATTGGTGTCCAGAAAACCTGTCAGATTTTGTTTTAGTTCGTTCTCAGTGGCATTTTGTTCCATAAATGAGCAGAAGACTCCATGGGTTAGAACCTTGCAGACTTCTCTTAAATGGAGTCCACGTGGCGCTGAATGTGAGGTTTGTGCTGCTTTTCTCTTGCAGTGCTGCCGTACCTCGCCCCCACCTGCTGCTTCGTGGTGAGAGCATTTTCCTTGCTCAGAAAGTTCAGTCTTGTTTCTTTTTCATGATAGAAAGTGTAGCATTAAAGCTTGCACTCTAAACATTTTTGCCTTCCTGAGTTCTTCTAAAAGGCTAGAATTATAACAGGACTATTAGGGAGGAAGACAGAAACACAGAAGGTGCCATGGAATGAATTCCCTACCCTTCCAAATCCAACACAGGCAGTTTGTCATTGCTCCACAATGGGGGTTAATGTCCATGTACCTGCCTCCTTTCTCCTGATTTCTCTCAGCTTTTAAATTTTATTCCTCTTAAATGGGTGCTAGAGGAGTGCGGGTGGGACAGCAAAAACTAGTCTGAGGTACTAGTTTGAGGTACTCTTAAGATATGAACTTTGGTGATGAAAAAGTGTTTTGATGTAGAATATATTATTATTTTATGTATTTTTGAGAGAGAGTGTGTGCAAGCAAGTGGGGGAGGGTCAGAGAGAGGGAAACAGAGGATCTGAAGTGTAGGGCTTGAACTCACAATTTGTGAGTTCATGACCTGAGCTGAAGTCAGACACTTAACTGACTGAGCCATCCAGGAGCCCCGATGTAGAGTATATGAAGTAAAATAGTTTGATGCTTAGTTTATTTGTTTTCAGTTAAATGATTGAGAATTACTTCTTGATCCATTGATAACAAACTAGTCACTATATTCAGTGGTTAGTGAGTCTCCTCTTATTTATTTCCCCTTTTTTTCTATGTTTGCCTCCTCCCCCATCTTTCTTTCTAAAATGGGGACAAAACAGGAGGGGGTAAACTAAAGACTATGACTTTGTCTGTCTTCTCTACCCGCTTTCATTTTTATGAAGTATTTCTCCAGGTGATAGGCTTTTTAAAAGATCTACAGACAACTCTACTAGCCATGTCCCTCCTAAACAGATACCTCCCTGATGACTATACCTAGGTCATGAAAGAACAGCAAGGAGTTCTCTTGTTTTATATTAATAACCCTCTTCCTAGTTGTAGAATCACCACTCCTCTTGAATTTGAGAACCTAATAGTTTTGGCTTACCTCTTCCTCCTTATAAAATAAGAGTAACTACCTTTTTGGGTTCTCTTAGGACCCATTGCTGTGAAAGGGTCATGAAAATATCCTTTGAACTTCATTAACCCTATCTTAACATGTTACCTGCTGGTACATTTTTCTCCTTTTGATCTTTTAAATTGGTTTCCCCTGTTGGCTAATGATGATCATTGTTGGTATTAAGTGTTTATTGTGTACTTAGCATTGCTGTAAGCAACTGATAGGTGATACTCCGTTTATCTTCACAATGCACCTATGAGGAAACTACTGTTATTAATCGAGTTCTACAGATGGGGAAGATATAGAAAAGCAAACTAATTTGTCCAAGGTCACAAAATTAGTAAATAATTAAGTCAGCATGTAAGCTGAGCAGTCTGACCCCAGAGCATGAGTGCTATATTTTTTATTTTCAATGTTGAGTCATGATATCAGTATCAACTCTCCCATCATTGAGAACCTTTATCCACTGATATCTAAGTTCATTCTTCTCCCTTTTTCTGGTTAGCCTCTTGGCGCATTTTGTTGTTCATTAGAACTTTGGCACAGGGGAGAATTTAAGGCAGAAAGGTACCAACAAGTTACCAATTTTTGCCATTTATTCTGAAGAAAAGTTTGGTAGAATACAAGCTGAAACAATTAGCTAAAATGAAATACAGGTATTGGCAGAGTTGAATTACCTGGGTTTTCTACTATCCATATCATTCTCCTCACTTCCACTTTTTTTTATTGTTTGTTTATTTTTGAGAAAGACACAGAGAGAAAGAGACAGAGCATAAGGAAGGGACAGAAAGAGGAAGACAGATAATCTGAATCAGGCTCCATGCTCTGAGCTGTCAGCACACACCCTGACACAGGGCTCAAACCCACGAACCATAAGACCATGACCTGAACCAAAGTAGGCCACTTAACCTCCTGAATACCCCCAGGCACCCCACTCCCACTTTTAATATCACTCACCATGGCTAGTGAATGTTAGCTCTCCAGGGCTGCCTCACTCATACTATGTAATCACCCTGTCCTTCCACAAAAAAAAAAAAACAACAACAAGAAGCATTCTATCTTTTTTTTTAATGGTCAAAAGAGCAGTGTCTCCTCATCATACCGCAAAACATTCTACAATTGACATAACATACAGAATTGTCTAGAGTTGTCAAATCACTATATTGTACACCTGAAGCTAATTTAACATTGTGTCAACATACTGCAATCTCTTTTAAAATGTATTATTTCAACCTAAAAAAAAGTCTGCTTTTGGCTTGATCAACTCAGATCAAAACCGTTTCTTCAGTTTATACAACAATGTTCATGAAAACCCTTTGTTAGGTAGATCTGGCTTCTTTATATCAGTTTTTTCCTAGAGTGTGACTAGGTGACCCAACCTCTGATTATTTTCTTCAGTTGAGATGGTTTAAATGATTAGTATTCAAGTGGTAAAATTAATATCAACTCAATCTTGACTTATAATGAATGTGTTTGACTTCTAATATTGTTGGTAACACATGATATTCTTTCTTTTTTCCTTCCTTCTTTCCTCCTTCCATCCCTTCCTCCCTCCCTTTCTTCTTTCCTTCCGCTTGTCTTTCAATGATCAGGAGATTTGTTTTGGTTTTGAATAGACTTTAGTTTTTATTTTATAATTATTTTTTCTAAAATTTTATTTTTGAGTAATCTCTACACCCAATGTGGGGCTCAGATCACAACCCTGAGGTCAAGAGTTACATGCTTTACCCACTGAGCCAGCAGGTACCCCCAAACTTTATTTTTTAGAAGTTTTATTTTTAAGATTTTTTTTTATTTTTTAGAGAGAGCATATTCAAGCAGGGGCAGAGGGGGAGAGGGAGGGAGAGAGAGAGACAGAGGGAGAATCTCAAGCAGGCTCCACACACCGCACAGAGCCCAGTGTGGTACTCAATCCCATGACCCTGGGATCACGACCTGAGCCAAAATCAAGAGTTGGACACTCAGGGACACCTGGGTAGCTCAGTCGGTTAAATGTCCTACCTCAGCTCAGGTCATGATCTTATAGTTCGTGGGTTCAAGACCCGCACTGGGCTCTGTGCTGACAGCTCAGAGCCTGGAGCCTGCTTTAGATTCTGTGTCTCCCTCTCTCTCTGCCCCTCCCCTGCTCACACTCTGTCTCTCTCAGTCTCTTAAAGATAAATAAACATTAAAAAAAAAAAAGTTGGATGCCCAACCCATGAACCGCCCCCCCCAGGCACACCTAGAATAGTTTTGTTTTAAGTTTATTTATTTATTTTTGAGATGGAGAGAGTGAGTAAGGGATGGGCAGCAAAGGAGGAGAGAGAGTCCCAAGTAGGCTGCACGCTGTCAGTGCAGAGCCTGACATGGTGCTCAGTCTCACGAAATATGAAATCATAACCTGAGCCGAAATCAAAAATTAAGTTGGAGGCTTAACCAACTGAGCCACCCAGGTGCCCCTGGGATAGTTTTAGATTTACAGAAAAATTGAGATGATTCACAGAGTTATGTATCCCTACATCTTGCGCATAATTTCCCCTATTATTGACATCTTACATTAGAATGGAACATTTTTTACAATTAATGAACCCATATTGCTACATTATTATTACTAAGTCCATAGTTTATTCAGATTTGCTTAGTTTTTACCTGATGTTTTTGTTCCAGAGTCTCATCCAGGACACCATATTTCATTTAACTATCATGTCTACTTAGGCTTCTCTTTACTATACAGTTTTGTAGGCTTTTCTTGTTTTTCATGACCTTGACATGCTGTACTTGAATCCCACAGATTATATAGGAATATATATGTCTACAAGATATACATGAATCCCACAAGTATTTATTGAGCATCACCTACTCTGTGCTAGATGCTTTGCTAGATATTGGAAATAATGAATAAGATAGTAAAATTCTGCCTTCATGGAGCTTACAGTCAAGTGTGGGAAACAGAAATAACCAAGTAAATAATTAAATAGATTTTGAAAAGTTCTCTGAAAGAAAAAAAGAATAGATTGCTGTGATTGGGAAAATAAGGAGTTGGTTTTTTAATATAGGGGTCAGAGAGGGTCTCTCTGAGGAAGTAGACATGCTGAGGAGGAGCCACCATGCCAGGAAGGTGAGAGAGATTGGCCACGGAGCACAGTCCAGGCACAGTGAGCAACATTGCAAAGATGCTCATGTGAGAAGGAGCTGGTCTTACTTTGAATATTTGAAAGCCAAGTAAGCAAGGGTGGGAGAGGGACATATATAAAATTAGACGTGGGTAGAAAGTAAATCTTGTGTCAGCTTTTATGTACCATTAACCCTTAGATTAACCGTCTGGCTTTGGAGCAGTGTTAATTCAGCTGTGCCTCTCACAGTTCTATAACCGTCTTCTGATTAAAGTGTCTCTGTATATTGACTATATTAACTGGACCTCTAGTGGGGCATGGTTCTCAGGAGCTTGTCTCTCTGTGATTTCACAGCTCCATTGTTGGAACAGGAGTGGAAACTATCCATAAATAGTTGGCCATGCTGTTGGCATTTGGAGAGCTAATAGCCTTCACACATATGTCAGTAGAGTTACCACTTGAGTTTTGTTTGCTCCTCTGAGTTTGTCCTTTTTGTTGCAGTTTCTGTTGCTGCTTTTATTTTATTTTATTTTAATTTTTTATTACTATTTTATTTATTTATTTCTGAGAGAGAGAGTGTGTGAGCAGGGGAGGTCAGAGAGAGGGAGACAGAGAATCTGAAACAGGCTCCAGGCTCTGAGCAAACTGTCAGCACAGAGCCCGACGTGGGGCTCTAACCCACAAACCGTGAGATTATGACCTGAGCCAAAGTCAGACGCTTAACCGACTGAGCCACCCAGGCACCCCGCTGCTTTTATTTTTTAAATCTGCAATTGAATATTATTTGTTGAGACATCTATATATGTGCAAAATGATAAGTACTTTTTTTGAGGTGTGTAGCTTTTTAATTATAGTTATGTGTAGGGTCGGGTTTACGGTGATTGTGTACATTTTTTAGGTGGGTTTAGCTTGGGTTTAATGATGGTTATAAGAGCCTAAAAAATACTGTTTATTTAATTATCATCTAAGTCTGTCAGTAGAACCTAAACTCCATGAAGGCAGGGACTTTGCCTGGTTTACTACTCTGTTTCTCAGTGACTGGAATAGTTTCTGGGTACATAGTAAACCGTGGTTTGCTGAATGAATGAGCAAATGGCACATATTAGGAATGATTTGATTGATTTGGTGAAAGAAGTTACTGAGCCCTCTTACTTTTAGGTCAGCAGGCCAACATTTCACTATTGCTGAAAGTCATTTATGATTTTTAGTAAGATACTTTTTAAAAACTCAGTAACCAGCTAATCAAGTCATTAAACTTCCTAGCAGAGATAATAAGAGTATATGACCATTTATTTGTAAGGTCTACCTTTTTGCCTCTAGCCCAATTCAGTAAGTGGTCTGAAAATTGTTGAACTTAATCAAACCACTTGGTCAGTCAGAGTGCTTCTTCCCCCATGTGTGTAGAGATCAGACATGAATGACTTGTGCTGGCAAAACCATTTTAAACTTAGTAAGAAGGTAGAACAGAATTAAAATAGAGGTAAATAGGAAAAGAGGAGTGGAGGCTAGGAGGAGGACCAAAGAAAATTTGAGCTAGAAATGGACTTTGCTGAGAGAGTTCAACTTAATAGATTAAGTAAATTATTGATTTTCTTTCCCACCTTAAATCACCGTATGTCCTTCTGTCTGTTTTATTGCAGGGCTGCCTAGCATCATGCACTGGCAATAGAACCTAAAGTCTACTCAAAATTCTCTACCCACAGGAGTGATTAAAAACTACTTACAGAGTCATCCAGCCTGTATATTGTGCAGTAATTCCTTGTACTTGCCCTTAGTGAGGAAAAATGGGTCAAACTATAGTAGAGAAGAAAGTGGATATTGGTGAGAAGAAAATAGCATCTATGAGGTTATAAAATCATTTACTTCTTGGGTTTAAGAAGGTAAACTCTTTAAGAGTCCATTAGTTCCCCTGGGAGAAGTATTGTAGAACAGAAAATCTCCCTGGAGAATCAGGAAATCTGATCCCTAGCTCAGCCAGTTGGGAGATCCCAGTTGCCATCATGGCTACCACTAGTTCCATACCAGTAGATAAATTATCTTACTCCTCTTGGTCTAAGGTGTTTTGTCTGAAAGCTGGGTTGTAGCAGTAGCAGTTCCTTAGACTTTCTCTTCTTATCTCTTCTAAGCTTTCTTCTGAGTAGAGTACCCTTGGAGAAAGGAGTAAGAATTCCCTCTGATTTTGAATACTCTCAAGTCTCTGCTTCATTTCTTCACCTGCCCTGTCCCTCATGGAGGTTTTCCTATTAACTTTACCTCTAAAGGACTTTGTTACTAAAGGGATGAGGAGTCAGATAGTCAGGTCTACCTGACAGTGAACGTTTATGCATGTGTGACTACAGTGGAAACCATGTCTAAGTGTGTTTATGGTTAAGTGAGAAACAGGAGTTCAAGACCAGTACCTCACAGACTCATTTTCACTGTCCCCCTGAAAAAAGTCACTGTAACAAATACCAGTCTCTGAAGATCTGATTAAAACCCTGTTGGGGTCTGCGATAGAAGAGTATGAAAAACTGAACCCAGATTCCTATCCCAAGACAGGCAACCTAAATAGCTTACAGAGAACATTTTTAGCTGGAGAGAATAATATGTAATATTTTCCAAGGTTTTCCAGGCACACTGGTAAAATCATTAAATGCCAGATCATCGTGTTTGTTGATGGACATTAATAATCCATTATTTGAGCCGAGGCCAACAGCAACTCCAGGCATATTAGAATTGGGGAGGTCAGCTCTATTTCTCGGAGTCATTATGTTGCATTAGTAAAGGCATAATCTGGGGCAAGTGATAAGAAATCACAGTGTAGGATTTACCTGTGGATTCACCAGAGCTCTTGTTCTGTTGGTTGTCAGTAAGTCACACTGCAGGTGAGTCATTTTTCAACGGCTCAGGAAATAGACTGGAATGATTTGGTTTAGTTTCTGATTCCAGTGATGTCATTAGTATGAACCAGTACATTGTATATGAATCCTTCCAGGACTTTAATAGGAAGAATTAAAGACTCAAGCTAAAACAAAAAAATGTTCCAATTATTTTATTTCTAGTCGAGACTGGAGTAAGGTATAGCATCCAAAAGAGTAAAACTAGTAGTTGTTCCTTTGCCAGTGTTCTTTATCTCCTTGTAGATCTGTTTACTTAAGACACGGTATACTTCGCATTTCTTCTAGCCTTTTACATGATATCTTTAATATCATTTAACATTCTCAATCCTATAGCTTCAAGCACAAATGCCAGCCTGATATCCACTTCATCTACAATGGCCAATATTCCAGCAGCAGCCGTTTCCAGCATCTCAAACCAGGTACTGTGCCTGTCATCCTATTTGATATGGTTCATCAAGCTTGCTCTTCTCTTCTCTCCATGGTCAATTTGCCAACCTAAGAAACAACCAAAACTAGGACACTGGATGGCTTCTCAGGCTGCCATCCGTTTCTCTCATTACTATGCTAATAACCCTCTGAATGATATGGTTCTATCTGCTCCTCTACCTACTACATGTGTCTGCCTCCTACCCCATTCCTACTAGAATGTAAGCTCCATAGGAATAGGGATTTATTTTTCAGTTTCGTTCACTCATATATACCAAGAGTTGAGAAAAATGCCTGGTACTCACATTAAAGACACATAATAAATATTTGTGGAATGAATGTTCCTTCTACTTTTTTCATTTAGCCACTCATTCCACTGTAAATTCTTTATGGTCTGGTCTTGGTCACTGTTCTATTAACTATGTTTAGATCACTGGTAATATCTTCAGTGTTTTAGGGATTTTTGTTTTTGTTGTTATGTTTTTGTTGTTTTTTCTATGGCGATGAATCTTTTCTCCGTGAATCTCTTTTTATGGCTATAATTAACATACAGTTAATGGTTCATTAACTGGTTCATCTTTTTACATTTGACTGTTCATTAGTATAGTTCACAAATTATTGAGTTTCTGATATACATCAGTGTACCATTTATGTCTCTACCTTTCGTAGGTTTTCTTTTTGGTCCTGTTTTGTGGACATGTCCATATACTACCTCCAAAATGAACATTCTAGTACTGACCCCATGATATCTACAGGCTTCCTGCTGATTCATGGACATTTTATTCTTTAATGTCCTGCTATTTCCCTAAGTTCATCATAGCGAAAACCAGCCTTTCATTCCATGTTTTTTTGTCTCCTTGTCCTCCAAAAAAGTAAAACCACTTTTCCCTGTGACTTCTCAGGTATCAACGAGACCATTTTTAAATGAAGCTAGGCCTCAAACCAGACCAGTTTTCAGTATTTTTCCTCACCCATTCCTAATCCAACCATTTTATTTTAGTTTTTCCCCTTTAATCCTGAATTACCATAGTTCATTGTTCATCTAATCTCCAGTTTTTCCCTGTACCTATCCATTTTCTAAAATACTATCTGACTGGCTCAGTTGGTGGAGCGTGCAACTCTTGTTTTCAGGGTCATGAGTTTGAGCCCCCATGTGAAGAGTTAGAGATTACTAAAAAAAAATTTTGTGGGGGGGCGCCTGGGTGGCTCAGTCGGTTAAGCGTCTTAACTTCAGCTCAGGTCGTAATCTCACAGTTCGTGGGTTTGAGCCTCAGCCCAGCAGAGCCTGGAGCCTGCTTCAGATTCTGTGTCTCCCCCTCTCTCTGCCCCTCCCTTGCTCATGCTCTGTGTCTCTCTGTCTCTCAATAATAAATAAATGTTAAAAAGTGTTTTAAAAGATTTTAAAACACTACCTGATTAATTTTCTCAAAAGTCCACTTTTATCCTATCAGTCACCTGCCCGGAATCATTTTTTTAATTAAAAAAATGTTTTTAATGTGTATTTATTTTTGAGAGAGACAGAGCATGAGCAGGGGAAAGGCAGTGAGAGAGGGAGACACAGAATTTGAAGCAGACTCTAGGCACTGAGCTGTCAGTACAGAGCTGGACGTGAGGCTCGAACTCATGAACCACGAGATCTGTCTTTCTCTGCCTGACTTATTTCATGACCTGATCCAAAGTCAGATGCCTAACCGACTGAGCCATCCAGGTACCCATGCACAGAATCTTTTTGTACATTTTTATTAGTTGGTTCAATTTTGATAGTCCCTATTTCCTGCCCCCGCACAAACTATATATCGCCTAAAGAATCCAAGTCACATTTGTGGCCTTGCACAATTCATTCACGCCTGCAAGATCCTTTGTTTCAACCAGACTCAGCAACTCTGGTCCCTTAATAAAACCTTTTCTGGGCTTATTCATCCTCTTAGTCCCTCTGTCTGTTTATCCCAGAAAGCTCTCTGACTACCACAGTCTGCAGTGATAGTTGTCTTCCTCTGTATTTCACTCCTTTGACATATAATTTATTGCCAGTTTGTTGGAATTTTTTTGTCTTCGCCTGCTAGATTTTTAACTCCCTTAAATTCAACCAGTACAACTTATTTTTTTTTTAAGTTTGTTTGTTTATTTATTTTGAGAGAGAGAGTGTACATGGGGGGGGGGGGGGCAGAAAGAGAGGTCAAGCAAGCTGACGTTGTCAGTGCAGAGCCTGACTGACACAGGGCTCAATCTCACAAACTGTGAGATCATGACCTGAGCTGAAATCAAGAGTTGGATGCTTAACTGACTGAGCCACCCAGGTGCCCCCAGCTTATTCTTTTCTTTAATGTTGCATTCTCCTGCTCATACATGGATACACACACTGAGTTGTATTTGGTTTATGATAGATGCTCAGTACCATTTATAATTGGTCTAGTTGATTAGCTTCTTCCTACTTGTTACTAACATCAGTATCAGTGGAAATTTTTTAAGGTATATATTTGAGCTATACGTCATAGGCATTTTTGGTAAAGCTTTATTAATGTATAATTGATATATAATCTACATAGATTTAAATTTACAGTTTGATACATTTTGACGTGTGTGTGCTTATGAAACAATCAAAAATTCCCTCCAGATATTTTAAAGAAACTTCATATTTAAAGAAAACTTGATTATTTTAAAAAGAAAGAGAGATGCTCAATTTTAAACTGGGAAACCTTCAGAGTGGCTAAAATGAGCAAACCAGAGGACTCTAGATGCTGGCAAGGATGTGGAGAAATGGGCACCCTCCTACACTGTTGGTGGGAATGTAAATTGGTGCAGCCACTCTGGAAAAAAGTGTGGAGGTTCCTCAAAAAATTAACAGTAGAACTCCCCTATAACTCAGCAGTAGCACTGCTACGAATTTACCCAAGGGATACAGGAGTGCTGATGCATAGGGGCACATGAACCCCAATGTTCATAGAAGCACTCTCAACAATAGCCAAAACATGGAAAGAACCTAAGTGTCCATCAACTGAAGAATGGATCAAGAAGATGTGGTTTATCTATACAATGGAATACTACATGGCAATGAGAAAGAATGAAATCTGGCCATGTGTAGCAACATGGTTGGAACTTGAGGGTGTTATGCTGAGTGAAATAAGTCAGGCAGAGAAAGACAGATACCATATGTTTGCATGTATAAGAAGATTAGGAGGAACTTAATGGAGGACCATGGGGGAGAGAAGGGGAAAAATATTGGGGGAGAGGGAGGGAGGCAAACCATGAGAGACGCTTGAATTTGAATGCTGAGAACAAACTGAGGACACATGGGGGTGGGGGGAGAGGAAGGGGGTTGATGGGCCTGGAGGAGGGCACTTGTGGGGATGAGCACTGCGTGTTATATGGAAACCAACTTGACAGCAAACTATTTAATTAATAAATAAGTAAATAAATAAATAACAACCAAAAACATGAAAACACTTTGCTCCATGCCCTCTGAGAGCTGTGGACAGACCCCAAGGCACAGCAGGCGTCCACGGGGTGCTTGCCACAGCTGAGGGCTGCTCAGAGCCACTATTTTTTTTTTTTCCCTTGTCAAAATAAATAGACCTTTTGTGTTGGGGGGAAAAAAAAACCTGGGAAACCTTAATGAGGGGGGTTATGTGGGATAATGTGCTTTTTTGTTTAAGCTCATCTGTTCTTAGTGCTAGCATCTAGTGCACTTGTTTATAAACTCCTTAAAGAGTAGAATCTTCCAAAATTCTGTGCAGAAATTCAGTACCTAAAATAGAAAAAAAAAAAAAAACCCAACCTAAAATAGAAAAAAACAAACAAACAAAAAAGGAAAGCTGTTCAAGTAGAAAAGGGGCATTCACTTTCATCCTTCTGGTCATTTCAAAGACAGCCCCTGAAGTATCTCCTCTTGACTCTTAGGTTTCCACAGAATGCATTTTGGAAATCAGTGATTTAGATGGAAGCTATAGATGGGGTAAATGAGAAGCCAAATTAATTAATGTTTTAGGAAAATGACTATGAATAAGAGGGACATGAAAGTCTCTTGTGTTGAAATCAGTTTTTGCTTTAAGAGTCTTGTTTTTCTCCCTTACTCCTTTCGGTCCCCAGGACTATCCCACCTATACTATCCTCGGTCAGAGTCAGTACCAGACCTGCTACCCCAGCTCCAGCTTTGGAGTCACAGGCCAGACTAACAGTGATGCTGAGAGTACCACATTAGCAGCAGCCACATACCAGGCCGAGAAGTCTAGTGTCATGGTACCCGCGCCTACAGCACAGAGACTTTCTTCTGGTAAGCGTCATTGCTCTAAAAACTTTGGCTTATGGGCACTTCATTCAACTGATGATAGTGCAGATCATTTTGTTGTGGTCTCAGTCACTGTTACTATGCTACTGGCTTTCCCACTCAGGTGAGGAGTATTTAAACATTGGAACCAGACTATGTGATGAGTCATCGGCAGGCTGATGTAATACCTGATGCTATGAACAGAAAAATACCAAGGATGAAAAAGACTATTTGTGATTCCCACTCTCCCCTTTAGCTTTAATGTGCTTCTGACCGGGAACTTGAGAATGTTGGCACATTTTATAAAAAGTGGATGACTCCAGTTTTACTCTGTGCATATTTTGGACACCTGCTAAGGCCTCAGGGCAGTAGTTCTTAACTTTTCCTCTGTCATGGATCTCCAAGATTCTAAAGAAAGCTATGGTCCTTTCCTCCTCAGAGAAATACATAAAATATAACCTACAAATTTAAACCTTTACATTTAGGTTTGAAATATGTCAATGAATTATTATGTCCAGGTTTAAAGAAGAAAAAAACTGACATAAAGCCTTTATACGCATGTTAGTAAACATATGTATATGCTTTTTATCTGTCTCTATCTTTCAGGAAAATTTGCTGGTTGGCTGTCACATTACATAACAGGAAGAAGGACCGTTTATTGTTTTGTTAACACTGATGCATTTTTAAAAACAGTGCTTTATATCAACTAAAGCAGTTTTCTGTGCACCTTGTGTTCACCAGTCTTCTAAGTGATGGTTACAGATGGTTACTGCTTCAGACTTAAATAACTTTGAAATAATTACACGTGTTGATGCCTTAGTTTTTAATTCATATCTCTAAATATCTTTGTTCTTCATAATAATTTTAACTTCTTAATAATGGAGAATTTCAAACCTAGAAGTTGTCAGAATAGTATAATGAACCTCTTATGTATATCTTAAACATTAACAACTCATATTTCAACTACATCCAATTCTCTCCCCAAATTCCAAGCATCATATGTCTAAAAGATAAGTAAATACTTGTTGGCATAACCACAATGCCAATTATCCCACCTAAAATAATTCAACAGTAATTCCCTAGTATCATAAGATCCTAAAAGGTATTGTTTCTAGTGTTTTCGTGTTAGGAGTTTTGTTTTTCCTTTTATAGTTTATTTAAATTAGAATCAAAGTAAGTCCCATATGTTGAAATTCGTGGATATGTATTTTGTGTCTCTTTTAACATATAAATTCCCCTCTTTTTTTGTTCCCCAAGGTACTGTATTTGAGAAGAAACCAAGTTGTTTATCTCATACCATTTCCCAGTCTGAATTTTGCTGATTATTATCTGTATAGAGTAGTTCAACATGTCCTGATACCTTCTGTATTTTATTTTAAGTTGGTAAACAGATCTGGAGTCATGGTTTTCAACTAAAGGTGATTTTTTTTGTGCCATGCTCCCCTCCGCCATTCACCTAAGACATTTGGCAATGTGTGGAAACACTTTGGGTTGTCTCGTGGGTGGGGAGTGCTACTGGCATCTAGTGGATAGAGGCCAAGAGTACTGTTTAACCTAGCATCCTACAAGGCACAGGACATCTACTCAACAAAAATTATCTGGCCCCAAATGTCAGTTATGCCAAGTTGAGAAACTCTGATGTAGGGAACTTGAGAAATACGTTCAATTTTTTTGTCAAAACAGCTTTGTAACTGTGTTCTTCCATTGAAACACAGGTATATTAATTCTATTTTTAACTCTCTCTGTGATACTAGGAGCTATTGATGCTCCATGTTGAGTTAGGTCTGCATTCCTGAATTGTTTAGTAAAGTTTGGTTTTCCAGCCTTTTATCCCTGCAATATGAGTCTTAAGGACAGAAAACATGCTGACTGTCTATCTTCCTGTTCTGGTTCTTATAGCCTGTGACTACTGGCCATATGTCTCGGATTTCCTTTCCAGGAGACCCTTCGACAAGCCCATCTTTGTCCCAGACTACACCAAGTAAAGACGCTGATGATCAATCCAGAAAAAATATGACTGGCAAGAACCGGGGAAAAAGGAAAGCTGATGCCAGCTCTTCCCAGGACAGTGAATTGGAAGTATGGGAAGAAATTCATTTGAGTTACCTACTTTTTTTTCTCATTTTTTAAGTTTATCGTACATACATACGTATATGAAACTCATGGAGGTACTGTAGTTCTTTGTTGTATGCCCCTTGATTTCCGGGCAAAAGAAACGAAATTGGCCAAGTGAAAAGAGATATGTAAAAACATTTCTCTGCACCCATAACTCACTGTATTACCTTCAGATGGATTTCACCAAAGCATCAAAAAAGCTTTTTTGAATTTAGGTAGTTGGGTAACTTTTTAAGGGAAAGAACAAGCTGTTCTTTATGTTCTAGAGAGCGGAAAGAACAGTTCCGTCACATTCAGAAAGCAGAGGGTGCCACAAATAATGTCATAGTGTTCTCCATTTAGAAATCTGGAAGTAAAATGAGAGGATGAGAGTGCTTTAGGCCAAGCTTCAATGACACATGCGACCACTGGCACTCACTTATTCTGTGTTTAAACACTACAGGCATACATTTGGCTTCATTATTAAAAAGATTAGAAAATCATACAAAACACTAATAATAGTGGCGTTTTTATGCTCTTTCGTTTTCATTTTCGATTTTCTATAATATTTAGTGGGGCAGGGGTTGCTGTATTTAAAAATGAGTTCATTGAGATTTCTGGCTGGCTCAGTTGGAAGAGCATGCACTTGATCTTGGGGTTGTGAGCTCAAGCCCCACACTGGGTATAGAGATTACTTTAAAAAAATCTTTAAAAAAAGATCATTGGGTTGCCTCTGGGTAGCTCAGTTGATTAAGCGTCCAACTCTTGATTTTGGCTGAGGTCACAGTCTCAAGGTTCATGAGACGAATCCCTGCATTGGGCTCCATGCTAACAACTTGGAACCTGCTTGGGATTCTCTTTCCCTCTCTGTACCCCACCCCCACTTGTGCACTTGCTCGCTCACTCTCAAAAAAAAAAGAAAACATTAAAAAAAAAAAGATCATTGATAGGTATTAAGACATAAGTAAATTGAGGCTATGTCTGGGGACTCTCTTTCCCTTTGTTCCTGAAAAGTAAGAAAGAAAGAAAATCTAAAGTCCTATACATTTATTGGGGAAAACTGAGAACTCAGTTTTTCAATTGTGTTAAAAATGTACATAACATAAAAATTACCATTTTAACCATTTTTAAATGTACAATTCAGGAACGTTAAGTAAATTCACAATGTTGTTTGTTACCACTATCTATTTCCAGAAAATTTTCATAATCACAAACAAAAACTCTGTACCCATTAAGCATTAACTCCCCCTTCTCTCCTCTCACTAACTACTCCCTAGTAACTTCTGTTTTACTTTACCTTTACCTTTCTATGGATTTGCTTATTCTAGGTATCTCATATAAATGGAATGATACAGTATCTACCATTTTGTGTCAGGCTTCTTTTACTTAGCATATGTTTTCAAGGCTCATCTATGTTATGGTCAGGTCATGACCTCAGGGCTCATGAGTTCGAGCCCCACGATGGGCTCTGTGCTAACAGTGTGGCGTCTCCTTGGGATTTTCTCTCCCCTCTTCTCTCTGCCCCTCCCCTGCTCTCTCTTGCTCTTTCTCTCTCTCTCAAAAATAAATAAACTTCACAATCTTAAAACAAAAAGAACTTTGTTTTGTTATATATATATATTTTTTTAATGTTTTATTTATTTCTGAGAGAGAGTGAGAGACAATCCGAAACAGGCTCCAGACTCTGAGCTGGCTGTCAGCACAGAGCCCCACGTGGGGCTCAAACCCACGGACTATGAGATCGTGACCAGGGCCAGAGTTGGACGCTTAACCGTCTGAGCCACCCAGGCGCCCCTGAACTTCATTTCTTTTTATGGCTGAATAATATTCCATTGTATGTATATACCATATTTTGTTTACCCATTCATTTGTTGAAGGACACTAGTGGTTTTTCATCATTGAGTAATTGTGAATAATGCTGCTATGAAGATTGCCATCCAGATATCTCTTTAAGTCTCTCTTTTCATTTATTTTGGGTATAAACTGAGGAGTAGAATTACTAGATTGTATGGTAATTCTATGTTCAGCTTTTTGAGGAACCAACAAAATGTTTTCCACAGTAGCTGCATCATTGTATGTTCCCACCAGCAAATGCAGGGTTTCTAATTTTTCCACATCCTCACTGACACTTGTTATTTCCTTTTTTTTTTTTTAATAATAGTGATCCTAATGGATATGAAGTGGTAACTCATTGTGGGTTGTTATTTTTTTTTTGCATTTCCTTTTTGACTAATAATGTTGAATATTTATATGTGTTTATTGGCTATTTGTATTATTTTCTTTGGAGAAATAGCTGTTCAAGTCCTTTTACCAGTTTTTAATTAGGTTGTTTGGTAATTTGCTGAGTTTTAGGAATTTTTATATTCTAGATACTAATCACTTATCAAGTATATGATATGCAAAATATTTTCTTCCATTCTGTGGGTTCTTTTTACTCTCTTGATAGTATTCTTTGATGCACAAAAGTTTTACATTTTGATGAAGTCCTGTTTTTTTTAATGTTTTTTAATGTTTATTTTTGAGAGAGAATGTGAGCAGGGGAGGGGCAGAGAGAGAAAGACACAAAATCTGAAGTAGGCTCCAAGCTGTCAGCGCACAACCTGATGTGGGACTTGAACACATAAACCATGAAATTCTGAGATCCTGAGCCAAAGTCAGATGCTTAACCGACTGAGCCACCCAAGTGCTGCTAAATCCTTTTTTTTTATTGTTTGTGCTTTTAATGTTAAAAATGCAAGATTATGAAGATATTTACCTATGTTTTCTTCTAAGAATTTTATTGCTTTAGTTCATAAATTTAGGTCTTTGATCCCTACTGAGTTGTTTTTCTTCATATTGAGTTAATTTTCATGTAGGGTGTAAAGTAAGGGTCTGATTTCATTCTTTTGCATATGGATAGCCAATTTTCCCAGCACCTTTTAAAAAATTTTTTTAATGTTTATTTTTGAGAGAGAGAGAGAAAAAGCATGAGAGGGGGAGGGGCAGAGAAAGAGGGAGACACAGAATCCGAAGCAAGCTCCAAGCTCTGAGCTGTCAGCACAGAGCCATACGCGGGGCTCAAACTTACAGACCACAAGATCATGACCTGAGCCAAAGATGGATGCTCAACAGACTGAGCCACCGAGGTGCCGCCCCCCTCCCAGCACCTTTTGTTGGAAATACTTTCCCCATTGAATGGTCTTAGTAGCCTCGTCAAAAATTGACCATATATATATATAGGGCTTTATTTCTAAGCTATCTTGTCTTTTTTATTGGTCTATGTGTCTGTCCTTAACACAAGTACCACATTGTATTGGTTACTGTAGCTTTATAATAAGTTTTGAAATCAGAAAGTGTGAATCTTCCAACTTTGTTCTTTTTAAGATTTTTTTGGCTATTTAGGGTACCTTGAGATTCCATATGAATTTTTGGATGAGTTTTCTGTTTCTTTAAAAGCACTATTGGAGGGGGTATGTGGGTGGCTCAGTCAGTTGAGTATACAACTCTTGATTTTTGGCTCAGGTCATGATCTCACAGTTCATGGGCTTGAGCCCCGCCTAGGGCTCTGTGTGAATATAGCACAGAGCCTGCTTAGGTTTCTCTTTCTCCCTCTTTCTCTGCCCTTTTTTAAGTTTTTTCAAGAATTATTCATTACAGGGGTGCCTGGATGGCTTAGTCGGTTAAGTGTCCGACTTTCGCTTAGGTCATGATCTCGCGGTTCGTGGGTTCGAGCCCTGCGTTGGGCTCTGTGCTGACTGCCAGCTCAGAGCCTGGAGCCTATTTCAGAGTCTATATCTCCCTCTCTCTCTGACCCTCCCCTGCTCATGCTGTCTCTCTCTCTCTCTATCTCCTAGAAATAAAAAAAATAAAAAAAGAATTATTCATTACAAGTATATAGAAGTATACCTCATTGCTAAGGTCATTTTTTGGCCTCAATTTTTTGTGGGTTCTTTAGGGTTTTCTGCATATAAGATTGTGTCATTTGTGAACAGAGATCATTTTACTTTTTTCCTTTCCAATTTGGGTTCCTTTTTTTCTCATTTCTTGCCAAATTATTCTGGCTAGGATTTCTAGTACTATGTTGAATAGAAGTGGTGAAAACAGGCATACTTGAACTATTCTTGATCTCAGGGGTAAAGCTTTCAGTCTTCTACCATTGAGAAAGGTATTAGTTCTGTGTTTTTCATATACAGTCTTTATCATGTGAAGAAATTCACTTCTATTCCTAGTTTATTGAATGTTTTTTTATCATGAAAGTGTTAAATTTTGTCAGATGCTTTTCCTGCATTAGTTGAGATGGCATTGGAGTTCTTTTTCCTGTTTTCTTAAGGTAGCATCTTATATTAGTTTTTTTCTGTTGATCCATCCTTGCATTCTAAGAACAAATCCCACATGGTTATGATGTACAATGTTTCAGTATGCTGCTGAATTTTGTGTGCTAGTATTTTGTGGAGAATTTTTGTATCAAGTGTTCATAAGAAATATTAGTCTGCAGTTTTCTTACAGTATCTCTGTCTGACTTTAGCATCAGGGGCAAGCAATGCTGGCTTCATAGAGTGGTTTAGGAAGTGTTCCTTCCTCTTCAGCTTTTTGGAAGAGTTCAAGAAGGATTGATGTTAAATCTTCTTTAAATGTTTGGTAGAATTTACCAGCGAAACTATCTGATCTTGGGCTTTTCTTTCTTGGTATCTTTTTGATTACTGATTTCAACCTCCTTACCAGTAAGTTAAAGGTCTGTTCAGATTTCCCATTTCTTCTTGAGTCAGTTTTGGCATTTTGCTTATTTCTAGGAAGTTGTCCATTTTCATCTAGGTTATTTGTTGGTGTACAACTATTCATAGTATTCTCTTATATTTTCTTTTTATTTCTATGAAATTGATAACATCCCTACTTTTGTTTTCTTAATGTTAGTGATATCTTTTCTCATTCCATTGTGATTAGAAAAGATGCTCACTCATTATTTTTTCTGTTTTCCTTCCTCAGCGGGTATTTCTTTGGGACTTGGATGAAACCATCATCATCTTTCACTCTCTTCTTACTGGATCCTATGCCCAGAAGTATGGAAAGGTAATTTGAGTTCCTTCCTATAATTGTCCATCTCCTTACTGTATGGACAGATAACCAAAGTCACTTTCTCTGCTACCTCCAACTTACCCTGTTCACCTTTCACTTTCCATGTAAAACTTTTCCTGATGGCCTTTACCAGGCAGGCTACATGGTCAGGCAGAGTTGATAAAGCTGGAGATTAGACCTAGAACCAATGCTGAAGGCTGAAGTTGTTCAAGAGTACTATAAAGACTAAATATGGGAATGAAGCTCAAAACACAGTAGAGTCTCAGGATTATATATTCTAAAGACTGATCTTTTAACCTTAATATCACTTTTAATAGCCCAAACTGAGCATTTTACTTAGCTGAATATAGGCCAGATATGTAAAAGTATAAAATATTTTTCTAAAATAGATTACATGCCTTCTTAAACTAAATATATTAAGCAGAATTTATTTAGTCATCAATATAAACATCAGTTTTAATAAAGGATAAACTATGTATTTCTACACTAAATTATCTCCAGACTTCTGTTTTTTAGTTTCTATGAGTAAATTTTACAAAAATATTTGCTTCCTTTGCTCTTTTACTATTCCCATTTATATCTTATTGTCATTAATGTTTCTGTTACAAGTACCTTCCACAGGCTTTTATTATCTAGGCTAGTTAACTAATATAAACTCCTACACAATGTAACTAGGCTGGTTATAAAAATATGTAAAATAAGAGTACAGAACCTCGTAAGTGAAAACCTGATGATTCACTTAAATTTTTTTTAATATATAATTTATTGTCAAATTGGCTAACATACAATGTGTAAAGTGTGCTCTTGGTTTTTGGGGTAGATTCCTGTGATGTATGGCATACGTACAACACCCAGTGCTCATCCCAACAAGTGCCCTCCTCAATGCCCATCACCCATTTCCCCCTCTCCCCCACCCCACCTTGAACCTTCAGTCTGTTCTCTGTATTTAGGAGTCTCTTATGGTTGGCCTCCCTCCCTCTGTGTTTGTAACTATTTTTTTTTCCTATTCCCATCCCCATGGTCTTTTGTTAAGTGTCTCAAGATCCACATATGAGTGAAAACATAGGATATCTGTCTTTCTCTGTTTCGCTTAGCATAATACCGTCCAGTTCCCAATGGTTCACTTTAAAGCTAAATGAAGTGGTTTTCCTACAAATACTTTGACTTCTCAGGCTTTTTTATTTCCTGGCTATTGAGATTGTCAGATAACTGACTGCTGATGTTACAGTGTGTGTACATGTGTGTGACGGGGAGGCTGAAGGGAGATAACGGGTGTTGCAATAGTAATATTTTAGCAATAGATAGCATTTCTCACAAAATAGGAAATTTCCACACAGATTGTTGTTATTTTTTTTAAGTGGGTTTAGTTTTCTAAAAATGAAGTCCTGAAATTTTTAACTTTCCACAATCCCAGATTCTTGTAACTGTGAATGGAATTGCATCAGTAATAGAAGCACTCTTGTGGGCCCATGTTGTTTTGGCCTTGACCCCAAATAACTCTGAAATATTTAAAGATTGGAACCAGTGCTGTTAGTACCAGTTCAAACAAATGTTTCACTTACTGTCTTCCAGGACCCAACAGTAGTGATTGGCTCAGGTTTAACAATGGAAGAGATGATTTTTGAAGTGGCTGATACACATCTATTTTTCAATGACTTAGAGGTAAGCATTTTAAATTGTTTCTGTGCTTCAGTAAAACATTTTGTTTGTTCCATAGCTCTTTATTGAGCCAAGCTTACTGTATGTAGAGGAAATGTGGTGAGACGGGGTGGTTGTGGAAAGGCCAGCTGGCCACTCGGGCATGCGTAGTCTTATAAGAACAGTGCCTTAGCTAGGTCACCAGTCTTGGTACTGGCCCTCGATTTTATTGGCTCAAAAATTTGATTTTTGTTAGCCTGTTTGGAAGTGATCTACGTCTAGGGGAAATGCGAGCCTATCAGGCAAAACAGTGAAAAGTAAACCAACGTTCCTACTTATTAATCTGTATTAAATAATATATAAGGTGGGTTTGATTCTTTGTACTCTAAATTATATTTTGACTATTGTTTGGTTTTACCTTCCTAAAATATAATCTCTTGATTCGTCAGATCTGTGAATGGCTATTCTACTAACTCATTATAATTTATACATGCTTATTATCCATGTGTACATTAACCTTGATGTCCAGAATCATTTTATAGTTAGAGGCAAGGAAAACCAGGAACAGTGAGAGCTTCTTGGTGAATTTTTTTGGCTTTGACATTTGAGTTCACCTTTGAAGTGACTGTGGTGTAGTAGAAAGAGCACAAGACTGGAAGTCAGAAGACCAGAGAGTGAGTTCCAGGTTAGGAAAGTTATCTCTGCATTCTGGGCTTCAGTTAAACAGTGATCTTACACTGGAAACTAGTTAACGGTTGACTTTCTACCTGGGGAAGAGGATGTGTTGCTGGGACACCAAGGTTGGAAGGAGCAGACTTGTCACTTCATGTCCTTTTGAGTTTCAAACTGTGTGCTACTTACATAACCTAGTTTTTAAAAACAGTGAAAATTTTAAATTAAAAAATAAGATAATGGGGCACCTGGCTGGCTCAATTAAAAGACCATGAGACTCTTTTGTGACTCTGAGCTCCATATGGGATGTCGAGATTACATAAATAAAATTAATAAGAAACTAAAAAAATAAAAAATAAGGTAGCATTTTGTAAACATAAAGTAATCCTATTTTTAAATACAATCTAGTTCTACTCAGTGGACAGTTCTCCAACACATTGAATTACCAGGGCTCTAAACTCTAGTACCTTTGTCTAAGCTCCACAGTGCTTAATCTTCCTCAACTTCACATGTTGATATGTTAGGACATCATAGTTTTTATTCAGCAAACATTTATTGAAAACCTACTTTGTGCCAATAATTATTGCCAAATTGTATTTGTAATGATTTTCTAGACATAGTCCTCACTCAGGACTGAAAGTTCTGTGAAGAATTTGACCTGAATGTGTTCCTGCCCCCCAGGTCAGTGGTTCTCAACTTTAGGGGGCATAAGAATCACCTGGGGAGCTTGTTAAAAATGAAGATTCTAGGACTTCACTCCCAGAAATTCTGATTGAAGTATGTCTGGGGTGGACCCAAGAATATGCATTTTTTAAGAACTTCCCCAGGGGATTCTGATGCAGGTGGACATCATAACATTGCCCTAGGTGGTGTCAACGGAGTGAATCTCTCAGGCAGGGGGTGGCATTTTGTGTCAGTAGTAGCATGGGTGTGGCGGAAAGAACCTTGGATTCAAATTAGAAGGCCCAGCCTCTTTCTAGATTCTTTCTATCACTCACTAGTTCTGTGACCTTGGATCATTCATGTCGCCTCACTTTTAGAACATGAGATTAACTTAAGTGACCACTTCTAGTTCCTGTGTTTGGATTTACAAATTTCTGTTTCAGTCATTCTGTTTTGATACCATGCTCTACCAGTGTCTCTTTCATCTGCAAATGTATTGGGTACATGCTATGTAAGAGCTCATGCTTCCTAGGACCAGACTAGAAGGGTACAAAGGAGGTATAAGATAATGGGTTGTGCCATAAGAGGGCTACGGTATAATAGAACTTAGAGTCTAGCATAGGACATAGATCTTCCCAACAGTGTGGGAGCTTGTGTTTGTACCCATGAGCTATTGTATCATCTCCGTGACTATTGAGATAAGAGCATACCTGAGGGTCGGGATGGTTAAGGAAGATTCCATGAAGACTGTAGGACATGAATTGGCCCTTAAAAGAAGTTGGACAGCAGGGGGTGAGAGTGATCGTCCACACACAGGAGAGACTATGAGGTATTTCATCATCTGCCATAATTTGTGGTCTTTTTACAATATGTTGTGGTGGTAATAGCACTTCTACTCCCTGGACTGAACTAGTGTGTGGTTTTGTCTTTTAACAGGAGTGTGACCAGGTGCATGTGGAAGATGTGGCTTCTGATGACAATGGCCAAGACTTGAGGTGATAGAAACAGTGATGTCTTAAACATCAGATTGCCTGTGCACAATCACTGTCTAGGTTCAGAGGAAAACAAAGATGAGTAAGACATGGCCCTAAAAGTTCTCACAGTCTGTTAGAGGAGACAGAGACAAACAGTTAATGATGGCATTCAGTGTGCAGAGGTGACTGTAGGAAATGTGATGGGGCACAGAAAAGAAAGTAATTCTGCTGGCTGTGGGGAGCAGCTGGTGGCCAACATTGGAGCAGCCTTCTCAGTGCAGTTGACTTTGCGTATGGCCTTAAATGGGGAGCGATGACAGAATGAGGAAAAAGCATTTCAAAGTAAAGGATGCACTCATTTCTCTTTGGCTAGACTTTCAATCAGGAAGAGTGTGCTTCCACACTGGTTACATTTAGATACAAATAAGCATCAGGAATTTTACCAAGGAACCTGATTGTGGGGGTCTGTGGTGTCAGGACTAACCCTGTGGGAGGCGATCTAAAATGTTCTGTCAGGGAGCACTAAACCAGGGGGTCTCAGTGGCAAAATGCTTGCTCAGCCTCCTCATTTCTCTCCTGGCTGCTGCCTCTTGGCCCAGCAGTCTTGGCCAAAATTTATCTGGCTTATATTTAAAGACTTGCAGAAAAAAAGACCGTCCCATTTTTCATGTTAATTTTTTTCAGGTTTGTCCCTTTTCATAAGCAAACAGTTCTTTCCTGTGTCTACCCTAAAATTGTTTCATCTGTGAATTTTCTTTTTTTTTTTTTTTTTTTAATTTTTTAGGTCTTTATTTTATTTTGAGAGACAGAGAGCGAGCAGGGGAGGGGCAGAGAGAGAGGGAGACACAGAATCTGAAGCGGCTCCGGGCTCCCAGCTGTCAGCACAGAGCCCGACGCGGGGCTCGAACCCACGAACTATGAGATCATGACCTGAGCCAAAGCCGGACACTTAACCGACTGAGCCACTCAGGCGCCCCTCATCTGTGAATTTTCACACATAGAGCAGAGCTGGGCATGCCTCTCCCTAAGGGCCAAATCCTGTAGGGCTGAAAACGAGGCAAAGGTTCCACATAAGGAGCAGCATCCAGTCACGCCAGCTCGCATAGCCACTGAGCACACCATTCCTACAAGATTTCACTGGGCTTCTTAAGAAAGAGCCCCGTCTGAAGCAGTTTATGATCTACCTGAACCCTAGTGGGTTGTTTTTTTTTCCCCTTTTTAACACGTGGCTAACCAGTACTTACCGAAATATCTTGGCAGCTTTATTTCCTTAGATACAGAATCTTACACTTACTGAATTCAGTTTTGACTTTTGGTTGAACCAGGTTGTCCCTAATTCTGTCGGTCATTTTGTCAATCCCTACTTAGGAAATATTTGTCTCTCCCAGCCTGTTTCACTGTATTACTTACCTATAGCTGTATGACAAATGACCCCAAAACTTAGTAGCCTAAAGCTATAAGCATTATCCTCTCATGGTTTTTATAGGGTGGGAACGTGAAAGTGACTTAGCAAGGTACTGTTGACTCAGGGTCTCTGAGACTAAAATCAAGATATTGACTGGAGCTAAAAATCAGTCATCTGAAGGCTTGATTACAACTGGAGAGCTGCTTGCAACCTCTCACCTGCAGCCGGTAGCGGGAGACCTCCATTGTTCTCGGTCCATACGCCTCTCCACGAGGCATCCTGGGTGTTCTCACGTGACAGCTGGCGTCTTTCAGAGCGAGTGATCCTAGAGAGAGCATGAGAAGCCTAGTCTCTGAGGTCTAACACCCTCACTTCAACCACATTCTGTTTACATTTAAATGCAGTCCATACCTATACAGAGAAGAATTAGAAGAGAGAAGTATTAAAGAATTTGTGGACGTTTTCAAGTCACTACTATGACCCATGAACTTAATAAACCAGCTTATATGTCTGAAGACTATCTCATTATATCTTGCAATTATTAGTATTTGGGGTTATTTCCTTCCATTATTTCATCACCTATTTCTCTGCTTTCCACTGTTGCTGTCGTGTGTGTGTGTGTGTGTGTGTGTGTGTGTGTGTACACAACAGTGTTACATTCTGGGTGGGGGGGTTCACTGTAAGATATGCTCTCATTAATGGGAAGATGCTCTATCCCAAGACCACCTCTAGGGGAAGTTGGTGCTTGAATGGTTCCTACCACTCGTTCCATCTCTCTCCTCCTTCGATAGCAGTAAAAGGGGTGAGGGAGATGACTAATGGAAGATAGATTCTGACACACAGAGATTAAGGGAAAAGGTTCTTAGAGCCTTTAGACTTGATGTCAGATGCCAGGAATAGGACAGAGAATCCCAGGTGGCATTCAACCAAACACCCAGACAATATCGGTATTAATTTTCATCATCCTCTCTCTCTGCAGCAACTACAGTTTCTCAACAGATGGTTTCAGTGGATCGGGAGGCAGTGGCAGCCATGGTTCCTCTGTGGGTGTCCAAGGAGGTGTGGACTGGATGAGAAAACTGGCTTTCCGCTACCGAAAAGTGAGAGAAATCTACGATAAGCATAAAAGCAACGTGGGTGGTAAGTGTGGCATACAACCAGTCTCATAAATCTGTTTCCTTCTGACTTCTTGCATTCTTTTCTAGGCATCCCTTAGAACTCCCTAGCAACTGCTTAGGGATTGGGGGCACAATAACATTTCAGCATAAAAAAATTGAGGTTTGATCAGAACCCTATTGGGAAGAAGCTCTGCATCTGTCATGTACTTCTCTTAACATGACTTTGCAGAGTTCTCTTGTTCTTTATTAGACAAATACCTTTTTAGAAGAAATGTGTTCCAGAGATTATGTTTGACGACTTATTTTATTCTGGAGTCACAACTGCTGTCAATACTAATTAATAGGTTGCCACATTTTTTGACTGTTTTATTTAACCATCGGAACAAGTCAGATAGAGGGGCACCTGGGTGGCTCAGTTGGTTAAGCTACCGACCGGCTCAGGTCATGATCTCTCAGTTCATGAATTCGAGCCCCACATCAGGCTCTGCTGATAGCTCAGAGACTAGAGCCTGCTTCAGATTCTGTGTCTCCCACTCTCTCTGCCCCTCCCCCACTCATGCGTGCACACATGTGCTCTTTCCCTCTCAAAAAAAAAAAAAGGTAGAACTAGTCACTAGGTTTATAGTGGATAGAAAACTAGGTCCAGAAATATAGTTGGCAGTAGCCCTGTGTTGGACCTTGGAAGTTCTTTCTGCCCAGGAATATCTCAAATTATCAGCTGTCGCTATGCCTAAAATTCCATTATTTGGAATTAATTAATTAGCCATAGAAGAAACATTTCTCATTTTGCATTTGAGAAAACATGTTTGTCATGAGGGTAATGAGGGCAGCTTACCCGTAGTCACAGCTGGAATCCAGTCCCCTAATTCTTGGTATAGTGCATTTTACATTCATGCAGTTCCTTTTTTTTTTTTAAGTGAAAGAAATTTTTCTATTTATGTTTTGTTGTTGTTGTTTTTAAGTAAGCTCTGTGCCCAATATGGGGCTTGAACTCACAACCCCAAGAGCAGGAGTGGAATGCTTAATGACTGAGGCAGCCAGGCACCCCCATGCAATTCCTTCTTTAGTGACGTATCCTTATGAGGAACAGTTTTAAACTGTGAACCGTCACCCTCAAAGATCTGCATATACACAGACTATTGCATGAAGTTTCAGGGATATCATACACTGTCTAGAGCTATATTACCCCAGATCAAGAGAGTCCTCCTGCCACACCATGCTGCCTTACATTTTGGTAAGCAGAAAGTAAAAATAGGGCTTCAAAGATAATTTTGTTCATTTTTTTTAGAGCCCTCCAGTACCAGATAAAAATCACAGGCATCTGGGCTTTGGGAATCTGATTTGCTGTTTTTAGATTCCCCTTTTTATGTCCTTTTTTTTTTTTTAATCATGATTCAGAGTCAGTACTTTTTATTTGGACAACTCCATCTTTTTGCTTTTACGCTCTCCAGACATCAGCCTTCTTTTGTTTCCATATACAGCCTAAGTATCTGATCTTTTTTTTTTTTTTGCCCAGTGAGTGCCAGAGTGCCAGGACCTGGTTTTCTAAAGAAAGTGATAATGATGCTCAGTGAGAATCCCCTGAACCTACCCTGGGGAACGTATTAAAACTAATGTCTACCTGTATTATAAAATAGGAATTAACAAAAGTGTACAACATATTACTAGTTAAGAATGTGACATGTACACCTATGTGTACCACACATGACATACAGGTATTGGTTTTGTTTTATCAGAGACATTGAAAATCATGTAATTCTAGGCTTGCATTGTGAAACCATCAATCTGAAAACATACACAGTTCTCACAGAAATGCCTTCTCTTACGGCATATCTGTAGTAGAATATAGGATTTCTCTTTCTACTAGGATTTCTCTTTCTACCTTCACTATAAGAAAATACAGGACCAGATTGAATTATTTGAATTTTATAATTCAAGTGTCTGATAACATGCTGCCATCAGATCAATCCTGTTTTTTTCTGTGTCGAATTGTCTGATCTTAAGCACTGTTTTAGTCTCTTCTTAGCTGGAGTTGTTTCACAAGTAAGTATTTACAAATAAATGATGTTCATAGAGTTGGTCATTGAACCTGGAATCTCAGGGCGATTTTTGCACAGGGGCGAAAGCACAGTCCCACGGGAACAGTGCAAAGCAGTACAGAGACTTCTGAAACCAAAGCCACTGACTTGCTGTGTGATCTTAGGCAGCCTCCTTTTCCTTCCCAGGCTTTAGTGTCTTTAGAGAGATTGGAAATGCTGCAGACTCTTCCAGCTATAACCCTCATTTTGTCCCCTTTGATTCTTGCTATCACGTTAAAGTAGTGCTCCTCAAAGTAGGTCCATCAGTCTGCGAATTACGTTATTGGCCGGTGATAAAAGAGTGAGTTTGTGGCAGAATCTAATCACAGTGTTTCTTCAGCTGATTTTATTGTGGTGGTTGTGCCCCCCAGAAAACATTCTGATAAAGTCAAAAAGACATCTTAATTAAGTAGGCTGCTCTAGGGTTTTACCAAGAGGAGAAACCTCTTAGCTCAGTAGAATATTTCAGTGACTCACATTATTTCTAAATTGAATTTAGAAGTTGCTTCCTCTGTGTCAACAAGGTATGTAGTCAAATGATAAATGTGTCTGCTTTTATTCCCAAAGGCCTGCTCAGTCCCCAGAGAAAAGAAGCACTGCAGAGACTGAGAGCAGAAATTGAAGTTTTAACAGATTCCTGGTTAGGAACTGCATTAAAGTCCTTACTTCTCATCCAGTCCAGGTATGGAAATAGTTCTTTTTGTTCTCATCCTCTCCAAGAAACACTCTTTCCTGCCCCAGTCCATGATAGGCCACTCCCTAACATAGGTTTGGGATGGGATGAGAGGAGTTTAAAGTATGCAGGCAAACATTTAGGGCCATTTAGGAGGTGAGGTCATTCTGCGCTAACAGCACACCTTTGAATTTTAAGAGAATATTTATACATGAAAGCGTTTTTCTTTCTCCGTACATTTTTCTCACAGAATTAAAGCTCAGGGACCAATAATCTCCAGCCAGGAGATGGGTCTTGTCACATCAAAGAATCCACATAGGAGACACATCACATATTCTAGGTACAGGAAGCTCTGAAGAAATGTACCAAAACCCACTCAGAAAGGCAGGATTCAAAAGGAATATATTAAGCAGTTTATGGGTATTTCAGCTTGAGGTTTAGAATGGGAAATAAATATAGTCAAATACAGCCTGCACCAATACTCTATTGCTGCCTTCCTCAAAGCAAGAATTCCAGGTCTACAACTTAGTAGAGCAAACGGTAAAACTGACACTGAAGGGTGGGTATTCCTGAAGGTGAAGTACATGTGAAATTAACGTGTATTCTGGAATCCGTGTTGCTATTGTGTAAAAGGCAAAGAGGACTTAAATTATATCCTACTTAAGGGCTGAGTTGCATTCAGATGAACTAGCACTGTGGCTTTAAGCCTTTGTTGCTGGTTTTCCAGAGTGTAGGGTCAGTGACATGGGTTGGTGGTTTATTTGCTAACAAGTGCAGTGAGCAAGAATGGTTAGAAAGGAAATGAAGCAAGAATCAAGTTCCTGCTCTGTGCCCGCTATATATATAGAATCTCTGTCCTTTAATATAGGAAGTAAATAAACCCAAGATAACTAGAGCAGTAACTGAACATGGCACTGAACAAATATCAGGCCCTTTGAGGTTAGTTCTTAATAATTAGATCCCAAAGAGAAGACCCATTTGAATCCTTGGTCCTCAGTTTGGTTTGGTTTGGTTTCATCTTTCTCTTTTCTTTTTCTTTTTTCTCCCTTCTAGAAAGAATTGTGTGAATGTTCTGATCACTACCACCCAGCTCGTTCCAGCTCTGGCCAAGGTTCTCCTGTATGGGCTAGGAGAAATATTTCCTATTGAGAACATCTATAGTGCTACCAAAATTGGTATGGTTTCTGTTTTGTTTCTTGTCTCTTGCTTTACATAATACTACCTACTTATGATGCATTTGATTATTTATTAATCCCTTAATTAAGCATTTATCTATATATATATTTCCTAATATTTGTGATGGGCCAGTTAGTTTAGGCATAACAGCTGTGTAGCTTGCTCAAAGCCTCATAGCTAGTAAGTTACATAAACAGGATTCAAATCCAGGTTTGTAGAATTAAAGTTTACCATGTTTTTTCCTTTTATAATAATTGAAAAGAACATGTGGATAAATTGGAACCCTTCTGCACTTTTGGTGGGAACATAAAATAATGTAACTGCTGTGGTCAACAGTATGGCGGTTCTTCAGAAAATTAAAAATGGAACTATCATGATCAGCACTCCTGCTTCTAGGTATATATCCAAAAGGATTGAAAGCAAGATCTCAAAAAATATTTGCACACCTATGTTCATAGTCGCATTACTCACAATAGCTAAGAGATGGACGCAGCTCAGATGTCCATCCAGTGATTGGATAAACAAGATATGGTATGTGCATACAGTGGGATGTTACTCAGCCATAAAAGGAAAGAAACTCTTGTCATATACTACCACATGTATCAGCCTTGAAGGCATTATGCTAATGACATAGGCCAGTCACAGAAAGACAAATACTTGCTTAGAGAAGTCAAATTCATAGAAATAGAATGTAGAGTGGTGATTAACAGGGGCTTGGAGGAAAGGGAAATAGGGAATTGCTGTTTAATGGGTATAGAATTTCAGCTTTGCACCATGAAAATTTCTAGAGATACATGCTGCACAACAATGTGAGTATACTTTACACTGCTGAAATGTACACTTAGAAATGGTGAAGATGGCAAATTTCTGTTCTGGGTTTCTTACCACAGTTTTTTGAAAAGGAAAAGAACAGTAATAAGGACTAGAATTGAACTCCTATCTCTCTCACTTACTAGTTCTTACCTTAGGCAAATTACTTTATCTCCTGAGCCTCAGTTTTCTCCAATAAAATAACAAACTTCAGAGAGGTTGTGAAATCAAATGACACTATGTATGAAGGTACTTTTGAGCCCCTAAAAATGTATTCAGTATCGAGTATGTGAAACAGTGGGTACTCAGTAAACATTTGCTGAATTAATTAACCGGTGCTAGGTACATATAAAATCAACTTGTTCCATTAAGAAGGCAGCAGAATTCTCACTCTGCTTCTTGTGTGCTACACACGGTCAGGGAAAGAGGAACATGACATTTTAATCTAGTACATGCCTGTTAATCAGCTTTCTCCATAAAAAGTAGGTCTGATTTTTTTTTTATCCCAGGACCTGTGGAGGTTTAAGCCCACCAAGTCCTTTTGACATTTATTTTTCTTCATTCAGTCAGCAAATATTTCTTGGCCACCTTTTTGTGCAAAGCATTTTGCTAGGTACTAGGGATGTAGCAGTGATCCAAAAAGACAAAAATCCTTGCCCCTAGTGGGAAGAAATAGTCAGTAAATAGGTACGTAAATTATATATGTCATATGATCATAAGTGCTATGGTTGACAATCACGAAAAGAAGGTCATGTTTCTTTTTTTTTTTTTTTATTTAAGAAAATTTTTTAAATGTTTGTTTATTTTTGTGAGAGAAACCGAGTACGGGCTCGGGAAGGGCAGAGAGAGAGGGAGACACAGAATCCATGAAGCAGTCTCCAGGCTCCCGAGCTGTTAGCACAGAGCTCGACGCAGGGCTTGAAACCACAAACCTGGAAATCGTGACCTGAGCCAAAGTCAGACACTCAACCGACTGAGCCATCCAGGCACCCCTAATTTTTTATTTTTTATTTATTTTTTATTTTTTTGATGTTTTATTTATTTTTGAGAGAGAGATAGAGACAGCGTGAGCAGGGGAGGGTCAGAGAGAGAGGGAGACACAGAATCTGAAGCAGGCTCCAGGCTCTGAGCTGTCAGCACAGAGCCCGACGTGGAGCTTGAACCCACGAACCGTGAGACCTGAGCCGAAGTCGGACGCGTAACCAACTAAGCCACCCAGGCATCCCCCTAATTTTTTATTTTTGAGAGAAAGAGCACAAGAGTGCATGCAGGGGAGGGGCAGAGAGAGGGACAGACACAGAATCCGAAGCCGGCTTCAGGCTCCATTCAGGTGTTCCTGATCTGTCAAATAAGATTGCTTTTAGCTACATGGAGGAGGTCATTAATAACCTTGACATGCAGTTTAAGCAAAATGATAGGGGTGAAATCCTAATTAGAATGGATTTAAAAGAGAATGGGAAGAGCTGGAGACGTCAACCATATGACAACACTTTAGAATAGATCAATTGCAAAGAATAACAGAGAAATGACGCAGTAACTGGAGGAGTATATGGGTTCAAGAAGATTTTTGAACATAAGAGAAATTCTACCAAGTTGATATGTAGGTGGAAATGATTCACATATGAGGAAGGACAATAGCGATACCTCCTGTGTGTCAGGTATTGCCAAGGCGCTAGGAATACAGCACTTACAAAATCCTCTGTCCTCGTGGAATTCACCTTCACTTGCTTGTGCTAGGATAATTGGGTTATCCGTATGAGGAGAAAAGCAGCATGTGTTCCTTCTTTATGCTGTTTGAAAAAATAAATTTCAGGTGGATTTAAAAAAACATGGTAAGTAGAACTTTAACCTTTAGAAGAAAATACAGAAGAATAGAAAAGGATCTCATTTAAAAGACCCAAAATTAGGGGTGCCTGGGTGGCTCAGTGGGTTGAGCACCAACTCTTGGTTTCAGCGCAGGTGATGATCTCACAGTTCATGAGTTCAAGCCCTACATGGGCTGCATGCTGATGGTGCGGAGCCTGCTTGGGATTCTCTCTCCCTCCCCCTCCCCTGCTCGCTCTCTCTCTCTCTCTCTCTCTCTCTCAAAATAAATAAACTTAAAAAAAAATAAATAGACCCAAAAAATAGTTCTTAAAAACAAACCAGATTGGGAGAAGAGATTCGCATCCCTTTTACTTGTTAATTAGTATACAAAATCTATAAAGAACTATAAATCATTAAGCAACAAACAATGTATTAGAAAAGTGGACAGAAACCTTGGAACAGCCAATTTGCAGAAAGGGAAAATCAGATTACCAGTAAACATATGAAGAGTTCCTTAACCTCACCAATGAAGGGTATGCAAATTAAAGAAATGTGTATTAAAATCTGATGCACTTCCTGTTCATCAGATTTGACAGAAACTTAGTCTGACAGTGCCAAATTCTGTCAAGGAAATGAGAACACTCACTCTATCTTTGGGATTGAAAATGGATATAGCCCTTTTTGGAGAAAGTTTGTCAATGTCTAGAAATGTTAGAGATGTGCATAACCCTATGATCAACTCCACTTTTATAAAGTTTTTTAAGCATTTATTTTATTTTTGAGAGAGCATGAGTTGGGGAGGAGCAGAGAGAGAAAGAGACACAAAATCTGAAGCAGTCTCCAGGCTCTGAGCTGTCAGCACAGAGCCCAAGACAGAGGCTAGACTCATGAACCACGAGATCATGACCTGAGCCAAAGCTGGACTCTTAACCGACTGAACCACCCAGGCGCTCCTAAGCAATTCCACTTTTAGATAGATATGCTTTAGTGCAGGGGTCTGCAGACTCTAATTCATGTACCAGATTCTGCCCACTGCCTGTTTTTATATAGTTTTATTGAAACATAGCAATGTTGGGTCATTTTAATAACTACTTCACCCTACAGTAGCAGAATTCAGTTGTTCCAACAGAGATTAATTATATGTATATGACCTGCAAAGCCTGAAATATTTACTACCTGACTATTTACAGAAAGTTTGCCAACTTAAGTTGCCTGCCCTTAAGTAATTCTCACATTCACAAGGAGACCTGTGTGAGGATTTTTTTTTTTTGATGCCACATTGTTCATAATAGAAAATACTTAGAAACAGCCTACCTGTGAAAATGGATGTCCATGGAAAGAAAATGGATAAATAGATATATCCAAACAATGAATGCTATACAGCAGGTAGAAGTGAATTAACTAAACCTGCATACATCTGCAAGGATTAATATGAAAAGCAATGTTCAACACAAAAAACACATTGCAGATAAGTACAGCATATATCCTTTATTTAGAAGTCAAAAATGTTCACAGCCATATACTATACATTGCTTTTGGGTACATACGCAGAAAGGAAAGGTTATCAGGTGGGGATACACAGGAAACTTCAAAAAAAATCTGTAATATCTCATTCTTATTTTCTTATCTAAAACAAAGATAAAGTGTTATGATTTGACAAAAGTGGGTTGGTGGTAGGCATACAGGAGTTTATTTTTATTCTTTTTTGAGTGTGTATGTTGATTTCATTGACAACAGATTAGGGGAAATGTACCTCCCCCCGGCCCCATTCATATTTTTGCTATTGCTGCCACTGCTTCACTGTGCATTTCATAAGAACCCAGAGCATTCACTAAAGCTTTTCTACAGAGTCCTGACACCTGTTGGGTGGGAATGATTTTATTCCCTTTGACAGTACATGTGCTTATTTGGTAATTTTTCTTAATCTCATTTCATCCAGAGCTGATTTGTGAAGCTGTAGTGGCACCTGGTACCTTGGTAACCACAGTGAGAGTCTTAAGGCTTTCCTTGACAGAACTGTGAAATGGGGAGCAAGGAGAAGAAATATTTGTTTCCTTCCTCTGAAATGATTTCAGAGCTGTGGTTCTCTTAGTAGCCACTCTATTATCTTGGACATTAACAAGACTTCTCAAAGTCATCTCTGAAAATGTCATAAGCACTTTTGATAGGGGAAGCCCAGAAACCTAATATTCTCCACAAAGGCTTGGTTGAAGTCTTGCAGTTATAGATTCACTTGTTTGACATTTGGTAAGCTGAGCGGTCATTGGCCATACCCTCCTGAATGGAAAGCTCATCTCCACGATTGTTTTGAGAAAGTAGAATGCAGGGGGTATATTTACCAATGGTATTGGAGTCATTTTTTCATGTAGCTAGTTCTTCACTTTGAGCTGTTAATAACTCTCTCCATCTCTTAATCCTTTTAGAGGAGACATTCCTAAATGTATTTCATCCTTGATCATTACATGCCAGGACAATGAAAACATCTCTGTGTCCTTGCCCTCTAAATAGGAGATGTTTCCTTTGTTGGATCTTAGGAAACAAGTCTAAAATCTGACTGACTTAAGGTTTTTTTCTATAGACAGATCATAAAGTAGACTGGTTGGCTTAGGTTATAAGGATGTAATATTTGGAATGGAATTAAGACAGCTCTTCAACACTATGAACATAATAAAAATTTATTAGTTGAAATATTTAATATTTGAATTCGGGCTCAAAACATGGACTACAGTCGTCTACTGAGTCATTTATGAGACTAATAAGCATTTACTCTGCAAACATTGACTGAGTTGCCTGATTTGAATGTCAGACATGACAATGCTATTGCAAAGTGTTAGCATTGAAAGGGACCTGAGAACACCTGAGTCAAGCTTTTTATTACAAGTGGGAGGCTGAAGCCCAGAGTAGACTAGTGTTTGGTCCAGGTGACTAGTTCACCTAGTTTGAGATGGCAGTTGGGCTAGAGATTTCAAAGACTTGGCAGTTGCTTAGATGTGCCATGCAGGGCTTCTGAGTGTAGGTATTACAGGTTCTTGTCAGTTAGGATCTAGTTATTTATATACTTACTGCAGCAATTTTCCAGCAGATGGCAGTCAAGTGCCTTGAGGAAGAGGCACTTTTTTCTTATTCACACAGGAATCCTGGTGCTCAGTCACTGGGTCTGGTAAGAAGAGAGGATGAGCCAGTTAAATGGAGCAGGATGAACAAGGAAGCAGAGTTAGGACCTTGCTTACCTGAAGAAGGGGACAGAAACAGGGAAATAAAGTATAAAATGGTAAAAAAAAAAAAAAAAAAAAGCAAGAGAAATAATTTCATTTTTGTTTATTTATGCAAGTAAAGTGTCTTTCCTATACCAGTATCATCTGTGCATGCTTCTGGTATGTCCCAGATGGGATTTGAATTTTGATGCACTGCCAGTGTTTCTCAACTGCATGGATTTAAATCACCCTCTCTTTCCCCAAGGTCAATTTCAGAGATACACTATCTCAGTTGCAGTTACAACGTATAATAGAATATTCTAGATGTGACAGATTTACTGCCATATTCATTGGTACTCTGAAGCTCTCCCCTGCTAAAAGACGTAAGACCCATGCCTAGGACTGTTTCTGGAAAATGAGGAATTGGAGGAAAATAGTTTGCCCATTTCATGTTACAAACAAATCAGGACCTTACGCTTCCACTTTTTTTTCCCTCTACATTAAAACAGTTTCCCTCCAGGATCATGCTTTCATCATGGCATGACAGCCAGAGCCTACACTTGGAACCAGGAGCCCAAAGTGTAGCTACTAGCTTGTTTGTGATCTAGAACCAGTTACTAATCCTTTCAGGCTCTGTTTCATCTGTACAATAGGAAATGGTAGTGATCTCACTGGACTATTTTGAGAATTCATTAAAGGAGTACCTTGAGAGCTGCTTTGTTAAGCTATAAAATGCAGGAGATGTGGAAGAGGGAGGTGGTATCCCACCTCTCACACATTCTAGGCTCCTTTGCCTAAAATCCCCCACACTAAGATCTTAGGGGCTTTACCCTCAGTATGATGATTAAAATAACATAGAAAGCACAATGCCTAGAAAGCCTGGCGTTGTCTTCATTGACATCTTAGTAGCCCAACTTCTCATTCTTTGGGCAGCGTGCCTGCTGGGTCTCCAGCGGCCACACCTACTCCCCTCAGACTAACCACATGGACTACTACTTGTTCTGTCCACGCATAGGGAGGTGAACCAGCAGCAGCCCTTCTCTTTGGTGTTGAAAAAAGTTAGGGAGAATATCCTAATGGGAAATTTCTTTTTCTCATCAGGTAAGGAGAGCTGCTTCGAGAGAATTGTGTCTAGGTTTGGAAAGAAAGTCACATATGTAGTGATTGGAGATGGACGAGATGAAGAAATTGCAGCCAAACAGGTAACCATAGTAAAGAGAACAGTGCATGTGGGAATGCATCAAGCAATTAGAAAAATGGTAAAAGTCAGAAATCATAGCAATCTGTTGTACATTTACAGTGTTTTCCCTTCTCTTTCTCTCCCATTTTTCTTTAAAGAGGTTCATTTGTTTCCCCAAATAGAGTTTTCCTGTAACTTGTTAGATCCTTCTTTTCCCCCTTCTGTTTGCCACTCAAATTTTAAAATCCTTGAGCCCTGTTGTGGGGACCCCCATCATTAAACCTGATATGGGCCCCATCTTCCATCTTCATCGTAGAGGGCAGTGCCTTCCCAAGAGCATGAGACTTCACTACAAAAAGGCAGATCAGGGGCACCTGGGTGGCTCGCTCAGCTGAGAGTCCAACTCTTGATTTTGGCTCAGGTCATGATCCCAGGGTCATGGGATCAAGCCCCATGTGTTGGGCTCCATGGTGAGCCCTCTCAGAGGGATTCTCTTTCTCTCTCCCCCTTTCCCTCTGCCCCTCAGTCCCACGCATGCTTGCTCACTCTTTAAAAAAAAAAAAAAAAAAGCAAATCATTCTAACTTTTCCAGGCTTTAGATCTTCAAAAAGCCAGTACAGGGGTGCCTGGGTGGCTTACTCGGTTAAGCATCCGACTTTCGCTTAGGTCATGATCTCACGGTTCGTGGGTTTGAGCCCCGCATCGGGCTCTGTGCTGGCTGCCAGCTCAGAGCCTGGAGCCTATTTCAGAGTCTGTATCTCCCTCTCTCTCTGACCCTCCCCTGCTCACGCTGTCTCTCTCTCTCTCTCTCCTAGAAATAAATAAAAATATTTTTAAAAAATTTTTTTAAAAAGCCAGTACAATCAAGTGGAAGTTTAGATAAAATCCTTCCTGCTTCCAAGCCCAGGAAAGATTCTTCTGATGTTAACCTCCTCACTGTGCAAGTCCCAACTCCAGGTCATCTCGTCTTAATACGGGAAACAGTAGATGGAAGGAGTCTTGGCTCTGGAATCTAAAAGTAGATTGGTTCAGATTTCATCTGTTTCTTAGCTATGTGACTTTGGACAGCTTATCCTCATCTGCATTTATTAAATGGATCTACAGACGTTGTTTTCCTTGACCCTAGTGTCCTTCCAGCAACTCTGTTCCTTGGACTTGGAGGTAGTAGGTTGCCAGCTAGGACCAGCTGTCCTGATGTCTTAATCCAGTTAATGTACAGTCTTCAACTATTAACAAATTGTGGGATTGGTAATCTGGTGACATTATTACCTCATAATGTTTTCATTTACCATTTTATGTGGCATTTCTTTCTTTTTTTTTTTAATGTGTTATCTCCGAGGTTTTGATTCTAAAATACTTGTCCTCTAAGAAAGACACTAGTAACTAGTAGATGGAGGCATTAGTGCTTCTTGGTTTGAAGAAGGGAATGGGCAAGATAAAGAACAACTTCAGTCATTAGCAGAGTTGGTGCCTCTAAGCTGATGCCTAGATAATCATATACCTTTGAATAAACCCACTGGAAAATGCCATGGAGTTCCATCCAGTTCAACCTTTACCCTGTGAGGGACCTTTTCTGCAGCTACTTTGACAGAAGACATTCTGGTTCTTCCTTGAATACACCCAAGGAGGGGGGAGTGCTTCCTGGGTGTCCTGTTCTACCAAACTCATGTGTCTGACTTTCACATCTTGGTCCTAGTTCCGAGCACAGCATAACAAATCTGTTTCTTCTTCTGCATGTTAAAAGCCTTTTAAATATTATATGTGAGCAGTATGTTTGAAAAAACCCTGAGTTACATGCCAAAAGAACTTTTGTAGGACTTCCATATTCCAGGTAATTTGCAACCGTTTTGAGCAAAAGTCAGTAAAGCCAATCCCCTTCAGCTTCAGAGAACATAGTTTCCAACACTTGCATTTTTCAAATCCCTTCTTTAAAATGTGGCTTCCAGGAAAACAAATTTTTTTTTAAGTGGCTTCCAGAACACGCAGTATTCTGGACAGGATTCTGACGACATAGTTTATGGGATTATTATTTCTCAGATCTATGTATTCTGCGTCTTAACTCGTAAACAAGATTTGGGCTTTGTAGCTCTGAAACTTACCATCTGTAAAAATGAAATGTAATATTAATACTGATTTCTTATGTGGGTCATTTTATTTGATCCTGAAGACCCTATATAGTAGCCAAAACGAGTATATATCATTAAAAAAACAGTTACCAGTAAAGACCTAATAAAAATCTCTCATCTTTTCAAGTGTCCTGTAGTGCACAGAGTCCTTATACATATGACTCACCGGATGCTTATAACAGCCCTAGAAGGTGGGCAGAAGTAGAGAAGGGTACCAGGTATCTTGGTGAGAGGAACGGGTTTATGGGTAAACACAAGCTCCCAAAAGAAGTTGGGTTAATCAGCTACCAACTGGCCCCTCTCTTCCAGCACAACATGCCTTTCTGGAGAATCACAAACCATGGAGACCTCGTGTCCCTCCACCAGGCTTTGGAGCTTGATTTTCTCTAAGAACTGGAATGAAGACCCTCCCCCATGAGCTCCTTTCCACTCCTGAAGGGAGCTGGAGACCGGAACTGTCTGGGAACTCTCTCTGTCTCTGTCTCTGTCTCTGTCTCTCTGTGTGTGTGTTTCTCTCTCTCCACGGGACGCTGGCGAGAACACAGAACGAACCGCTGCAAGGGACGAAGCTTATTTTTGCTAAAAGTGAGCTGCAGCCCCGTGTTCATCCTCATGCAGAGGCAGGAGGCGGTCAGATTGAGAGAACAATAGACTCACCGCAGCTACAGTGCTTTTAATTCTTCTGGTTTCTGTTTTGTTTTATTTTGTTTCAAGAAATGAAGAAAAGAAAAGGAAATTCTTGGGGCAGAGTTGCACTCTTAGTTCGCGACCAGTTTGAGAACTGCTCTGAACTTGAGGTGACAGGATGAGCGTGGCAGACTTTTGTGATACCATCTCTTGCAGTCTTTGTAATCTCCGTAGCTGTAGAACATATTCCCAGGGAATGTACATGTTATTTTTATAGTTAAGGGTCTGGTCTCTGAAGCAGGTTTTCCCTCCTTTCTTTTTTCTAGCAAGAAAGGGGTGTGTAAAGTTTCCTTGGAAAATAGCAACTGAAATATCTAAAATACCTCTCTGTGACAGTGGCACCTCTTTAGCTGCTCCCATGGTCTGCTCTCTAGGGTGGTTGCCTTCCTGTTCTTCCATCTCCTAGTTGGCTGAACTGTGGGGCACTGGACACTGATTAACTTTAGACTTTGGTATTTCCCATCCTAGAAGCCTTAGTCGCCTTTCCAGTCCCCGTCCCCCTTTAACCAAATGGCACAACTCTAGGAATTCCCCCTCTTAAGACGGTAAATTCTAAGCCTTCAGCTTGACTCTTATTCAAAGGCTGTGTCCCAGAGGGCTTACCTCCAAACTGGAGGAAAAGGACTAAGGCTTCATTTGAGTTTCTGCTGCTTTGGCTCTTGAAACAAGAAGATTCCATCTTTTCCTCCCGCAGAGAAGCACCTTTCCCCAACAGCTGCTCACCCCTGCAGCCTTCTCTTCCTTCTTAGTCATCGGTACTAGAGTCTTGCCCCTTTCCTGCCCTCTGTACCTCACATCCACCTCCATGCATCTCTGGCCAGTCCCTCAGCTTTGGACCCAAGAAGTTAAGTCTAAGAACAGACTCATAACTACATATGACTTCCTTTGAAGCCCTTAAGCCAAGAGAGGTATTCTGGGCATATATTTACCCAGATCTCTGCCTGAAGCTGAAGAACAGATTGTTATGAACAAAACCCAGTTTTCCCATGGAACACCCTTCCCACTTCTCAAATCCCATTCTAAAATGGGAAACCATAAGGCCAGGAAGACTTTCCTGATTTAAGTGAGGGTGCTGGAACCCTATTCTATGCCTGAACATTTAATCCTGGGCCAAATGGAGGAACATGTCTCACCCTGACCTCTGGTAAGATTGGTGGGTGCTGGGCAACTAATCCCAGCCTTACAGCCTGGCTGTGTTTGTGGATGCTCCGTCCCTCCGAGACCAGCCAGGGCATCTGCTCAGGCAAGATACACTTTGTAGAGCTGCAGAAGTTCAGCCCCTCCCAGGCCACGTGGAGAGCCGTGGCTATCTAAGCACATCAGGTGTGCAGTCTGGGTCCTCAGTAGTAGGCATCCCTTGACCAACCCCTGCTATGATTGCTTGCCCCCCAAGATTCTGCATATATCCATTTCCAGAGATGTTGTGGCACAAAGAGGCCAGGCTCTTTCCAATGCCAGGCCACCCAGATAGCAGAGAAAGGCTGATACACACATTCCTTCAGAACTGATTGAGAAAGTGCTTCATTACTCACAATTTTTAGGGAAACAGTTTTGGGGGAGAAACTGAAGTCAGTACTCATGACTCAGCTGCCTCTTTGGCCTTGTCTCCGTTGGCAGGTGGGGGAAGCGATGGGGCATGTCCTCTGAGGCCACCCTTCCATGGTCTGTGTTCAGCATAGCTGTCCAGATGCTGCTCTGCCTTGCTTGATGATTGATCCTAGAAAGCTCCACCATGGGTCTTCCAGGGCCCAAGCTCTCCCCATACGGGCCGTCTAACTGTTGGTTTCTTGCACTGGACATGGGCGTCTGGTTGGTGCTATACTTCAGGCTCGTGAGGCTGTGGAGTGGCTCCCCCACCAGGCACACAGGTCTACATGCAAACGCTTCTCTCTCCCTGCCCTTTGGGAGAAGCTGTTTATCCCAGTAGTATGACTTGGACCCTCTTTCAGTGGCATTTCCCCCTCCCCACCCTGACTGCCCAGCTTCAGTCTTTGCAAAAGGAACTTGAAATTGGCTGAGAGAGGTGAAGAAGCTCTGTAGAGCAGAACAACCTCTGCGCTTTTCTGGTTGTCGCTGCCCTCCTCATAAGGCAGACAGAAGATGGGAGCTCCCTGATTCCTCTTTGCCAAAATGAGTTGTCAGGGAATGCAGTGTTCACCTTTTACCCTGTGTTTTCTTCCTCCCCAGCACAAAGATCTGGAAAGGAAAATAAGTGGGTAGCACCAAGAGCTCTTGGAAACTGAGGGCCAAAGGATACCGTGGGTCATTTCTTCAATGAGGGAAAGTAAAAAGGGAAGCCTCTTTATGTAAAAGTGTCCCCGGGAAATTAGCCACGTGATGAGTCTTTCCCCCAGCTGGGCACTGTGGGTTCTAGAAGATGGGTCTGCACATTTCACAGTGAGAACTGTCTAGCACGGGATCTGAAGTTGTCAGATGGTGTCCTGGGCTTAAGAGGTGGCTTGACTTCCGAATGTAAAACTGACTGTGCCTTAGCATCACTCTGTCCCAGTGCCCCGGGGCAGCGGCTGGTGTCCAGGAGAATAGATGCCCGTTCCAGATGTGGATGCCTACATGGGCTGTTATTTGGTTTGGGGTATTCCTGTCTTCTGCTCTGCAAATTGGGGATGGGGGGCGCAAAGCTAGTATCCCGGAGACTTGTGCCACAGCTGATTCGCAGTGTATGCAAACTCCCCTTTAAAGCTCCAGGTAGAATCTGATTGGCAAACTCTAGCTGCAGCACATGGAGCGTCAAGATGTTCATTACTTTGAATGGGTGTCAGTGCCCCTGAACCATGGGGGAGAGGAGTATAGAGGCAGAGCCACATTCTTCCCCTTCCTGGTCTAAGCCAACAGTGGTGGGTTTGGGCCTTCCTCTCCTCACACCTGTAGAAGGGAGGCAGATAGGGCCCTTCTTAAGGAGGCTTCTACTCCTTACCACTAAATTGGTTTCCTTTTTCATCCAAAAGTTGGAACTCTCCAGGTGTTCACACTTACAAAGAAGCCAAATCTGAATTCTGGGATTCTAAAATATCTTCAACTATGAGAGAAAATCTAGTTCTGTCCCATCCCTGATTAGCAGGCCCCCTCTGTCCCTTCCTCTCTGAGTCAGCTCCAACAAGCAAGGCTCCTTGGCTAGTTCCTAATGCACTGATAGGAGCCATCTCATTAAGGACAACTTCTATTCAAAACAGGACCCTCTGGACTTCCGATGCCTCATTTAGCAGGAGAAGGCATTGAGTGGATTGGACATATTTATGTGACTGCGGGCATTCGTGGCTGTGTAGAGTCCTTGACCATAATGTTATATGTAATGGGAACTATCTTATAAACTTGAAAGAATAAAGTTTTTATTTTCTATACAGTTTGCTCCTGTGTCTTTTCTGAGTAGGATCAACCCAGTTGCCCAGCGAAGCAGGCTCCTAAATAGGGCTTTAAAAGAAAATCTGAAAAGCTCATTAGGACGATGGCACCCTTTCAATAAGTCAGTCATTAATTTCATCAAAAAAGTAAAAACAAAAAAAAAACCCATTTGGTATAAATGTACATGGGGAAGTAAAAGAAATATTTTAAAATAACTTGCAAGGGAAAGTTTATTTCTTAATTGTTTCTAAAATCTATTGCTTTTTAAAGTTTAGGACTGGAATGATAAGAGGTTTCATTTGCTGTCAAATGTGCTAAAACTTAATTATTATTGAAGAGAGAAATCAGTACCTTGCTGTGATGAGCTGAAAATGCAAAAGCAATAAAACTGACAAACTGACATCAAACCTCGCTTGATTTGGCCTGATTTCATGTCACATCAACTACTTTTTCTCATTTCATTTCTTCAGAGTTGAGTTGACTGTCCCTCACTGGTCTGGAAAACAGTGGAGAATCTCTTTGCCTTTTATTCCAATGAAGGAGACCAGAATTTGGATCTGGCTTCCAAGTACCACACATCAGACTATAAGATGTATTTTTTTTCCGATGAATTCTCTCTTAAAAAAGGGCATTGCCTTGGGGCTCCTGGGTGGCTCAGTTAAGTGTCCATCTGGATTTCGGCTTAGGTCATGATCTCACAGTCATGAGATCAGGCCCCAAGCTGGGCTCTGCAGTGGGTATGGAGCCCGCTTGGGATTCTCTCTCCCTCTGTCCCTCACACATGCTGTCTCTTAAAAAAAAAAAAAAAAAAAAAAAATCTTGATGGGAATCTTGAAATTTCTAATTGTAAATAATGCCACTGTCATCTTTTTAAAATTCTTGATTCTGTAAACTATATATAGTTTGTGTGTGTGTGTGTGTATATATATATACACACACAGATGAAGAAATGACTGCTGCTTCATTCCACAGATTTTAGGTAGGACACTATGCTGTTTCAATTTAATTACATATGAACCATTATTTGATAATTTCATTTAGTGATTAAAGATTTAGCCAAGACATTAAAAACACATTTTTAAAAATTTTTCTCAGGGGAAAGTGGGGAATTGCCTAAAACACTGTCTTCTATTTGGGTATATATGGCATCTCCCCTGAACCTAATCTCCACATGTGACAGGAAGAAGCACTGGCACCAATATTTGCTTTAGTGAAACCCCCAGGAAATGTCCGACGCTAGTTTGGGCGTTAAGCTCACCCTCTGCTGTCTCAACCCTTGATATTCCCAGTGAGTTGAGAAAAATCACAATGATTTTACTTATGGATGTGTTTCTGTGGACTTAAATGTAGTCAAGAGAATGGTCATTTTTCTGAGGTTGTTACATCTTATTCTGAGATGATGAAGATATTAGTTGGCAGTTTTTACTGCCTTTTTTTTGTTAAAATTAAGTTGGTAATCATGTTGGCCATTTTACGGGTCTGTGAAATTCAAATCTGGAAATTACTGGATGGATTGGTGCTAGAGGTCCTTTCGGCCTTCCCTTTCTGTGTGTCAGAAAGCAGACCCCCACCCCCACCCCCACCCAGCTGTCCTCTCTGGCATCCTTGGCTCTGGGCCAGTATAGCCGCACAAGCCTCCCGCCAGTCGCTGCTGATTTGGTCTCACCCTCATCTTGAACCTTCAAGGCTGAATCTCTTTCTCGACGACACCTTCCCTGGCCATTCTATATAAAATTCTAACTCCCACCCACAGCACGCATTCACCTCTCCCTGTGCCCTTCCCTACTCTTACACTATCTCATACAGTTTTATTTATCCTATTTATTGTGTCTGCACTAAAGTGAACGAAAAATAGACCCGAGACGGTCCTGGGTCTGCTCGCAGATGACTGCACCTTTTTCTTCTCCCCAGTGCCCTTTCCTGCTCCTTGCTTCCCCAAATCGCAGACCTTCCTGAGCAACAGAAGCTGCACCTCCCTGGCATCACCGACCACACCCACGTCCCCTAAGCTGCCTCTTCACTGACATGCCCCGCCTTGCTCCCAGCAAAAAGACCTTTCTTCACCCAGGCTCTGGTACTCACTTCCTGGCACCAAAGGCGTTTGTGGCCACTCCTGCCTGTCTGGCATCGGCGCAGGTTAACAGCACACACTAGCGTCAGTCCAGATCTGGGTTCTGATGCCCACCTGGCAACCATCGACCCCACAGTGGCTTACCGGCTCCTGTTTTATTTATTTCTGAGAGAGAGTGAGAGACCATCCGAAACAGGCTCCAGACTCTGAGCTGGCTGTCAGCACAGAGCCCCACGTGGGGCTCGAACCCACGGACTGTGAGATCATGACCAGAGCCAGAGTTGGACGCTTAACCGTCTGAGCCACCCAGGCGCCCCTGAACTTCATTTCTTTTTATGGCTGAATAATATTCCATTGTATGTATATACCATATTTTGTTTACCCATTCATTTGTTGATGGACACTAGTGGTTTTTCATCGTTGAGTAATTGTGAATAATGCTGCTATGAAGATTGCCATCCAGATATCTCTTTAAGCCTCTCTTTTCATTTATTTTGGGTATAAACTGAGGAGTAGAATTACTAGATTGTATGGTAATTCTATGTTCAGCTTTTTGAGGAACCAACAAAATGTTGGTCGGTCCAGATCTGGGTTCTGATGCCCACCTGGCAACCATCGACCCCGCAGTGGCTTACCGGCTCCTGAAACTTGGAAAACAAGCTTGAGAAGTCCAGCCTGTGCCAGCCGTCTTCTCTGGTCCCAGGACCTTTATCGATTTTAAGGGGTGAACTTCACGTCCCTGACCCTTCTTTCCAGGTGGCTTTGAACTCTAGATTTAATGATACGACCAGGTTGGAGAGTTTTATGAGGTTTTAATAACACTGTAATAATACTGCTGAACAAAAACAACACATACGTGTCCTTCACTTGCAGAAACACGTATGCACACGCCTCTTCCTCTCCACATAGACTCTGAGGTAGAAAGTGTACTGCCTAAAGTATAAAACTCCATGGGCTGAGCCACGGCCCAGACCACAGGTTCACAAGCGCTTGGTTGAAAGGTGGCACCCAGAGAGCAGGACCAGAGGCTGGGCCAGCTGCCCTCAGGCCTTGGGGAGGTTGACAGGGGCCGCTCGTTGGACATCCCCAGCTTCCAACATGACAGCCTACTCCGGAGCAGCTGCAGAGGGTGAGGGATGAAGCTTAGGCGGCAGCTGATTGTGTTCAGGTCCCAAGGATAGAATGTTTCTGGCATAGAAATTGCTCTCAGTAAACATTTGTTGAATGAACTGAATGACAGGTGGGGCCGGGAGGAAGAATTCTGGAGAACACATCCCGCAGGTCCTGGGCCTTCTAGCCCAGGATAGGGGAACCTCGGGGTAGGACAGCAGCTCCACCAACTTTAGAGGTGGCCAGGGAGGTGAAAACACGAGCACTAGGAGCTTTGGGGCACCAGCTACACTGGTTGCCAGGGGTAGGGTGGGGAAGGGGGGGGGGGTCTCTTCTTTCCTCCCAAAGCACCTGGTACATAACAGGGGCCCTTGAGCCTCCAGGGCCCAGCCTTTCTCCTCTTGTTCTCATCCTTGAAGTCAGGCCCCTCCGCCTTACTCTACTCTGGTCTCCAGTGCCTGGCACATCAAGCATTAAGTGCATCTTGAGTGAATCAAGGCCAAGCAACTGCATTCTACCCATTGATGCCATCTGCTCTGTCCTCTGCCGGGTCTGACCCTGCCTCAAAGGACCCCATTCACCTCTCCCTTCTGTGGCAAGGCAGCCTCATCCCTAACCCTGGGGAAAAAGTTCTGAGCCAACTGGGCCATGCGCTTGTTCTGAGGCGGCTGACGCCACTCGAGGGAGCGGAGGTCTCGGGTCCCATCCACACGGTCAGGCTCCCAGCGGCAGCTAGGATGCAGCCAGCAGTAGTAGACAAGCCGCAGGGCCAGGCCCAGGAGGAAGCAGACGCCGCCCACAGGCAGCAACGTCTGCAGTGGGATCTCACTGGGCAGCCAGGCGATGTGAGTCAACCAGGTGACCACCATGAGAACACTGTCACTCAGGAGGAACACCAGGTGGATGGTGGCGCGGCCTCGGGTGCGGCCCTCGGCCACGTTGAACCAGGAGAAATAGAGGATGGTGGCCACTGTCGCCCGGTACAGCCACTCGGAGCAGGAATCTGGCATGAAGTCCGTGCCCTGAAGCCAGACCCAGAATAGCAGCACCAGCCACAGGCCGAAGAAGTGCAGAACCACGTAGTGGGGGAAGAGAGCTGAGAAGAGGGCCACGGCGAAGACTCGGGGCCACAGCAGCAGCAGGTTCCACAGGAAGTAGACCACAGAGGAGCCCGGCCCCAGGGGCGGCTTGGAAGGAAGGCAGGTGCGCAAGGCCCGGTGGTAGTCAAGCAGCGCCCAGGAGATGCTCACGAAGGACGTGCAGATGCCGACCCCTAGGGAGAGTAAGCGGCAATAGGTGAGCCCTGTCGGCAGCCTGCCCGGCACTCCCGAGAGGTCACGGCCGCCCAGAGGTGGGTGTGACAGCCCCCTATAGCTGAAGGGAAAGTGCACTTGGAAAACATCTGTTCACGCAACCAACAACAGAGCTGGGGTTCAAATATGGAGTCTGCCCTCTGCACCACAAAGCTTTACTTTTCAGGGGTTACCACAGTGATATTCTTTGAGGATAAAGAGGGTGTGGCTTATATAACCTCCTCTGCACCCTGTCACCCAGCATCCAGGACCTTGGGCCCCGGCTGCACCCTCAGCAGATTTAGGGCCCTCTAAACCTTCCTTTCCCGGAAAAGCCCAAGGCCTTCTTGGGACTGAAAATCAGCAATCCCAGTTCCCCTTTTGTAGTCTCAGAAATGGAAGCAGGAAATCCCAGGGTTTCCTGGGTGAAGCTGCACTCCAGGCCGGGAGGAATTTCTGCCACACAGACATAACGTCTGGGCTCAGACTGGGCCTTCGTCTTGATTTCTCAACACCCCAAAGTTATGGCGGAGAGCCTATCCCACCTCCTAGCTGCCCTCCCGTGGCTAAAAGCACTGGACCTCCAGGGAGGGACAGAAGCAGCGCTGGAATGTCTCTAGAGTGCTTCCTACCCTGCCCTTTCCCACGGCAGTCAGTCAACAGATGTTCCCCAGGAACCTGTTACGGACCAGGAAGCCACCACCCCCACCCCGGAAGCAGATCTGTGGCCAACGTCCCTTCTAACTACCCCATGCCGGGTCTTAGGGCTGATCCCCTTCCGGTTTGCCCAGCATGCCGCAGCCCCTGGCCTGGACAGGCTTCACCCTCCATGCCAGGTAGACCCGGTGCACGTGCCCTGCGAGTTCCAGGGCCCTGAGGTCACCTATCCGGAACCCGCTCCACCCCACCCCGCTCTGCAGGTGACCCGTGACACCTCACCTGCTTCTGCCTGCAGCCTTAGCACACAGTAATGATCAATTTCCTTGTCTCTGAGCTCCTTCAGGGGACAAAATGTTCTGCTCCCCTGGGATCCCTAGAGCCCAGTGCCTGGCACCTAATAGCAGCTGAATAAATGTTCACGAAATAAAGAGTTAGGAGAATCTGTCTCTTCCCTCACTCCCTGCCTCCCATGCACATAGTGTAGACTGTCTCCACGTAGCCCTGACCTAGACACCCACATCACTCAAACAGACAAAAATAGGTGCCCAGTGAATGCTCTGTGCCCCCGGGCATGTCCCTTCACCTTTCTGCACCTCTTCCCTCTTGTGTAAAATGGAAAGAAATAAAGCACCAACCTGTAGGGCTGCTGTGCGTGTGAGCAATGTGGACAAGAAAGCACTTTACGCAGGGCCTGGCTGACAGCTGGCACTCAGTCATCACGGCCGCTACACCTGCCGTTTGTCCCAACTCAGAAGGCTAAAGGGTAACTTTCGGATGGAGCGCAGAGCGCAGTCCTGCCCAACTGAAGGCTATTCTATTTTCTAGGCAGCTTTTTAAGAGTGGAAACACTCCTGACGTGTCGGGAGCTTTCCCAAACCGTAACGGGGACTGGCCACTGGCCCAGCACTCACACTGGTAGGACTCGGCCCGGCCGCTCTGGAACACGATGGCCAGCACCAGCGTGAGCTGCGGAGTCGTCTCCAGGAAGGTCTCAAAGAGCCGCAGCATGCTGATGTCCAGAGTCAGGAAGTCGGCATAAGCCAGGTCAAAGTCAGAGGGCACCTCCTGCTGCCACACCAGCAGCCCTTGCTGCAGCCCCTGCACACACCTAGGCAGCACATACGGATGCCCCAAGGGGCCAGGTTAGCGTCCTGTGGCGGTCCGCCTTCCCTCACCCGCTGGGTGGGTGCAGACGGGCTCCGATCCTAGCCTGTCACTCAACATGCTGTGGGGCCTCGGGCACCAGCGACTTCACCTCACCGAACTGGTTCCTCCTCATGAAGTGGGGACCAATATAACCCCTGCCCTCCAGCTGGCCAGCATGCCCCCAAGGTCATCACAAACCTTGTCCCATATGCCCCTTACAACATCCCCATTTGACAGATGCGGGACACAGGACCAAAGCGCCAATAAATGGTGGCAACAGGAGTTGAACCCAAAGCTGTCTGAATTCCAAAGGCACACTACAAAATTGCCTCAGGTGATAGTTCTCAAATGTTAGCAAGCGTAGGCAAGGTCAGACTGTGCTACAGAAAGACCACCCTCGTGCTCGCTTTGGCAGCACATGTACTAGAAAGATCACCTTGGCTGTGGAGAAGCGGAAGGGATGGAGGGGTTAGAACGGAAGCACAGATCCATTTAAGAGAACTGCCCGGAGCGATGAGCACGGAGACAGGCAGAGTTAATTTTTTTTAATTTTGTATTTATTTTTGAGAGAGAGAGAGAGACAGCATGAGCAGGAGAGGGTCAGAGAGAGAGAGACACACAGAATCTAAAACAGGCTCTGGGCTCTGAACCGGCTGTCAGCAGAGAGCCCGACACCGGGCTCGAACCCACGAACCGTGAGATCATGACCTGAGCCGAAGTCGGACGCTTAAACTGACTGAGCCACCCAGGCGCCCCGCAGAGGCAGAGTTAAAAGAGAGCCCAGAGGCTGGATAGATGGGCATGGGTGGTGACCCAGTGGCATGAGGGGGGTAGTGGAAGACGCACCAAGATCTCCCCCCCCACCCGCCAGAACTGATCTCAGTTGGCTATTGGGAGGTGAGCCCATTCACTCACTGCCAATTCATTCATCAGACATTTAATGTCACTCCCTGGACAGACGTGACAATACACTAAGGGAGCAGGGGGGGCAGGCCCAGGTCAGGGCTCTCCCTCAGCAGGGACCTCTGCCTCTCATCCCCCAAGGCCCCCCGCCTCAGTCTAGTCGAAGATAGGTAGAGACCCATTTTCAAAACCGAAGTTCAGTAAAGTCTGTCTGCCTCGCGCTCAGCAGAACTAGAAGGGAAGACGCACAATACAGTGATGGATTCAGGGCTCATCAAGGCCCGCCGGGACTGGGGTAACCGCACCCCTTCACGCCCGGCCGGCAAGTGATTGATGCCTGTGCAGTCCCTCAGGCAAAACTGCAATATTCCACGCTCCTCTTATCCACCCCTGGAGACTCAGTGCAGCTTCGTCAAAGCAAGACGTGGAAAGAATGTGTAAAATGGACTCAGGAGCAGACGTCGCCTCCAGCCACCCCATCCCTACTCAGACCGCACCATGTGCTGACTGCATCACAGGACTCTGATCCCTTGTTTCAGTTTCCTCATCTCGAGGGGACCCTGCCAGTTGTGAAAAGTACAGCCCCCACAGATTTGCAGGGCCCCCGGGCTGGCGCAAGGGACATGGGTGAGTCCGACCCCATCTCTGCTCTCTTGCTGGCGCTGGGGGTGAGGGGGTGGGGCAGCGAGAACAAAAGTGGGAAAGAAGGGCTGAGAGAAGGGCTCTATTGGGGGGGGGGTCTGGAGGGGGGAGGTATCAGCGGTGCTGAAGCTCCCGGGGGACCCAAGTAATCAAGCTGGCTGACATTTGTTGAATGCTTCCTCTGCGCCAAAGCAGTGTACAGGTCTTATTCCGTTAATCCTTCCCAAACAGAGGCAGGGACTACAACCATCCCCACTGGAACAAAGAGTAAACTGAGACCCTGAGGGCTCAAGGGACCTGCCCAAGGCCCCACCCACAGCCGAAAGGAACACCCGAGTCTGCCATTACCCTAGTCCGCCAAGAGCCCGGCACCATGCCAGGCACGTGCCCACTCTTGCCTTCGCTCCTCTCAACCGGCCCACCTGCCAGAGATGTCTAGACTCCTGCCGCCTTCTAACACAGGAGGAAACCGAGGCTCAGAGACCGGCAGGAATGAGGTCACAGATCCAGCTAGAACTGGATCCCAGAGAGGCCGGGCTCCAAATCATGTGCCTCCTTTTCACCTCTGGGCTTCAGCTTCTTCCCCTGTGCCAGAGGGCAGGCCTACTTGGGCTCCGACGGCTGCCAGCGGGCGTTCTTTTCCTTTAGGGGCGGGGAGCTCACCCGTGAGCAGAGGTGCCCCCCCGGGCTTGGCTTCCTCTCCTGGGTCCCCATCCTCTCCTTCCCAGCCCCTCCCCGGTGTCCGAGCTCTCCCCGGTGCTACTATAGCCCTGCTGCAGGTGCCGCTGGGCTCCGTTCCTCTTCCCTCCTCCCTCCTCCCGAGGGCGGGGCGCTCACCTGTACAGGTAGCCGAGCTGCAAGAGATGCAGCAGCGCCAGGCAGCGGCCTGGGGGCTGCGACGCGTGCAAGCCGACGGGGTCGGCGCGCAACCAGACCCAGCTGAAGAGCTGCAGCGCCACCGAGGCGAGGCCCAGCAGCGCCAGCACCAGCGCGGCCCACAGGTAGCGGCCGCTGAGCACATACTGGCCGGCGGCCCACAGGTCGGCGCCCAGGTCGATCAGGAAGGCGGCGGTACCCAAAAAGCCCAGGACCAGGTCCCAGAGGAGCGCGGCGCGGGGAAACCAGGGCATGACCCGCCGGCCTCTCCCCGTCTGTCCCAGCTGGGCTCGGACCCGCCCTCCGGGCCCGGGGTCGCCGCGGCAGGAAGGAGGCGGGCTCAGCCCTAGGGGCCGCCCAGGGCCCGGGCCTTCTGGGCGGGACTTCCCCGTCCCGCCCTGTCCGGGGAGGAGCAAGGCCCCCGGACCCCGCTGCCGGGGCGTCCGCCGACCCCACCTGTTTCCGTCTGCGCCCCAGACGGCCCGGCTGCATTCCCGCAGCGGGCGCAGAGGTACCTGCACCCGGTCCCGTTGAGCCCCGAAGACGGACCGGCCCAGGCTTACTGCCCTTACTTAGCCCAGCGGACTTCTAATTGCCTCGTTTTGCAGTTGAGGCGAAAAGAGGCCCGAGATGACTAAAATGGCCCGGAGAGTAGCGCCCGGGCTACCATCGGGATCCCTCACATGCGCACTGTTGCAAAACAAAAAGGCCTGTTCTGATCCGCGATTGCAGGACTTCGAGAACTGACGAGGCCTCGACTAAGGACGAGTGCGGGAGAGACCGAGGGCACCGGGCCGACAAGACTCCGCTTCCACGAGGCTCATTTTACTCCGATTATTCAAATACAAGGGGCGGGGGGCGGACGTACCATAACAGGCGAGGGAGTTGCAGTAAACCGTATTTACCTATTAAAAAGAAAAGCGCACTGAATAAGATGCTCGATGAGCACTGTTTTTTGGATGAAAAATGTGCCGGGGGGGCGGGTTGCGCGGGAGGCTTTGGAGCTTCATTCCCTGACCCCGCTGCCCCCAGTTCACTCTGCGGCCGCCCGACAGGTGCGGCCGCGTGCTCCCCCGGGACCCGCGAGCCAGGCGGGCGGCCGGCGGGCTCCCGAGGTCACGGCGCAAGCAGCGCGCGCAGGCCCAGCAGCGCCGCGAGCAGCAGCGCGAGCCGGGGCGCGGGCGCGACGCCGGGGGCGCGCAGGCAGGCGGCGTACGCGTCGAAGGCCACCTCGCGCAGCGCGCACACGTGCTCGGCGCGGCAGGCCGGGTCGCAGGGCTCGCGGTCGTAGCTGACCGAGTTGTAGACGTAGTAGCGCTGCAGCATGCCGGGGTCGCTGGCGATGCGGCCCAACGCCGCGTGCATGGAGCGGGCGCCTGCGTCGGGCACCCGGTAGGCCTCGGTCAGCCGGTACTCAAGCTCCCAGAGCGGGGTCCCCTTTTCGTTCGCCCGGCTCAGGTTCACGAAGTAGGTCACCATGTCCTGGAGAGAGAGCGTGAGGAGGGTAGGCCTCGAGCATCCGTCAGCCTCCACCCCCAATCCCACACCTTGCATTTGCCCCCGGATTCTTTGTAACTATACAGCACCTGCTGTTACTGAGCATTTCCTACTTACCCAGGATGCATGGCATGCTGATGAGGTAACTGCACTTACTACCCCATTTCGCAGATGAGGAAACGGAGTCCTAAAGAGAATTCATTTGGCCAGGGTGGCTCCTACAGGTGTTTAGTGGCAGAGGCAGGTTTGGAATCCAGGGTGTAACCCTGGGGCCTATGCATTTTCTGTCCAGGTACGCAGAGAGGCTTGGTAAACATTTACAGAATTAATGGATAAAAAGCAACTTTAAAAAGTGGGATGGAGTGCCTGGTTGAAGAGGTTACGGGACTGTGGCTGCCGGAGGGCTTGGGATACACCCACGGCCCCTAGGTCTCCAGTGCGTCTTCAGAACTAGAATCTGGCAAGGTTTAGCTGTCCAATGCTTTCCATTGAAATGTGTGGACCTGCCTCAGGTCACTAGAAGTGGGGTAAGAGGAGCTGCTATGAATGGATGGTAACTGCCCCCTAGGCACATTACAGAATTTCATTTGGTCCTCTCCAAACTCTGGGAGGTACTGTTACTCCCATTTTACAGATGAAGGGAGGCCAAAGAGGTAAAAAAATCTCATGAGTGGTAGAAAACTCAGGCCTGTCTGACTGCTTCCCTGTAGAGCGTGTTGGGGGTGGGAGGACGAGGAACCAGCCTCTGATTCCTCTGCTGAGGCCCTCTGAGTGCCCACGTGGATAACAGGCCATACTCTTGAAAGTCCTCACCTCTTTTCCATACACATTTGCTCTAGAATCAAGGACCTAAGTTGTCTCATCCAGCCCCTGCTTCTAAATGTCCTCTCTCGACAACCAGATTAAATCTCTATAGCCACCTCTTCCTGGGCTCCCTCCTTGAATACCCTGCTGCCTCTTCCCTGGGCACCTTCGCTTGGATAGCAGGTAGACCTCCCAAAGTTAACAGGTCCCAAGCCTGTTCCTCCTGCACCGATCCCATCTCAGTGAAGGATGGCTTCACCCTTCCAGATGCTGAGGCCACAGCCTTGACTCCTGTCTCTCACACTGTCATCCAGTCCACCAGCAAACCATGTCTTCTCTGCCTTCAGCATCTGGGGCATCTCACCGCCCCACTGCCACACCCTGGCCCCCGCCACCGTCACCTCTCCGTGATTATTGTTGTCACCTCCTAACTGATCTCCACCCCCCTCCCCCACCCCACCGCTATTTCTGCCCTTGCCCTTTACAGCCTGTTCTCTGAATAGCAGACATGGTGATTTGGTAAAATTATAAGTCAGTATATTTAGTTCTTCTGCTCCAAGCGCTTCACATCCGGAGCGCCACTCGTGGCTGACGGGATCTGACCACTCTCCCTTTGTGCCGCCCTCTGCAGCCACAGACCTCCCTGCTCTTCCCTTATACCAAGCACACTCCCACCGCCGGCCTCTGAACTTGCTCTTTCCTCGCCTTCCCCAGATGATCACGTGGCTCCCTCCCTCAATTTACTCAGAATTCATGTCACCCTTTCCGTGATACTTCCCTGCCTCACCTGCCTCACAGCATGGATACCCACCCGACCACGGGCACACTGGCCTCCTCGCTCTGTTTTCTCCTTAGCACTTCTCTCCAAGCCTCACTTAACTTTCCTGATTTCTCTGTTGTGTGTCTCCTGCGAGAATGTCAGCTCTAGGAGAGCAGTGACTTCGTTCATGTTATCTCCTGAGCTCAGGGCCTGGGAGCCGGGGAACACGGTACATGTGGTTGCATAAATTAAGGAATAATATTTCTTCGCTGTTTCAACAATCACAAGCACAACCCAAGGAGATGAGGGGTTGCTTGATGAGTTAAGGGCCCGCTTTGGCTGGGACCTAGTTGGTACAGGCATGAGGCGGGCAATGGGCATGAGGTCACAACTGTGAGAAGCCTTGAATACCGGGCCAAGGAGATCCAGCTTATTCTCTTACGGGCACTGGGGAGCCATTGAAGGTTTTTGAGCAGGAGAGAGACAAGAAGTACTTTTAAAAACATTAGCTCCTTCTGTAGTATGGAGCAGATGAGCTACAGCAGGGCAGGCGAGAGGCAGGGAGGCCACGTAGGAAGACTGAGATCTAGGGTGAAGGGAGATTTGGGGACAAAAAGTTGACCTGCCTTGGTTGCAGGGTTTGGAGGTGGCTCAGGGGTTCTGAGCCTGAGCCCTAGAAGAGGATGGATTACCTGGAAGGAGTTAGGCAAGGCAGCGGTACGTTCAGGTCCTCCCCACCCTCCTCCATTGGCCCCGACACACCCAGGCAGGGCTTCTGACCTGCAGGCTCAGTGTGGCTCGGTCATATTCAAACACCCGGATGCCTGGATTGTTGGCCCCGTTGACCACTCCAGGTAAGGTGGTTTTCCATGGGGTGACCCCCGGTGTAAGGAACATGACACTGATGGGGGCACCTTTCGGGAGAGAGAGACAGCGAGACTGAGAGAGGCTGGCAAGAGGAGGAGGGGGCTGGGCTGGCACTTGCACTCCACGTCGCGTACCTGAGTCATCATAAAACATCCGGAAGCTGTCGGTGTGGTGGTGCCCGAAGAACTGCCCCGCGATGACGCGGTGGTGCTTCCGGACCACCTTCAGGTACTCCTCATTGAAGCCCTCCCGGAACCAAGCTTTGTTCCGCGTCTTCTCAAAGAACCCTGGGGGCACGTGGCCAATAATGTACACCTGCGCGGAAGCGGGTACCCAGGAGGGGCTCAAGGATGCCCTCCTTGACCCCTCACACCTGCCCCCCTCCCAAAAGGCAAGCAGACAGGATCAAAGGTACCCCCCCCCCCCCAAAGCAGGTTCCGGTACTCTGAGTACCCAGCGAAGACTTCACCAGGTGTTTTCCGCTGTGTGCCTTTGCCTTTGCTAAGCCTGCCACCTGGAGTACCCTTTTATGTTGTTTTATTTGTGTATTTTGAGGGAGACAGAGACACAGAGTGGAAGCCAGGGAGGGGCAGAGTGAGAGGTAGAGAGAGAGAATCCCAAGCAGGCGCTACCCTGTCAGCGCAGAGCCCGATGAGGGGCTCGATCCCACAAGCCATGAGATCATGACCTAAGCCAAAATCAAGACTCAGATGCCTGGGGCGCCTGGGTGGCTCAGTCAGTTAAGCATCAGACTTCAGCTCAGCTCATGATCTCGAGGTTCATGAGTTCGAGCCCCACGTTGGTCTCTGTACTGACAGCTCAGAGCCTGGAGCCTGCTTGGGATTCTCTCTGCCCCTTCCCTGCTCGCATTCTGTGTCTCCCTCTCTCAAAAATAAATAAACATTAAAAGAGAGAGAGAGAGAGAGAGACAGACGCTTAGCCAACTGAACCACCCAGGTGGCCCCTAGAATACCCTTCTCTTTTTCACAGGCCGTTGTGAGGATGGAAAAAGCTGCCTCCCGTACCAGGCTGATGAAGGACCCTCTGTGAGCTGGGCATCTTGAGTGGGTGGGTGAGTTTGCGCGGAGGTGAGAGACTCATTTCCAGGAAGTGACCCCAGAGAGGTGGAGGCAGGAGCCGTTACCATTTCCTTAGCTCGGGATGCATTGGTCAGCACATCTTCCAGCCACTGGAACTGCCGGGCGGGGTCGACCATGCCAGCTGTTTGCTCGTTGTTGCTATAGTACAGGTTGGTGTTGAGGACCACGACTCGCCCAGCCCCACTCAGTCCAGGCAGCTTCTCAGAATAGAAGGCACCTAAGACGTCCCAGCCAGAGAGAATCTGAAGGGACGTCTGTGCCTTCCCCTCCATGCCCACCTTCTCCTGCCCTAGCGTCCCTCCGTCCCATCTTTCCCATAGGAGGGGCATGGTGAGTAAAACCGGAGGCTCTGAAGGCACCCAGCCTAGGTTCAAGTCCTGGCTCTGGCGCTTAGTAGCTGTGCAGCTTGAGAAGATTTTTACTTCGCCTCTCTGTGCTTCGGTTTCCTCCTCTCTATAATGTGAATAACAGTAAGATGGACTTGTCCCTCCAGATCCACGTCAGTCCCGTTCACTCAACTCTCTGTCCCAGAAGCTGATCTCTGTGGACTGAATCAATGGGCTTCTGGTTGGGTTTCACCATTTGAGACTGAGGACAGGGAAGGGAGTCAGCCGGGGTCACCTTGGGCTGGCTGTGTCTCTGGATCAGTGGCTCTCGGCCACTGATTTTGTCCCCTAGGGAGCGTTTGGCAGGTATGGAGACATTTTTGGTTACCACAATGGAGGGTGTTACTGGTATCCGGTGGTTAGAGGCCACGGGTGCTGCTATATACCCTACAACACACAGGACGGCCCCCACAAAGGATTATCTGGCCTGGGGAGCCTGGGTGGCTCAGTCGGTTAAGCATCCGACTTCAGCTCAGGTCATGATTTCACAGTTTGTGGGTTCGGGCCCCACATTGGGCTCTGTGCTGACAGCTCAGAGCCTGGAGCCTGCTTCAGATTCTGTGTCTCCCTCTCTCTCTGACCCTCCCCTGCTCACACTGTCTCTCTCTCTCTCTCAGAAATAAATAAAAACATTAAAAATTTTTTAAAAAAAAGGATTATCTGGCCCAAGGTGTCAATAGTACCAAGGATAGGAAACCTTGCCTCAATGGGAGGTCCCTGCCCCTTTCTAGGGTTTTTGTGAGGAGTCTTGGAATGTGCTGAGAGTAGTGCCTGGCACCCAGTATATCCTCAACAAACATTCATTTATGAGCCTCATTGGTGTCGTGGGGTTGAAAGCATGGGCACTGGAGTCGGCCATCTCTAAGCTGGCTGATCTTGGCTAAGTAACTCGACATCTTCAAGCCTCTGTCTCCTTATCTGTAAAATGGGGATAAAATCAGTACCTATTTCATGGGGTTGTTGTGAAGACAAAATTCCATCAGACCTGGGCATACAAGTAAGGGCTTATAGTTGCAGATGGTGCTGGTACCTTCTTTGAAGAGAGCGATGGATTCGTTACTGAGCCATGGTGTCCACAGCTCTGCTACCTGATCATAGATGCTGTTGCTTCCTGCGGGGAGCTGGTTTTTGGGGTGAAAGTCATGATTCCCCAAAGCAGCGTAGACTTTAGTGTCTGGGAGGAAAAAGAGAAATATAAACATACTTATGTGAAAGCACTCGGTGGAGTTAGTAATTTTCAGTCTGCCAGCACTAATGGAGAAAAGCCGTAGCACAAAAGGAAAGTACAGAGATAAGCAGAAAACCACGTGCAAGAGAATCTGGCTGAACATTGCTCAGACCTGGGAAGGAAGAGCAGTGAGTTCTCTGATCCCTGTTCCTAACTCTGTTCCCAGCAGAAAGTTCCCTGGTCGGAAGGAAGTGTCAGAGAACGAGAAGAAGAAAGTTAGAAGATCTAAATAATCTTCACATCCATTATCAGCCCCTTGGTAATTTTGTGCTCCTTGTTCTTGTCAATTCCAGGTCCACTGACTGTTAGGGAAAAAGGGTCTGGGTTCACTCGGGGGGGCCTTAGGAGTTTCACTCATTGGTGATTCAACAGGTGTTTATTGAGCATCTCATGTGTGCCTATGTGTAGATCCAGGAATCAGGCACCCAGTCCCTGTCCCAGGGGCCTTGCAGTGCAGTGGGGTTGACAGGTATTGAGTAATTAGAGGTGTGGAGGCTGTCACAAAAAAGGGAAGAGCCACTTGCTGTGGAAATGTTCAAGAGGGTGGGGGCGGGGCCCAGGGAAGGAAGTGGCTTGTGAATGACTCCTATGGGGAAGGAGCCCATCAGACTTATTTCCTCCTCAGGAGTAGCCTCTTCTCGCTTTTATTTTACTTATGTGTCTGGCAAGTAGTAGTTGCTCAATAAAAGCTTGACAGTAAACATGGGACGCCTGGGTGGCTCAGTTGGATAAGCATCTGACTGTGGCTCAGGTTATGATTTCACGGCTGTTGAGTTCCAGCCCCACAGTCATCAGGCTCTGAGCTAGATCCTGCTTCCGGTTCTGTGTATCTCTCTCTCTCTCTCTCTCTCTCTCTCTCTCTCTCTCTCTCTCTGCCCCTCTCACGCTTGTACTCTGTCTCTCTGCTTCTCTTTGTCTCTCTCTCTCTCTCAAAAATAAATAAACATTAAGAAAAAAGTGGTTTTGGGGCACCTGGGTGGCTTAGTCGGTTAAGTGTCCGACTTTCGCTTGGGTCATGATCTCGCGGTTCGTGGGTTCGGGCCCCGCGTCGGGCTCTGTGCTGACTGCCAGCTCGGAGCCTGGAGCCTGTTTCAGAGTCTGTGTCTCCCTCTCTCTCTGACCCTCCCCTGCTCACGCTCTCTCTCTCTCCTAGAAATAAAAAAAAAAAAAAAACATTAAAAAAAAAATCAAATAAGCTATGACTTTAAAAAAAAAAAAAAGTGGTTTTTTAAATTTTTTTAAATTTCTTTTACTGTTTTATTTATTTCTGAGAGAGAGACAGACAGACAGTGTGAGCAGGGAAGGGTCAGAGAGAGGAAGATACAGAATCCGAAGCAGGCTCCAGGCTCTGAGCTAGCTGTCAGCACAGAGCCCGATGCGGGGCTCGAACCCACAAACCAGTGAGATCATGAGCTGAGCCGAAGTTGGACGTTTAACTGACTGAGCCACCCAGGCACCCCACGAAAAAGGTTTTTTTTAAAAAGAATAAATAAACATTAAAAACAAGTTTGGCAATAAACAAAAATTCCGGGCTCAGGGGAGGTTTGTCCTTATATGAGCTTGGTGCTCCCCAGGGACTGATCTTGAACCAATGAGGGAGGCTGGAGCCTCCAGTTCCCACGTGGGGAGATATTTTTTTAAAATGTTTATTTATTTTTGAGAGAGAGACAAAGTGCAAGCGGGGGTCAGGGGGGGTGCAGGGCATAGAGAGAGAGAGAGACACAGAATCTGAAGCAGGGCTTGAACGCACCAACTGGGAGATCACCACTTAAGCCGAAGTCAGACATCAACCAACTGAGCCACGCGGGTGCCCCGGGGAGATATTTTCACAAACTTTTTGCACTGTAGAGTCTATAAGATCTGGAAGTGCTAAGCTCTGCTGAAGGAGGAAGTTGTAAAATTCCCATCAGAAATTGTTTGCAAAGGCAGAAGCCCTTACTGTACCTGCCTGGAAAAACCTCACCTCTTTAACACAAATACCATCAGCCTTTAAGAATCCATTTCACAGGCACGTGGGTGGCTCAGTCAGTTGACCATCCGACTCTTGATTTCGGTTTCAGATCATGGTCTCATGGTCATGAGATGGAGGCCCAAGTCAGGCTCTGCACTGGGTGTGGAGCCTGCTTAAGTTTCTCTCTTTCCCTCTCTCTCTGCTCCTCCCTTACTCACGCTTTCTTGGGCTCTCTCACCAAAAAAAAAAAAAAAAAAAAAAAGTTAAAAAAACACAAATCCCTGGAATTCCAAGAACAGATGAGAAGGGAGGGACTCTTTCCCTTTCTTTGCTGCTTCTTTGTGCCAGGCGCTGTTAGAAGCTTCTTACAAGCACAAGCTTAAGGGCACGGCCTGGCCAAGTTCCCTACCCCCTAGAAAGGTATCTCACTCACAGGAAGTATAAGATGCTCAATAAATATTTGTTGACTCATTAAATGAGTGACTTGACTTAATCCTCACAACAACCTTCTGGGAAGGCACCATCATTGAGTCTTCAAGGCGTTGCCCAGTGGGAACTGGCAGAGACTGAACTGGGACCAGCATCTGTTTGCCTAGCACACCTGCGTTCACCAGGCAGCCATGCCGGAGAAGAGGGGCTGGCGTTCACAGTGACTGATGGGGAACACAGGTGGCACGCAGCAGGAGGAACACGTGACACAATGTGGATCCAAAATCCAGAGTTGCAGTCCCTTTCTGCTCTCCAGCAACTGGCTTGACTTCTCTGTGCTTCGACTTATTTATTGATAACACGGAGAGTGTTTGCTTGACCTGTGTTGCTATAATTCTCAAATAAGATAATGTCTCAGGGCACCTGGGTGGCTCAATCGGTTAAGCATCTGACTCTTGATTGTGGCTTAGGTCTTGATCTGAGGGTCATGGGATTGAGCCCACCATCCACACTGAGCATGGAGCCTGCTTAAGATTCTCTCTCTCTCTCTCTCTCTCTCTCTCTCTCTCAGCCCCTCTCCCTTGCTCACACACTCTCTCTCTAAAATAGAAATAAAAAGATAGTCTCATTTGAACTCTTCTAATATGTTCTATTCTGGGGCACCTGGGTGCCTCACCAGTTGGGCATCCGGCTTCGGCTCATGGGTTCAAGCCCCGCATCAGGCTCTGTGCTGACAGCTCAGAGCCTGGAGTCTATTTCAGATTCTGTGTCTCCCTCTCTCTCTCTCTCTGACCCTCCCCTGCTTGCTTGCTCTCTCTCTCTCTCTCTCTCTCTCTCTCAGAAATAAAGCGTTAAAAAAATTTTTTAAATAAGTGTTCTATTCTAACATCTCTACAGGTAGTGTGACTTATTGAGGCCGTTGAGAAAGCAACTTTAATTAACAACATTTTTTTCTTAGCAATACATAAAATATGATGCACCTTAGAGTTGATGGCATCTTGAATATTAGGAAATTGAATAAAGTCCACGTGTGTTATAAACTAGAGGATCTTCTGATTTACATTTGTATGTTAACTCACACTTACAAAGCATTTTCTTATCCACTATTTCACTTTTATTCCAGAAGCCCATGTGGAACAGAGGAAAGAGTGCTCAGAGTTGGAAGAGTTTGAATCCCTCTCTAGGAACTGACTAGCTTTGAGCCACAGGTTCCTTCCTCATCTGTACATCCAGACAACAAGACAGCTCTGCATAAAATGATTTACGTCGAGGGCAGAAGGTGGCAGAAAGGAGGTTGCCTGGAGGACAGATGTGGGATGGTGACAGCCACGCAGGGCCCCTCCTGGGGTGGCAGTGGCAGTGGTGGATAAGAGTGGCGCTCAAAGCTGGGTTTGCATCTTCACCCTTGCCACATGACCTTGACCAGTTTGACTCCGAGACTCGCATTTCTCACCAGCAAAACTGAAGCAGTAATCGCACTTCCCTCCAGAGTTACCGGCAAGGGGCTAACGCGTATAATATTCTTAGAACAGTGCCTGACACTTAGCACTCAATGTCTAGATACATGTAGTCACTGCCGCTGCTATTATTTCTTTGTATCATCATTAGGCCTTATCTGGGTCCTGGGGATCCGTGACTAAGACCTTCAGAGGATGCAGCTGAACCCGAAGGAGGGGTGTGGGGACTAGTGGGCTGCTCTCAGGGTCCCCCGCTGGGCGGCCTGAGAGCCTGATTCAGCCCCCGGGCCCTTGTGTTTGGCACAACTTGCTTAAAAACACTTTCAGGGGCCATTAGGTGGGGCACGCAGATCCTATTCTCCTCATCACGTCCCGTGGGTCGGCTGAGTCATCACACACAGCTCTGCCTGCCCTGCTGGGCTCTGAAAGCCCTGGCGACCCAAGAACGGCCCCGTAGCTGGAACCCACCCACCTCATCACCCTGTGATGTCTCCCATTGTCCGCAGCATTGTTGGAAGGGAAGAAACGGTCAATCACTGTGAAGGGCCCGGCCCGGGACGTGCCCGGCAGCCAGCGTTGCCCACAGTGGAGGGTCGTTCCTCCACATCTTGCTGCTATTGCGGTCCCACCGTGCCGGACACTGCCTGGGGCTCAGGAAATGCTTCAGGGGGGCCAATGGCCGAGTCTTACCTGGAAAGACCTCTCTGATGAGCCTGGTCAGGCGGTCCACAATTCCCACCACGGCCGCCTCTCCCAGCTTCTCGTTGGGTACGTGAGGTGTGTCATCACTGCAAAACACCACGGAGCCAGTTGGTGTGGGCAGCTCAGGCGGGGGAGCAAGCAAAGGAAGGGACAGCTCAGCCGTGAGGACAGAGGCTATGGAATTAGCCCTCAGACATCCCCTGAGCAGGAAGGGCCAGGCTGGGGCTGGGAGTCCAGCAAGATGGAGCTCAAACTTGGGCTCTGCCATTGACCTGCTGTGGGTTCCTGGGCTGATTGCTAAACCTCTCTGAGCCTTTGTTATGTCATCTGTAAAATAGGGAAAATAATGACACCTACTCCTAGATCTTCATGAGACTTTATTAAAGGGGAAAATATATATATATATGTATATATATATATATAAAAAATATATAAAACAAATAACACACACACACACACACACACACACACACACACATACATATAAAGAATGTAGACTAATGGGACCACTTTCTACCTTGTGAAGAGTTTCCTGGGCAACTCTCTTAACTTGGACTCAAAACACTTTTCCTTTCTCTCTCTTTTTTTTTTAAAACTTCTGCTTTGGGGTTTTTTTTAAACGTTTGTTTTATTTTTAGAGAGAAAGAGTATGCATGTGCACGCAAGCAAAGAAGGAACAGAGAGAGAGGGAGACAGAGAATCCCAAGCAGGCTCCACGTTCAGTGCAGGGCCCAGCATGGGGCTCCATCCCACAACCCTGGAATCATGACCTGAGCCGAAATCAAGAGCCAGACACTCAACCTACTGAGCCACCCAGGCACCCTTCTTTTCCTTTCTCCTAAAAAAAAATAAATACAAAACAAAATAAAATGTAGACTAGTAGCTGCTCGGTTGTAATTATTAAAGAGGAAAGCTTGAGAGCTCCAGTCCCACCTGCGGGTCCCCAGGGAGCTTGGGGTGGAAAAGTCATCTCTGAGTCCTGCTCTGTTCCCTAAAGGGTTCTCAGGAGTTTGGAGCTGGCTTCAGAGTTGAGGGTTCAAATCTACTCTACGGCAGATCCGGGACCTGCCCCAGGACCATTCTGTCCCTCGTTCGGCCGACCTAAATTCCTGGATCCAAGTTAGAAATACACAGCAAGGCCAGGAAGCAGGGGAGGAGAACGGGGAAAGGCAGGTTAGGGGATGGGGAGGAGCCCCCACAATCTAAAGCCTGAGGACGGACCCCTGCTGGACCTGACAGGGTGAGGCAGCCACCGGCCAGATGTTCCTGGGGAAGTCCAGTAGCTTAAGTACTAGTGCTGCTGCTGTTGCCCTGGCTCGCTCCGTGCCAGCGCTTTCTGTGTGTTTCCCCCACATCCCCGTTTGTTTTCCACTGAGAATCCTACAACGTGAGTTCTGTTGTTAATCCTATTTGACAGATAAAGAAACAAGGCACAGAAAGCTGGAGAATTCTGCCCAAGTGTATAGAACTGGAAAGTGGTATGCCAGGGTCTGAATTTAGTCAGACTGGCTCCGGGGTCTACGCTCACCCTCACTACACCCTGCTGCGTCTCTGACACCCTCCTTAGGGCTGCAAGAGGAGCCTATTTGCCCTGTTCTCCCCAGGGACAGGCCAGGGGTCCGGAGACATCAGAACAAAGTTCCTTTTTTACTCCCCCCTAGTTTGAAGGATCAAATTCTCTATTTTAGAAAACACTTCCAGTTTCTTGGGGCACCTAGGTGGCTCAGTCGGTTAAGCCTCCAGCCTCACCTCAGGTCATGATCTCAGGGTTCATGAGTTTAGGCCCCGCGTCGGGCTCTGTGCTGACAGCTTGGAGCCTGGAGCCTGCTTTGGATTCTGTGTCTCCCTCTCTCTCTGCCCTTCTCCCACTCATGTTCTGTCTTTCCCCCTCTCAAAAATAAATAAACATTAAAAAAAAAAAAAAAAAGGAAAGAAAAGAAAACACTTCTAGTTTTTAGAGGTTACCCCTAAGGGATGGCAACTCACCCAGAGAAGTCAAACTTTTAGAAATCGAATTATAAAAGGTCCCAGAGGTTTCCTAGAAACATCATGTTTCTGTTAAAGGATCATGAATTTCCCAAAGCTATCATCTTTCCCAGAGAGGTCATGTCTGTCAGAATGTTATATGTCCCTCCCACAGCTCCTATTCGGAGAATTCGGAGCAGAGGCTCCCTCTGGGAGCAAGATCCTTCTTGGGAGCAAGAGTTCAAGGTCATGGCTTAAAGCTCACTCCCTTCCTAGATTGATTCCTGAGCTGCCCGGGACTGCGCTGATACACTGCCACATTTCTTTCTTTTTTCTTTTTAAGTTTATTTATTTATTTTGAGAGAGAGACAGCACACAAGCAGGGGAGGGGCAGGGAGAAAGGGAGAGAGAATCCCCAGCGCGTGGACCTGACCTGGGGCTTGATCTCACGACCACCAAGATCGCCACCGGAGCCGCTATGAAGAGTTGGACACTTAACCAACGGAGCCACCCAGGCTTCCCGGCGCTGACACATTTCTTAAGTGTCTAGCTTTGCCCCTCCCCCTGCCAACCACAGGGTCCATCCAGGGGTCATTCCTGGTCACTCCCAGGCCACACTGAAGGACAGCTGGGGGCATCACGGGTTTGATCCTGCCCTGTAGAAGTATCCATTGAGGCTGAAAGAGGCAGCAGGAAGTCAGAGCTCCTGCCAGCCTTCTTCACCAGCTCCCTGGTTACCACTTCCTGTGAGGAGGCCCCCCAATCCTGCCTGATAGAGTCAGGTGCCCTGTGAAGCTCCCACATCCCCCAGTGACCCTCGCTCCTTGCTGGGGTACATGGTTCAGTGGGCTTGTCTGTGTCACCCAAAGACCCTGAGCTCCTAGTCTCTAGTCTCTATCATCCAGGTCTCTATCATCTCAGCACCGCAGTGTCTACCCCGGGCTGAACACAAGACAGGCTGACCTACCAAGGGAGGGAGAAAGGAGCCAGTGAGTGAAGGGTGGACCTCGAGTGACAGGGACAGCCAGTGCTAAGGGAAGCTGGAGGACTCACAGCAGCATCCTTGGATGAGGAGCAGAAATGGAGTCTGGCTGAGCAGAAATCACCCCACAAGCTATCGCCGGGCAGAACAGGGCTCTGACCAGTGAGAACCCTCTGGGGCCAGGGCAGCGAGGACACTCGGTCCCCATGCCAGACCACTTCCAGCCTCTCTGACGTGGCTTGAAGTAGCGGGATTTGGAGCCCATGGCCAAGAAAGAATTCTTAAGACATCTTCGGTGCAAGAAGGGTGGCTATTATAGTACAGGGACAGGACCTGTGGGCAAAAAGAGCTGCACTGGGGTTGTGAGGAGCGACTGGTTATGTAAGATTTTCTATCCCATGGAGGACAGGGTGATGTTAGGGCTCCAGGAAATCGAGTTATAGGTTTCTGGGGGCAGGGGGGTCTGGTTATCGATAAGACTGCTTTTTTTTCTTACAAATCATTAAGACAAGGGCGCCTGGGTGACTCAGTCAGTTAAGCGTCCAACTTCAGCTCAGGTCACAAATTCACGGTTTGTGGGTTCGAGCCCTGTGTCGGGCTCTGTGTTGACAGCTCAGAGCCTGGAGCCTGCTTCCGAGTCTGTGTCTCCCTCTCTCTCTGCCCCTCCCCTGCTCACACTCTGTCTGTCTGTCTCTCTCTCTCAAAAATAAATAAACATTAAAGATTTTTTTAAAACTAAAAAACAAAGAAACAAAATAAATCATTAAGACAGTTGCAAACTGATGGAGACCCATGTCCTGCATGGCTGTGAACTATATCAGTTAATCACTTTTTTTTCCCTTTCTCTTTCCTTCCTTCTTGGACAGCCAGGAGTGCCTGAGGAATGTCACACACATGCCACCTGGGGGCGGGAGTAGGGCTCCTGGGTGTTACCTTGTGCTTTGCCCTCAGCTTGCCTTTTGCTCCCCCCTCACCTCTACCTTCTTCCCTCCCTGCATTTGGGTCTTGAGGGCTTGGAGTCCCCAAACACTGGTGGGAGTGGCCCCAGTGTTCATCCACATGACTTAAAATCCAGGAATCCCAGGGGGCGCCTGAGTGGCTCAGTCAGTTGAGCATCCAACTCTTGTTATGGGCTCCAGTCGTGATCCCAGGGTTGTAGGATCGAGCCTCAGCCCTCTGAGCTGAGTGTGGAGCCTGCTTGGGATTCTCTCTCCCTCTCCCCTTCTGTCCCTGTCCCCTACTCGCACACATACGTTCTCCCTCTCTCTCTCTCTCAATTGAAATTTTTTTTAAAAAATCCAGTAGCTGTCCACATACCCAAATGTGCCATGACTGTCCCCAGCCTCAGAGAGAGCTGCGTTCTGCATTCTGCTAAGGCTGGGAGACACAGGGTCAAGGGCACAGACTTTGGGATCCGCCAGGCCAACAGTCCCTGGAGCAAGTTACGTAACTTTGAGCTTTAGGTTCATGCTCTCTGAATCAGGGCTGGTGAGAAGACTAAGGGAGCTAGTGTGAGAGAGGTGCCAGGCCGGCAGGGAAGGGCAGCTTTTGTGACTGCTCTCACCCGGTCCAGAGGATGAAGTCTGGCTTGGGCTCGATCTCCTTCATGGCGTAGATGGAGGAGTTGATGAGGACCCAGGGCGAGTCGCAGAGGTAGTCACCCCAGGGGCCTGCATTGGGCACCGGCTGGGAGCCAGCTGATGGGCACACCTGGAGGGGGTCTTCAGATACCTTGTAGTCAGGGTCAAGGTGCAGGTCCGAGATGTGCCAGAACTTCCCTGCAGAGGACAGAAGACCTTTTCAGTGCCGGTCCCACACTGAACCCGGAGGGGAGAGAAGCCCAGGGAATCCTGGGCTGGGAGAGCAAGTTGTAAATGTGAAATGACATTTCCTCTGAAGCCAGGGTTCGGCAAAAAAGAGCCACAGGTCTGACTTTGTCCAGGGAGGCACTGAGAGGAGCAGAGAAAAAGCTTGGCTCTGTCCCTGACCTGTGACCTTTGACCCTCTCTGTCTCCCCACCTCAGGGGACCCAGCAGCAGTATGAAGGATTGGGCTTCGTGACCTTCAAAGAATCCTTTGGGAGTTCTAACCAGAGTGCTTGTCTTATTTTTTTTTTATTTTTTTATTATTATTATTATTTTTTATTTCTAGGAGAGAGAGAGAGACAGCGTGAGCAGGGGAGGGTCAGAGAGAGAGGGAGACACAGACTCTGAAATAGGCTCCAGGCTCTGAGCTGGCAGTCAGCACAGAGCCCAACGCGGGGCTCGAGCCCATGAACCGTGAGATCAGGACCCAAGCGAAAGTAGGACGCTTAACCGACTAAGCCACCCAGGTGCCCCTAGAGTGCTTGTTTTAAAGCAAAGTTTGGGTAGGCTTAGGCGGTTGAGCATCCGACTTCGGCTCAGGTCATGATCTCACGGCTCAAGTCCCACATGGGGCTCTGTGCTGACAGCTCAGAGCCTGGAGCCTGCTTCAGATCCTGTGTCTCCCTCTCTCTCTCTCTGCCCCTCCCCTGCTTATGCTCTGTCTCTCTTTCAAAAATAACTAAAAATATTTTTTTTAAAAAAAGCAAAGTTTGGGGAGTGTTATGGATAAGCACTCAGGCTCTGGAGCCACATAAAAGCTGGGTGACCTGGGATGAGTTTCTTCACCTTTCTGAGCCCAGAACTAGAGCCGGATCTACTCACGCTCCAGAGAAATGCATACAGAAGTCTGACCCAGGAGAAGGTTTACACACCAATTGCGCTGCAAGATCTTGCTAATTTGCAAAAGCCTGGGGATGTCTGTAAAGATGGAACGGAATGGGGCTGGGCAAGAAAAGAAGGAATGTAACCTCAGATGGGGCTGAATTTCTTGTGTGTGTACTTGGTGGCTCTGGATGCAGGTGGAAGTGGGCCCTGATGTGGTCCACTGAAACGTGGTCTTGGTGTCCAACTAAGGATGTCTAAAATGTCAAAAATCTCTTGGGGTGAGGGGAGCCTGGCTGGCTCGGTCAGTAGAGAGTGGGACTCTTGATCTTGGGGTTGTGAGTCCCGTGTTGGGTACAGAGATTACTTAAAAATAAAGTCTTAAAAAATAAAATCTCTTGATGTGATGGAGAGAAAGGAAGCCCAACAAAGAAAACAAGCTACACAGATTTGTCATTTGTACCCAGCACAGCCCGCTGGATAAGTAGTTTCAAGGACACTTATAGGGCAGGTTTGGTCTCAGCCCTAAATCCTATGTTTTGGCTAAGACAAGGTGACGCCTGGGATTTCCTCACCCTCCACCATTGCTGTCACTTCTTCCTCCATTTCCTGTGTTGCTATAATGCCAACAGCCATACCCCCTGCCCCACCCCCAGCCCAGGAAGCCTGGGGGCCGCAGCTTCTGCTGCTTTCAGGGTTGGATGGCCAGGGCACCTCCCAAGCCACAGGGCATTCAGTGTGGCTCTAGGAGAGGTCCAAAGGTCAAGTCCAGGCCCTGATCCTCTCTCCATGACTTCTCCTCACCTTTCCTTATCTAAACCTGGTCCCAGGAAAGGATCCAAAGCTTATTTATACTAAGGTGCAAATGGCTGATTAAATCTTGATCCTTCCCAAGGTCATTACACAATGAACCAGAGCCTTGGAGGTACAGTTGACCCTTAGACAGTGCAGGTGAACCTCACTCAGTCAAAAATCTGTGCATAACTTATGACTCCCCCAAAACTTAACTACCAATAGCCTACTGTTGACCAGAAGTCTTACTGATAACATAGTTTATCAACACTTATTTTGTGTGGTATATATATGATATACTGCATTTGTACAATAAAGTAAGCTAGAGGAGAAAGTGTTATTAAGAAAATCACAAGGAAGAGAAAATACTGTATTTATCAAAAAATCTGTATGCGAGTGGACCTACGGAGTTCGCACTTGTGTTGTTCAAGGGTCACCTGTATTGATCATCATTCCCATTTTGCAGATAAGGATACTAAGGCTCAGAGGTCAACCTGCCTAGGATCACAGGGTAAATGGTGGAAGTCCTGTGTCCCTTGATTCTCTCCCAGGAAGATGTGATTGCGAACAGGGTAAAACCAGCGCCTTTTTACTTTAGATCCATCTTTCTCTAAACAGTCTCTGCCTGCATGTTTATTTTATTTATTTTTTTATGTTTTATTTATCTCTGAGAGAAGGAGAGACAGCGTGAGCAGGGGAGGGTCAGAGAGAGAGGGAGACACAGAATCTGAAGCAGGCTCCAGGCTCTGAGCTGGCTATCAGCACAGAACCCGACGCGGGGCTCGAACCCACGAACTGTGAGATCATGACCTGAGCCGAAGTCGGGCGCTCAACCGACCGAGCCACCCAGGCACCCCTGCATGTTTATTTTTTACCCAAACTGAGAGTCTTCGTTTCTAGTGGGGGGAATTTAAACTTGTCACACAGGTTGTGATGACTGCACGTGAAATCACTCCAACAGAGACAAAATCCCAAGCCAGACGAAAGAAACGACCTGCCCCGTTTCAACTCGTAAATGGGCAGAGTTGGCGGGCTTTTGCCTGAGCCCCTGCCCAGACACTGAAAGGGGGTTGCATCTGCTTTCTGCCCCTTTGGTGTCACCCCTCAAAGACCTCAGTGAAAGTTGCTTCACTTCAGAAACTCCTCGTCTGCTGACAGGCTCGCGCGTCAGCTGTTGGTTTCTCTCTTCCCACAAGCTCCCTTTCCACAAGCTCCGGTCTAGTCAGAGTGTAGAACTGAAACTCCTTCCAGCCTCCCTGGCATTCCCAGTGACCTGTGTGTGTATGTGTGTGTGTGTGTGTGTGTGTGTGTATATGTGAGAAAATGTGTGTGCACAGAGACCTGGCCCCAGGAGAGACCAGGACAGTGGAAGGAATGGCGTAGAGCGAGGGGGCTCCACCTCCTCGGGCCCTGGGGTCTTCACTGTGGAAGCAGATCACACGGACCTCACACCAACCAACTCACCCCACTCATTCGCCTCACAGGGCCTCTTTCTGGACTCTCTGCCCCTCTTCCCTCTGGTGCCTTCCCCAATCTTCCCCAGGGCATTGCTCCCATGGCTGCTTTCTCCTCCTCATTCAGGCCTCAGCCCGAAGCTCACCACCTCAAAGAAGCCTTTCCTGACGACCTTTCCTCAAGTTCCATCCCCCACCCACCATCTGCTCACTAGTCATGGCCCTTCCTCAGTTTTATTTTCCTCAGAGCGCAGAGCGCTCGCACGTAATGAAATGATCTTGTTGACTTGCTTATCTTCCATCTTCCCTGTCGACTCTGGCCGTTCCACGGGAGGTGCAGCCAGTCCTGTTCATCTCTGTGTCCTCAGCACCTAGAACAGTGCCTGGGATGTGGAAGAGGCCCGAATATATGTCCAATCAGTGAGCAAGGCTGTGCGGAGGATGATGAGACTAACGAGACTCAGAGAAAGCTAGCTAGGTGCCCTTTACACGCTCACCTCATTTCATCCTTGCAACCATTCTGTGAGGTGGGATTCTTACGCCCGTTTCACAGATGAGGAAACTGAGGCTCAAACCCAGCCCTCTCTGACTCCAAAGCTGAGACACAATGTGGACACAAATGGCTTTTATAAGACACATATGTTGCCCATAAAGGGTGGAAACCGCAGGCTTCTATGGAATTAGGCACAGACTGTGAGGAATTAAGCTCTAGTTAAAACGCCTGGATGGCTCAGTTGGTTAAGGGTCCAACTCTCGATGAAGACTCAGGTCATGATCCCAAGGTTGTGAGATCGCGCCCTGCAGCAGGCTCCGTGCTGGGCGTGAGGCCTGCTTGGGATTCTCTCTCTCCCTTTCTGCCCTTCTCTCGCTCCTGGTCTCTCTCTCTCTCAAAAACAAAAACAAAAAAACACACACTAAAAAACAAAAAGAAAAGGTATAGCAATCTCAGCTGTCATTATTTATTAATCATTGAAATCATTTGGTATCAATTAGAGTGAGTGGCTGAGAGCACAAACCTGGGTTGGAAGTCCAGCTCCACTGCCCACACGCTGTGTGAACATGAGCAATTCAGTGCCTCAGCTTCCTTATATGTAAAAGGGGGACAAGAGTGCCCCCTACCTCTTAGGGTCATTGTGAGGGTTGATTGAGGTAACAGGAGGTAATGCCAAGGCGCTCAGCATTGCAAAGCAGCAGGTACCCTGAACGCGATCCCTGGGGGCTCCTGCAAGTCCCCCTGGCCCCGTGGGAGGGCGAAGGGATGAGGGGACGGTGGCTGCGTCCTGCCCCTGTCACCCCAGGCTCCCCTCCTCTGCAGATACAGGACAGAACAATGTGAGGACGGATCCCGTCTCCTCCTGGACGGCCCTCCTGCAGCAGAGGGTCAGTGGGCACCATCCACTCCCCAGTCTTAATTTAGAGAACTCAGTTCTGCTCCCCACCCCCCGGCAGAGAAGACCCTGATCTTCCTTCACCATCATCCAAGGGGTCGCCAGGCCCCCCTGTCCACTGGGGACAACAGATTCAGGGCGCAGGGCCTGGTCGCTTTGTCGGGCCCATGGAAATGTTTGAGACCCAGAGAAAATAATGGCCCCAAAGTTCAGGGGAAAATCGATGCCATCCAAATCAAGAATTCATTTCAAAAGCAATAATGTATTCAGAAGTTTACTAAAAGTATTTATAACATGAGATCCTTTAACTATGATTCCTGATGGGGGGAGACGCACAAAAATCATTCCAGAGCCTAAGAAGGTCTTTAAACTGGCCAAAAAGTGAGTCTACTTATGGTTGGAGACAAGAAAAGGAAGACAGGAAGACACCTGCCATTTATTTTTTTTTTTAATGTTT